TCATCCCCTATTTTACCCACTTGGGGGTGGAAATTAACAAAATCATTTCACAGCGGATGCCTACGTCATAACATCTATCTGCATGCCAAATTTCAACCCGATCGATTTAAAACTGACAATGTCTCATACAAACTTTCATCCCCTATTTTACCCCCTTGGGGGTGGAAATTATCAAAATCCTTTCAAAGCGGATGCTTACGTCATAACATCTATCTGCATGCCAAATTTCAACCCGATCGGTTTAAAACTGACAAAGTCTCATACAAACTTTCATCCCCTATTTTACCCCCATTGGGGGTGGAAATTATCAAAATTCTTTCACATCGGATACTTACGTCATAACATCTATCTGCATGCCAAATTACAACCCGATCGGTTTAAAACTGACAAAGTCTCATACAAACTTTCATCCCCTATTTTACCCCCATTGGGGGTGGAAATTATCAAAATCCTTTCACATCGGATGCTTACGTCATGACATCTATCTGCATGCCAAATTACAACCCGATCGGTTTAAAACTGACAAAGTCTCATACAAACTTTCATCCCCTATTTTACCCCCTTGGGGGTGGAAATTATCAAAATCCTTTCACAGCGGATGCCTACGTCATAACATCTATCTGCATGCCAAATTTCAACCCGATCAGTTAAAAACTGACAAAGTTTCATACAAACTTTCATCCCCTTTTTTACCCCCTTGGGGGTGGAAATTATCAAAATCCTTTCTTAGCGGATGCCTACGTCATAACATCTATCTGTATGCCAAATTTTAGCCCAATCTGTCCAGCGGTTTGGGCTGTGCGTTGATAGATCACTATGTCAGTCAGTCAGTCAGTCAATCACCTTTGAATTTTATATATATAGAAGATAGAAGATAGAAGATAGATTAGTAATAAGACTGAGATGAAAAACAATTTGTGAGATTGATAATGAAAAAATATGACATTAATTAGACGGAATACGTCTTAGCTACCGAACTTCCATCTTACGTCTTCTATGTAAGAGAAGTTAATCATAAGCTTGAGAGACAATTATGAGCATAGGAAGGTTAGTAATAGGATACTGGTAGACTGCTACCCACTATTCGTAAAAACGACTTGCATTTTCAGGTGATACCCGAGGCCAATTTAAACGTCATTTAAATCATTATAAACGTAGCACGAAATTTGATAGCACATCTCTCGAAATCAACGCAATTATTAACTATTTAAATATAATAGGTAGTGTACCCAATATTTTATGACAATATTATACCTAACCTAAGTTGTTTAATGCTCGCAGATCGTAGCTTTAATTGACCAACTAAATTAAATTAGCTCAAGACGCTCAATTACTTAATCAAACGTTAAAATAAAATATCAAACTCTAAGCAACAATGAATAATTGGAACTTGATTAAAGAAAGAGTGTGATGACAGATCATTTTAGATTACAAATTAATTAGTCAATTATATGTATGTAGCATTCCCTGAAGCTATGACTTGAATGATCACTGAGCAATCGACTAGTTTTTGTAACACCAATGTTAATACTAAGTGTGATGAATACATATCAATTTATCTTCAACAGAACTTCTAACACAAAAAAATATTCCTAATACATTTTGCGGCCACATTGCTTCTCGATATCTACAAATATCGTAGCTCCTATGTCATCACATCACGACAAGTTTTCACCACATCCGGTAACAAGGTGCATAAATTAAAACAGATAATAAATTAAAAAAACTAGATCGAAAGTAATCGATTAGGTGTCGTGCCGTAACTCGATACATTTACCGTAAGTTTTGTAATTGATCTACATTATATTGAGTATAATTTCAACCGAATGGGCTACGCACTAGAGATTTGAAATTGGAATAGTTTGACAAAGATTTTTATGCAGTTGGGTAACTGTGTTTCTGGAGTATTTTGTTGGGGACGTTTATTTTTATATCCGCAAAATAAAAGATTGTATAAGTGATGACCATTTTAAATGATCGTTAGCGTAATTAGGTAGTGAATACGTAGCACCGAGATTGAATAACTTGAAAGTAATTAAGTAGGCTACTTCTTAATAATATTTAAGTTTCAAATTAATAATGGACAACATAAATTAGAATGTTTTAAAGATGTAAACAGATTTTTTTAAAGATCGTTCGTGCAATTTATACATATATGTATGTAGTATAGATAGAATATGTCAGTATCAAAAGGATTCTATTTTCAACCATTAGGGATACTTTAATATTACAAAAATAATTTCTATAGGTCTTCATTCCAAAGAGGCGTTCAAAAGGCGTCTACCTTTTTAGGAGACACACTAGTTAGTGTACGTCACTAAAACCACTGTAGTGGTCACCATCAGCACTTAAGACCGACTCCAGCTCCGAACTATTACTTAATATTTTCTTCTTAAACTAATAAAGGTAATTACTTGATCAGATCTCTTTTATTAATGTAGAACTAGTAGTTGGTGGACGGATAAAAGTAAGGAAGAGTATGAGACTATCTATCTACTATGAGATCGACTATGAGACTTTATATTTGGACAATATAATATGTTATTACAGAGTCCAAATAGGGTCAATATAAGATAACAGAGAAGTATTTAACCTAAGTCGAGGTTTTTGAATCCTTTTGGACAAAATGTTCTAAGATAATTTTTGAAGACTCATTGTCAACAATGTTTGGACAATGGACTGACGATTTTATTTCCATATCCAAGACAGACTGAATGAGATCATTACAAACACATTTCGCCCAAACTAAGAACATTAGAACAAATTGATTACAACATACATTGATGAAGTGTACGTTAACAATAACATATAACAAAGAAAAACCAACTTTACTGTGATAATAAAAAGATTCGAAACGCTCTACAGTGGTGGCTGGCTAGTATATTTAGTTCTAAATATAATTATATAGCGCATATATCAAAGATGGTAGTGCTAATTCAGAGTTTGCGTGTCTTTATAATCATATGATCATCATTGTCTATTCTTTTTTTAATCAAGAACATTGACATTACGAATGATTTGGTCCATAGAGAACGGTGCACTATAGATTAAAAAGTAAAAAAGGTTAACTGGTATCATCTACTCTATGGTCTCGTCATTCTTATTCCTACAATACACTGAATAGGTTACACGCCAGATTTTCTTTGGAATTTTTAATTTATCCGATTTCAAAACTTTTCTCAAAGAGGACTTCTGAAAATTTATTTAAAATGTTTTTCTTCTATTCATTTGTCATTTCTTCATTTAACAAAGGAGTTTAGAGCTGTTTATCATTGTCAATTAGATGGTAAATTATCATATTTTTAACATCCAATGCAGCTGTACGAACATGTGATCATCATGATTAAAATCTCGTCTCGGGATTTCTGTTTACCGGTGACACTATATTAGTTACAGTTGTTCAAAGGACGAATCTCTTCAAAAATGCTGAAATTAAATTACTTTAAAAACAATTTTTTTCCACTTAACTATTTCACTACTTTATGCAACACAGAGTTTAAAAAAACTTGTCGAAAGAAATCCTACACCAAGTTACTTACATAGTTTTTTTAAATTATAAAACCGTTCATAACCATTCAGTAACCTTTTAACATCGAACCTATCAGCACCTCACAAAATATGATTGATTATCTACTGATCAGTAGCAATTTCATCAGTCAATTACGTTTCACTAAAGGCATAATAATTATCCGAAACTTTCTCAATTCTTCATCAGTGTTATGCCAACCGTAAGACTATTTTAATTCCATTTTTTACTCTGTCTGTCCATCAGTATAAGTAATGTCAAAAAAACCGGCCAAGTATAACCAATTCGTAAGGATTTATTGTTGTTTATTAGGGAATTCTAAGTCGCTTGGAGGCACAAAATCAAGGGGCGTTCTAAGAGTATCAAAGGCTGATGATTAGGAACCCATTGATTCCAGTATTGATGAAATCGTCACTACATGGTATAAAACAAAGTCGCTATCCGCCGTCTGTCTGTCCCTTCCCTATGTATGCTTAGATGTTTAAAACTACGCAACGGGTTTTGATGCGTTTTTTAAATAGATAGAGTGATCCTTAAGGTAGGTTTATATGTATAATACATGCATATTGCACCCGTGCGAAGCCGGGGTGGGTTGCTAGATATTTAATATAAAACAAAAATATATCCCATTTTTAAGGTATTTGTAAAGAGTTCCGATACACATGATATACGATGCTATGTTCTTAAACTAGGTGCTAATAACGCCTTTGGTAGGCTTTGATTGGCTCTACACTGAATAGGTGATATTATGTGCTCACGCTCAAATATATCGACCATCATTCGAAAAGCATTCACCGTCCAACCGAACATCCTTATCTACCAATTTATTTCACACAATAGCATCATTTAGTTAATGTAAATTGCCAGTGTTATAGCGAGTGATTCGATAATTACCCACCGTAATTACTTTATTCTGATTAAGATCGCGTCATCGTGAATGATGGCTTTCAACGTCATTCTTATTTAGATGTTAGTGGTACCTACACACGGCCACACATCAATCTATACAAAACCAGTTCATCCTGGTGTCGCGTCGCATCATCTTTCCGCACATTTAACGTTCAGTTTATACTGGTTATGTAAAGCTCGATGTGTAGCCGTGTGTACAATGCACGTGTCGATTTTAAAATGTAATTTATTTCTATTGCAACACTGTTTTGTATATCAGCCTCTTTTGTACCAAGGAGTTTTTATTGAGCGGGAATTTGGTCGGGTGTTCTGCAAATGTTTGTGATTAGTTTGTGGGGATTCGAGATTAAGTTGGATTAGGAATTAGGAATCTCTTACCCTTTGAAACGTTTCAAAATAAACTTACTTATTTATTGGGGTATTATTGTTTGATATGATGCCCACGGCCACTTTCTATCATCGCACAGTTCGGTCCCGTACAGTTCGGTTTCAGAGGAATTTCCTCATACGGACCCTCCGATTGTGGAATGAACTCCCTGCCGTGGTTTTCCCAGTGGTCTACAACATGGGGTTCTTTAAGAGGGGAGTGAATAGGTTTTTAACGGTCAGCAGGACGCATGTAATGCCCCAAGTGTTGCAGGCGTACATAGGCCACGGTAACCGCGCTTACCATCAGGTGAGCCGTGTGGTTTTTTGCCACCGTCGTGGTATAAAAAAAGTAGAATACTTAGGGGTCAGTCTGAAAAAAGCTGTTCCTTTCCTTTTTTAGGCTATTTAACTCTTTCAAAAAGTTACCTGGCTTATTCCAAAATATTAACAACACAGCAATGGTAGCACAAGATTATGTATCTAGGTTCAATACAATAGCATTTTGAGGGGTTTTTTTGTCAGCGGTAGCACAGAGTCTGGAATTGTACCCGGTATATGGCAATAGGCTTACCCTCTATTACATGGGACTCATAACATAAATAGTGAAAAGTAGGTGTTACATTGTACAGTGGCATTAAGTGCCGCAATGTGCACCTTTGCCTATTCCGTCGGGGATAAAAGGAGTGATGTTATGTTATGTGTGTTGTCTGTTTACTTCTTCATTATTAACCACTTGTATGTATTGTTCAGGAGCGGTTGGGCAGCGGCGGGCTGGGTCTCGGCGGCGGCGGGTTCCGCGGCGGCGCGCAGCCCTCCCTCGCAGACTTCCAGCCGCCGTACTTCCCCCCGCCCTTCGCCCCCGCACCACACCCCGCCAGCCCTCATCATCAACAACAGGTTGGTACTAAAAGAGGTTAATTCAGATATTTAGAGGATTTAAGGTCTTGTTAGTTGCAATTTTAGTCGAGTGCTTAGCAAGTCCAAACGATTACTATGAAAAGAAAATAGCACTTCAAGTTTTTAATTATATTATTGTAGGTACATACTTACATACAATTTTTTCAAAAACAATACTAACTTCTCAAACATTTAAGAAGTCGGTAATGTTTGTAATGAAATTTGCTTATTTATTTGCAGACAATCTGTATCGATAGTTATATTTTATAATATTCAATATTCTGCTTTGCTTACTTCCATAAAAGTGGAGTGTTGACTCTCCCTCTATCTATCGTTAATGAACTATAAGATATTATCCCAAATCAACTTTACCGACGTTTTCTGTAGACATTTCAAATGTATTTTCAAATCCTCCAATCTTCGTAACTACCAATCCTTGTATAATTGCGGCAGAGCCATGGCATGGAGTACGGCGGCGGCGGCGGCGGCACGGCGGAGTACGCGCAGCACTACGCGCCGCAGCAGCTGCTCCCGCGCCACCACGCGCACCACGAGCCGCACGCGCACCTCCGCCACCACAGGGACCACCATGATATACATGCGCACCATGTGAGTTACTACTATATTCTAACACTTCTTATTGAAGTATGCTATTATATATAACTATATGCTTTTTTATGGTAATGGAATACACAATCACAATTTATACAACAACATAAAATATAGGTACTTTGCTTCCTTAGGAGTGAAGTGAATTTATTTGCAGAAATAAATTCCTTTCTTTCTAAGATGTTATTCTATTAGATATATTCTAAGATTATAATTATAATTGTACGGAACCAAAAATGTATAGAGTTTCATCTCTATACACCCCCAAATATTGTTTATAAAGTCACGGAAATAATCAAAACCCATGTCGCGCAGCCTACTGTACTCTACTCATGAGGAAGAACCCCTGTGTAGTTCGAAACTAGTAGAGCTTTTCTCAGCATTTCCATGTAAGTAAACCGCGATTTTTAGTTAATTTAGTTAAAACCCATTAAATCTGACATTATTTGGATTTTTTACAATTAAATGAGCTTCTATCAGATCAGATCTCTCACAGGCACAAGACCTTTGCTACCATTATTTCTATCACTTTATTACAGGATTATATCTCTATCACAAATCTCAGTTAATACCATCTTACAAGCAACATCTAATAACAACAAACCTCCCTCACTGAATACATCGATAAGTATGCAGTGTATCACTAAACTATGCGCTTCCCCTCCGTTCCTTGCAAAGAATTCCCGCATAGTTCCCTCCGCGGGTTTAAAATTATTATGTTATTATTAATACTCCTCTGTTGTGTGTTCCAATCTAACACAATAATATTAGTTATGGTTGTCTATGACAGGGCGTTACAGCTAATCAGAAACGTAAAAAGAACTTATACTGCCTCCTGCCTGACTGCCTCGTTGGCCGAGTGGTCGCAACTGCGACTGCCGGGCAAGGGGTCTCGGGTTCGATTCCCGGGTCGGGCAAAGTAGGATGAACTCATCTAACTTCGTGACAAAGGCATTTGAGTAATAAAATACCAATAAATTATTAATTAATTTAATTCAGTCTCCGCATGAGTTTTAATCAGTCTTTTATGAGGAATATTAGCACAAATAATCAGATTTTTTTCTAGAAACCTAAGAGTTCTACCAAATTTACTAAACCGAATTATTAGGCGAGTCACAGAATTAGATGACTTCACTATATTACTGGGTTTAAAAAAAATCTCAGTAGCAGCACGGAGTCGGGAATTGTGCCCAGTATATGGCAATAGGCTCACCCCCTATTACATGGGACTCATAACATAAATAGTGAAAAGTGGGTGTTACATTGTACCTCTACAGTGGTATAATGTGCACCTCTGCCTACTTCTTCGCGGATAAAAGGCGTGATGTTATGTATGTGTTTCCTCTTGGATACCAATGACAGTTCATCAGTACAAATGGAGTTCGCAGTTTTCAAGGTCTTTTGCTGTCCAGTCTAAACTATAAAATAGTGATCTCGTCTTCAACCCGCCTACTCAGCGTGGAAAGCATGGGAAACTGTATCTGTATAACTGTATGTAGGAGACCCACAGTCCGGCAGTGGATCTGCATCTGCAACGGACCTTCAAGGGCTGTTCATGACTAAATTGCGATTACCCAGTCGTTATTTCTTTTTTTATGTACCATAAGCCGATAAACGAGCAGACGGATCACCTGATGGTAAGCAATCGGCGCCGCCCATGGACACTCGAAACACCAATTTTGTCCTTCAGCAATTTCATTAGTCTCTTATTAAACTTTTTAGAAATATAGGTTCATGTCTTTTCCTACTACATTTCTACCCATTGTAAGAAAGATATTAATGTCATTTAAGTAAGTAGGTACTTACTGCGTAACAAATGGGTACCTACATAGACAAAATACTCACTTATGTACCTATCGGTTATTACATGGAGGTCGCATATTATTCATGTAAATATTTAAAAATAATAAATTAACCATTGTCATTTTACAAGTTCTTTTAACATTATTCAAGTTTTTCTTATCTTTCATTTGTCTTGATTTGTCTACGAACAGTCGGATCATCAAATTCTTTGGCGTGTGTCTCGAAATGAGCCGATTAGACAATAAAAGTTATGGCTGCCGAATTGAATTAATTTTGTTTTATGTTAAAACTTGGCACGGTCTACTGATAAGACAAATAAAACGAAATGCGATTTATTTTCTCAAAACGAATGTTGCTTATATGCGTTATTTAATTTTCTCGATTCAAGTCTTGCATTTAACCGCAGTGCGTACTAAGCCTTAGGAATTCCAATTATAAATTGAAAATCGAAGCATACAGTTTTTAATTCACTCCGCTGCGCTGGCTACGACCATCAACAATATTTTCCAGCCAACAATAGTTTTCCAACGACGTTAGGGATGGGATCACTTTAGTAGATTAGCTGCTGGTAATGTTCCGGTTTCCAAAGCGGGCCATTCAACACAATACCGTCCGATATTTTGCAGGAAGACACGATGACATTATACGTGATTGAATAGCAATCCGTAAGAAATATTTTTTAATATTTATTTTGCCGAAATATAATGCTATTTTCTGTCGATGTTTAAACTTGTTTGGTCATTTGATGAATAGATGTCATTTTACCAGCAAAAGCCCTTGAGTTTAAGTCTTCTTGATATTTTTTTTAATAGTTTTGGTAAGACAAGGCTGTGAACACCAAGCTATAATAAACTCTCAACTTTATCGCAAAATTAAAAGGTTTAAAATTCTATAATCTATAATAATTTGTTCGTAGTTATCACACGGAGGATTTAGTTATGGTGGCGGCGAGAGGCGAGCAGACTATGGTGCTCGGGAACAACATGAGTTGGCCCTACACCATGCGCTACACTCCACGGAAGAAACGCCGGTAAGTGAACTACATTAAGGTATTAAACGGCTTGAATATGCTAAGTGTAATTATGGATTTTGTAGTATTTGTAACAATTGAACTTTCTTTTTTAAATATTCTCAATAAAAGTTTTAGAACAATTTTGCGTGACCAAAGTTATTAATAAGATAAATTATTTTTAAATATTACTCTGCTGTCCTTTCTTTTCAAAATCTTAATACATAATCTAACACAACAAAAAATTGTAACCTACAAAAACATGAGAGTATTATTACAATATAAATAAAAAATGCCAATTACATTTTTAAATAAATTTCACCCTCGTATCATCGACATCGATAGCCATCCAATATCCTACAAATATGTCCGTCCTACAAGGAATTTAATAATAAGCTTACTAAATTAAAACGTTCCCCCGATATAGCGGAATGTCGGACAGTCCATGTCTTTCCTATTTATAATATCAGTGCCGGGCTGTATTAAGTAATGTAACGTATTAGTATTAGGTAGGTATTAGTACGTTATTAATATACATAATGTAATATAAATATCGATCGATTCATTAAATTTTAATGTATTATGGATATTAATATTGATACTCAGTGTCGTCTTAGGTCTTAATGGTTAAATACTGCCGCGGAGAACTTAACGGGTTGCCGGGGCTCGGTTCGACGTGCAGGAGAAGGAACGGGGTGGTTTTTAGTCAGTAAGAGTCTGACACTCCCTTCCGCCTCACCCAGGCGGGAGCAGTCATTCGATGATTTTCCCCCCTTAAAAAAAAACTATGTAGTATACATATGTACCTACTTAGTACTTAGAGTTGAAATTATATTAAATCAAAATATTCTTTGATTTTAGAACGCTGGTATGGACGACACCACGGGATTCATGACGGATCTTCCTTTATTAAAAAGTAAGTAACTACTTCGTTTGTTGCAATATTTTATTTATTTTATAATTTAAAAATGTACCCATACTTCTAAGACAAAATCTGAAAACTTTATTAAAAATAATATTGAAATTGTGCTTGACACGACCATCGAACGATCGAAGTTAAAACAGTACACTCACCAAGCTATTTAGAAGTAGATCCATAAATGTAATTTAAACAGCGCGTACTCAGATAAAAGATCTACACATTATTAACATATCAAATATTTCATTGTTACTCCAATACTAGAGATGACCTGTTAAAGATAAACCAGTAATTAGGCTTCATACCTCACTTATCGAATGGGTGTATCGATTTTTCTAAATCGATTGTAAAAAAAATCCATCTCATTCAACGGACGAATGAATCAATATCGTATAAATAAAAGTATCGATCAATCAATCGATATTTGAATAGTAGCATTCAATTTCGAATATTGCTTTTTGATTTTATATTCTTTTAAGTTTTACATTGCGGTTAATTAGTCGATGGTATTGCGTAGAGATGTACCTATTACGTTCCATAGAGCACTTATATTTCGTCCGTTATCGGTTTTTAGACGAAACACAATGTTTGTTCTACAATATACAGAATTACCTGTTAGTTATATTAAAATCTTAATCAATTCGGTCTCAAACTGTATAGTAGCTCCGGTGTCTAGCAAAACACCAAACTCCATGTTTAAGTTTGAGTCAGGTGACCGATACAACAAACGTTTAGTTGAGCAATAAGGCCATTTTTTTAATATAACCATAGTTTCTTACACAAGTCCTAGATATTTAAATAAAGCTATCACAAATAGCTTTTTACTTCTCACTTCGATATTACAGGGAACAAAATGATACATATTTTATGTAAATGGACCAAGAAACGCCAATTCCAAGTAAAAGTCTCACACTTCACCAGTTCTTTTTTCAAAAACATAATTGGCCAGTAATAAACGTGTGCACCTTTAGTTTGTGCAAAAAGGCGGGGTGTTAAATAGCCAGTATGGTGCCAACATAATGACACACTAATGTTTATTGTATTAGGGTTGCCATATAGAAATATTACAATGAGAATAGAGATCACGCTGCGCTCATGTTTGGGGCGTGGCAGTGATTGTTAGGCCACTATTGTTGATATTTGAAGCTGGGTATTTTGTAATCACTCCAATTTTTGTATGACTTTTAACACATGCGTTTTTTGAATTGACTGTTATTTTTTACCTTTCTATTGCCAAAGTGAAGGTTTTATTGATTTAAAAATAAAACGAATGACTGTTTGGTCGAGTCATCGCAACGGTTACAGTCGAACAAAATTGTTTGTTTATGATTCCTTGTCAGCTGTTATTATTATTAAAGTAAATCCCAAAAATAGGAAATTCCAATAATGCTTTGAGCTACCCGTGAACCAAATAAAAGACACCTTGCTCGAGAGTTACGCTTGCGACCACTTGACTAACAAGGTAGTCCATAATAATTAATCAAACAATATTTCCTGTTTGTAGTCTCAATACAACACAATACAATACAGGATGCAATCAATACAGTGCCAGCAAATGGGATACTATTTATCAGTTTCATAATTTATTAATAGCTTGATAATGTTGGTACTAATGCCGCAGTATTTAGTATCGCCAGTCATGAAAATTTAATTTTCGAAAGTAGTTTTAGAATACACTTTAACCGCAAGCAATTATACAGAATTTCTAAACTCGTAAAACGTCAAATATCTATAAAAGTTGCAAATTCAGTTACTAACTCTTTAGTTCTTTACTTACTTCGCTACTTTAATGCACTTTTCATGAATCCAAACTGCGTGGAGATGTTAATGCTATGCTATTGATAACTTCGCGGTCAAAGCAATGATGCTCCAACGACCAACAAATACCTCTACTTAAACAGAAGAAGTGTGTTACAAGTCTTATAAGTTAGAATGTAATAAGAACGAGCTTAAACACTATTCTTGATTACCTACATATTAATATTCGAATTAGAGCGCAGCTGGATGCAGGCTGCTTCCAACTTGTTGATCTGGAAGTCATTGAGGCTGTAATCATAATAATAGCTGAAGTTGGGAACGCGATATCTAATGCTTACCAGTTGAACTAACAAGAATTCTACCATCAAAACGCGCTAACTACATATTTCACATAGGCCTAAACCATTTTTTAAAACAATTTTTCCTTTACAGCAATGAAAGGTCGTGACGGGCTCGGCGGGACAGGTTCCTGTGCACCCAACGACGTGTTCTGCTCAGTCCCTGGTCGACTGTCACTACTATCATCCACCAGCAAGTACAAAGTGACTGTAGCTGAGGTGCAGAGAAGGTTATCACCTCCTGAATGCCTCAACGCTTCTCTTTTAGGTGGAGTTTTAAGGAGGTAAGTCGTGCATAGTTTTATTTTTGACTAGAGTAACATTGCGTGAATTAGGTTTTGTCATTTGTTTTTTTTTAAATATTATCCATTTGCAAAAAGTTTTTCAGTCATAAGTCTGTATAATGTATAATGATTCAGTTGTCAAGCCCAACATGTTGTACATAAGTTCTCAATAAGCTGATGATTAATGATTATTTTACACCCTTCAATTGCCATTAAATTGAAATTTTCTAGACTACAACTACGCATCTTGCGTAACTGTATGCTCAAGAACGTCGTTACGTACGTAAAAATGCCATTAATTAATAATAGTAATTGATTCACCTACAGCTGTATATCTATGATGATAAGCTACAATTTAATTGAAACACTAATTACTGTATGCATAATAAACATTAGGTAATTACAAGACAAATTCGCATCAGCCGCCAACCGACCATAATGTTGAATTTACTCGATATTATGCTCTTGTTCCGCTAGTGCGGTTTATTTATTACATTTTTTGCTCTGGTAACACTGTACAGTTTGCGGGCAGCGATAGACATGTTTGACTTTTAAGATCGCATCGTTTTGGTTAGCGGTTATTAAGATATTTAGGGTACAATGAAATGAAATTATCTCTATTTCTGCTAGAGCATACTGTCTCGTCTTCTTATGGCCTATAAATGGTTTCTTATTCCAATTTGATCGGATATACGGATTAAAAAGACGTTAACCATTTAATTACTTAATCGACAGAAGATCCAGCATAAATACAAGCTTTGTTTTACAAGCCCTAGTATTATACCAGTCTTAACAATACCCTTAGTAGTTCTCATAGTTCAAAAGCACTCGAATTAATGGAAAAGAACATTTTATTTCAGTAAGGTCAGTGCTAATTACTTGACAAATTATTTTATTTCCTCTGCTCTTCGTCAATAAAATTAGCATTCAACAATAAAATTCAAAAGCGATACAATTTTAAATTGACTACATAATCGTTCGAAAAGTGTAAAAAAGCATGTAATTGAATATTCAAGTGACTAGTTTATTTAAATTACGGAACCCGTAAATACTGGTCAAATTACGCTGACTCGCGGTGCACTTTTTGTCGAAGCGGCGCGGCTCAATGTGGGCTGGCAGAAACGCCGTTTCCTTTATATGTTTATTGAATATAATTATCGGGTATTACTTCTAGATATCTCATTGTGATCTCAGCCTTCCATACACACCGTTACGTTAAAAGTAGCTAGTTAGTTCTTGCTACTGTTTTTTTTATCATATTATTTTTCTAATATAGTTTTTTCAACTGTGAAACCAGTTCGTTGATACGCAAATTTCTTTTAACACTTGACAAAATAATGAACGTTTTTAACATGGCTCGTCTACTTACGCATAATAATATTTTAGTCGGATTCAAACATTCGCTGAGTATGAAGTGTTCGCAAAAGCTCGCAAGTTTCGGCAAAAAACTGTCCGGTCATGATTTAATAAAAAATCCAATTATTCTACAAAAGGAAGCCGTAATGACTACCTGTCCAACTTATGAGGTCATTTAAGCACATCCTAGTTGGTACGTGATCGTTGTAATGAACCTAGGATGGAAATTAGGGCACTTTTAGACATCTAGGTACCTTCCATTATAAACACAGGCAGCTCTTATATGTCTAGGGATAATAACACTGTTGCAACGTATTCAGAAAAAAGTAAGTAAGTAGGTACTCCGTACTATGCAAACTTGAAAGCCGTTATTTGACGCAATAAATACATGTCAAAGACCAATTTACTTGTTTTATTATTAAATTTAGAACGCGATAAACAGCGCATCATCGTCTCCCTAATTGCCGTCATTACGTGCCGATGGTTGTGTTGTCAAAACGCCATGCATCCGACTTTGCGGCTTTAGAAAATAATTTATACGATGGCAACACCGAATAATGGCGGGAAACCGGCAGCTGCTTGTACTTACAACGCGTTGAATATTTCACATTCTCAACTCGGTGTCGCCTTTCATGGTAATTACATTAATATTAAATAAATTTACGCTAAAATACAAGTTGAAATAACTGGGTGAAACTTTAAAGCACAATAGTTTACATAGGTCGTGTAAAAACCGTTTAATTTTTGTGACAAGATAATTGAAATTGGAATAAGTCTCATTATTATGATCTGTGTAATTGACAATGGGAACAGAGATATTATAAAAATTTGAAAATGTATGTGATCCGATCGGGGCGTGCGGTATATCGGAAGAAGCGTCTTGGCGCGGGGTGTCCAACCGAGTGAAAATCCCGGGTCCATTTCCTGAAAGAATTTTGAGTTTTCAGTGAAAAACGAGATTTCTCACCAATTTTTTTTCAATTAAGAGGATAAAAATATTTAAAGGCGTTTAACCTTTGCAGGATAAAGTAGTTGAGTTGCCCGAGTGAATACTGAATACTTTACAAATGGGTAGGTTGACACTGCCTGATAATCTTAGTAGGTACGTAATAAAAAAGTGTGGGACTGCCATGCTTCGGCACGAATGGGCCGGCTCGACCGGAGTGATACCACGGCCTCACAGAAAACCGACGTCAAGCAATGCTTGCGTTGTGTTTCGTCGTGTAAGTGAGGTTACCGGAGGCCCAATTACCCTCCCCTTCCCCCATCTTCCCAATTCCTGAATCACCAACGATCCTCAAACTCCTAATCCCCAAAAGGCCGGTAACGCACTTGTAACGCCTCTGGTGTTCCAGGTGTCCATGGGCGACGCCGATTGCTTACCATCAGGTGATCCGTCTGCTAGTTTACCGGCTTATGCCATAAAAATAAATAAGGGTCTGTTTCGCCGCTACTGATTAAGTGCTTATTGACTGATATATTTTTGATACATCTCATTAACCCCTCGAGCGTCCTTATGAGCACCCGGTGGATCATAAGAAAAAATTCTACTATCTCTGTAGACAAGCGCTAAAGTGGCGTTTGGCTAAAGGCACAGAGAAGACGAAACAGGGTCTTAAAAATGTAGAAATAGGTATGTACTCTTATGTGTAGGTGTGTAGTGTAGGTACACTTATGTGTATTTCCACTTAAAAACAAAATTAATCACTCTTAAAACCTCCACGTTCGAAACCTCTCTCCACAAAAGAAATGCTGTCAAAACACACCACTACTGCCACAAACACCATTATTTCTAAATTCAAAAACCTCATTGTGTCGTAAGTAGGAACGCCATTTTGATTTAATCAATCGCGTATTATTAATGGACGGCCGCCAGTTTACGATATGATACGAGAGTTATTTTTATTATTTTCCATATCGATTCGGTAATTGGAGATGAAACGATCTTGCATTCATCGATACTCGGTCACATTGAATCGGAATTTCTTTACAGTCAGTAGGTAAAAGCTAAAATATCGATTACTCAAAAATTTAATTCGTATGTCAATTTGATATGAAGCTTATAAAGAGCCGCAGCAAACAACACATGTGGGAAATCGGCCAACGGTATCTTTTCGTCATAATTATCGTACTTGAATCAAAGACGTGTACTTGATTGATAATCTCTTTAATCGGACACTCGAGTATCCGATACATACTCGATATTGGATGCCCATTAGTTCTCTTCCAATCTGTCGATTCATTCGATTTAGTTTTCCATTGATTCTAAATTCAAATTCATTGTTTGGCTCGTTAGCTCAGCGGATGATTCTCGCTTCTTTTGTAGTTGACTAAACGAACGTGTGAAAATATTAAACTCGACTAACGGGGCTGTCTAATTACAATTGTGATTATTTTCACCTCACTATTGTGTTAATGAAAAATAGTGAAATCATTGATCAGGGATCACAGAACACAAGCTTTGCGGCTTCCAGTCAGCCAATTAAATCGATGTTTCGTTGAAATGTTGATTTTGTTCGCTCATTTGACTTCGGCTAACATCGAATGGTTTAGAAATCAATGTCGATACTTATCATTTGAGTTATATTTGATTTGTAGATTAACGAAACTAATCATTTGGTGATAATTCACGTTTTATTTATACGACTGTTTTGATTAGAAAGCATTTTAATCCAGCATTAATATATACGGTAGAGCGATGAAGTATTTGTTAGTTCTTTACGATATGATGTACCTAATAAAAGAATGTGTTATGAATATTTCACATTCTTCCTTTATAATTTGTCCGCGTCTCATCGCGAGGGGGCCAGAAGACGTTGTTACATAAAATGAAACTTATTATAATCTGACGATACCTACTTGTTTTTATTTAATATTTTACAAGAATATTCCTTACCCAACATTTGCATAGAAATAACAATGATGATTGTTTTAGTTTCTCGTACCTAATTATTGTCTTAAAACGCTGCGTCCGTGGAATTGTATTAAAAAAAAGATATTTCAGAAAGTCAATTTTCCGAATTCCAAACAGACTTTTGTATTTTAGCTTACCTAATAAGGATAGGTAACCAAATACAATCAGATATCTGCCATATGGTATGACAAATCTTTAGAAAGATTATTCGAGTCCACTAAGTGACAAACTTACGAACTATGTTTATTAATTATTACTCATTTGTTACTTACTTATGCCACTATAGAAATCGCATTTACCTATTTGAAATCAGAACTTCTAATGATCAAATTTTTATCAGTCAAAAATGAACCCAATAATCATTAACATAGCATTTAATTCTATAAATCATGTTCATATAATCGAGCTCACATTCTTGAACCAAATTCAAAACATCAACTTTATAGAAAACAATTTTACTAACGAGGTTTTATTTCAAAGCATAGCAGTTAATACTGGTAGCCATTTTTAAGTATCGAACCTTTATCTACCATTTTAATTTAACGATTAAAAAGTTTTAAAACATTCAACTCCCGACCCTATTCTGTACCACATAAGAGAATTGATAATTTATTCAACGAATTTTTATCTTGGTACTTTCTATGCGTCAATCACGAATTACAATTTTGACGGTAATCGATAGGTTATCGGTAGCTGCCATCTAGCGGCCAGTAGCAGTACCATTGATTGACATGTGACCGAACAACAAAAGAAATAAGTAGCCAGTAGCTACTTTATTTTTTACGCTCTGACTTGCAATGGAATCAATGTATAAATCCGATACCCCTAATAATACTTTTTTATTTGCTTAGGCAATTTTTCGTTTAACTCCCTTTCAAATCAAATGATACCCTTTTTCATCACAGTAGGATAAAGGTTTTAAAACATTGTTGTTTGGATTGTTTTAGAGCAAAGAGCAAAAATGGCGGGAGATTGCTGCGTGAGAAATTGGAAAAGATCGGCCTGAACTTACCAGCGGGGCGGCGGAAAGCTGCCAACGTCACACTCCTTACGTCCTTAGTTGAAGGTAAATAAAATAAAATATACTTAATATTATGCTTACAATATTTTTAAACATGCAACATTAGCACCGATAATTATACGACCGGAGTTCTAAGTATCCCAAAATCTCCAATTTCAAATTGGTTGAATGGCTACCGAACAAGAGGTATCGATTTCGATGCGTAATAAAATCGATCGATTAGACACCAAAGTTTATTAGAGTCCTACAAAGTTGATTAAAATTACTATTTCGAAAATCTCATAAAGAAAAAGAAGCGAACTTTTCAGGTAGGGTCCAATTGGGCCAAAAAAATGTAAGTAAGACCAAAGAGATTTTTTTCTTTCGACTTATCATTAGCATCCCAGTTAAGTTCATTATGGCCAATCCGAGATAACCTTCAAGGCATATCAGCACCTAAACACCGTTACATAAGATATAAAATCCTTCAACAGCGGAAGCAGTGCACTTAGCCCGCGACTTCGGCTACGTGTGTGAGACGGAGTTCCCAGCGCGTGCACTCGCCGAGTACCTCGCGCGGCAGTACGCGGAGCACGACTCGAGGCGTAGAAGGGACCTGCTACAGGCGACTAAACAGGTAATTAATGGCGAATTTATCATTAATATGTGTAATGTGACTGCCTCGTTGGCTGAGTGGTCGCAAGTGCGACTGCCGGGCAAAATGTCTCGGGTTCGATTCTCGACCGATGCCAATGCGACTGCAATGCAACCCGTTGCCCTAACCTGCAAATATACTAAAACCCCTTGTTTTAGCATATCTGCAGCAACGGGTTGGATTGCAGTTTAAAGGTTCAGATTTATAGAGAGCGCTGCTGTCCGGTCTGTCAAATGCATAGATATAATTATTTCTGTAGTCAAATGTGTAGCCCCTTAGTTGTTTTAACGACACCTTCACTTACGTGTATTCTACTCTGCTGTACTACAGGTAACATGGGCAGTTTTATTAACCCCCTAATCTCTAAGTCCTCAAAAAGCCGGCAACGCATTTCTGGCGACACCATGTCAAATGACAGCTCAAGCACATAGACCAACGATGACAACAAAATCAACGGGTGGCGTCACAAAAATCCTGCATGCGAAGTATACATGCGAATAAACACGGATAGAAAATCCCTATAAAACAACTGTTGGACAGAAAGGCACGATCACGTCGCCTGGTCAGAGGACCTTTACTCTGTTCCCTAAACATTTATAACTAATCTCGTGTTACGAACCATGTGCGGCGCCGATTTCTTACCATCATGTGTTCCGTCTGCTCGTTTATCGCCCAATCTCTGAAATAAATATGACTCTCTAATGCTTTTTTAAATTATTATTTATACGATTAGCCTTTGACAATTCGAAGTTTCCCTGGTCCCATACAAGAATAGGTATAAATCGAACTCGTTCTAGCGGTTGAAAAGATAAAGCCTATAAATGCCCACTGCTGAGCAAAGCCTCTTCTAACACGGAAAATGTTTGAGCATTAATCACCACGCTTAATCAATGCAGGTTGGCGGTTACAAACGATTGGCGATTATAATTAGAAATTATAAGCCCAGGTTTCCTCACGATGTTTTCCTTTACCGTTTGTCAATAGTGTCTAAATAATCTTAGAAAGTACATATAACTCGGAAAAACTCGTTGGTAGGTTTCGAATTCACACCCTCATGCATGAGAAGCGGGCGTCTTAAACTTCCGGGCCACCACGTATACGACAAGATTTCAACTATTTTTTATTAATAACTTTATATTTGTACAGGTTATAAAGGAGCTGATGGACTTGTTGAATCAGGACCGATCACCACTCTGCAATACCAGGCCACCACATTTACTAGAGCCGGCAATACAGCGCCATCTAACACATTTCTCACTCATCTCACACGGGTTTGGAGGTCCAGCTATAGTGGCCGCGCTCACAGCTATACAGGTGTGTATTTGAGTATATCATTATTTACGTGTTGCTGAAATTAATAACCAATCCAAATTTTCATTAATCGAATGGATCTAATATCGATCTAGCATTTTTGACAGATATTCCATGTAACTGACGTCCAAAATTTATGGCTTTTAGGTTGACACTGATTATTAATTTCGGCCAATAACCTGTTGAAATTTCATCCCCTAAATTTATTCATACAAAAGTAGTATTTAAACATCGGAAATAAGGTCTGCAATATAGTTAATGGAGAGCGGTCACCGGTGACGGGGATTTAGAATTATGGATCGTGAAATGGTCATGGAATAAAGAATAAACGGAGCACTAAGAGAAAGCTAATTTACAGTACACAATGTAATGTAAATTTATTAATTTGATGTCAAGATCGCTGATTGTGTTGTCATTTACCCTTAAATAAAAATGTATTAAAATTCCAGTTATTGTAATTTGTTAGAGGTCTTAATAGTAACTGTTGTTAAAGAAAATTATAAATATTAAAAGTGTTTATTAATAGCGAAAAATATCAATTAAGTCTATTTTACGCCTACACTCTCACTCAATTATCACTATAATATTCTAAATCACAATCCTCGCAATTTAAATGTCGGTCAATCGCTATACCGCCAAATATGTAGATAAAATAGCGATTATAATTAACTAAAATTGCCCTTCTAACTGTTTATTTTTATTTTCTTTTCCAGAATTTCCTCAACGAATCTCTCAAGCATTTAGACAAGTTATATCCTCAAAGCGGCATGGTGTCATCGTCGATGGATAAAACAAAAATGGACCCTGACATCAAGAAGTAACAAATGCGTTACAGCAATGACGACGGTCTCATTAAAAAAACTCGCGACGAGAACAAACCTCTCGCGTACTGTTCAAGTAACAGACGAAAAATGAATCTAAACATAAAAGTACTGAATTTGACACTTGCCTTCAAATCAGCGTTGTCATCGATTGTTAAAGTCATTATGTACGCACTCTAAGGCAAAGACGTGCCCATCATACAGCCAAGGCATAATGATATTATCTCTAACTGCCATAAAATGTTCGCGCAGAAAATCTTTGGAGATTGCGTATTTATTTTTATGACGATCTTCGTTAGAGGCGACCCGCATACAAATAAAGTGCAATTATAATACTCATGATTGTGAGAATCTGTACATATAGTCTAGAATTAAAACTAGTGGTTAATTTAAGCATTTATAGCGAATAATTTTCAGCTCAACCAACAGTGATTTTTGTAACTGCAAAAGAATATTTTTAATAAGAAAATAAATATTTCACATCCACCGCAATAAAGACACATATCAATAATGTACATAGTAATAATTATAGAACGAAAGTTTTATCGTTTCTCACAAAAGTTTCATACTGTTTTAGATTAAAAAGAAAATAATAAAAACCTCTTTAGTTTTTAATTAGGGTATAGTTTTGCTAGCGACTCAATGTGAAAGTGTGCCAATTAGTTTTAATTATGGAAACACCATAACGGGTTCCCGAAAATTAAGTATTTAATTAATATTTATTGTGGCTTGTACATAATACTTATAAAAATTACTATTCACTTGCCTATAATTAGTTTTTTTTCTAAAATTATTCTAGTATTCGACATCTGTCTCTTACTCCAATTAATTGTATTTAGTACCTAAAGTTAATTTTATTGCGTGATATTGTAAGTGTGATCCTTCATTCAATTTTGTTTGTATCAAAATAGAGGTGGTCTAAACAGAAAAAAACTTTGAAATACCATGTACACACGGCTACACATCGAGCTTTACATAACCAGTATAAACTGAACGTTAAATGTGCGGAAAGATGATGCGACAGGATTCCAGGACAAACTGGTTTTGTATAGATTGATGTGTGGCCGTGTGTACATGCAGCCAATTTCGATGCACATAAGATCCAAATCCATCGCTGATTTACTTATTCGACGTAAAACTCTATAACATTTATATTGAACTTATGTCAAAAATTCTATACCTGGTTGCGGAAATCTATCGACAGTCATTGAGACTGGCTGTAAGACCACCTCTACATTTTGTTTATCAATCGACAAACAACAATTTGTACACATCAGATTAATTATCCTGTCATATGAAAAATATATCATTTCTTTGTAAATAATGTGTTTAATAAATCTATCTTCCCTTCAGTTTTATTGCTAAGGATTCAGACTCACTGAAACAAGAACCAAAAAGGTTTGAAACAAAAACATTTTCCGTCTCTGTCGCACGGTGTCTCTGTCTATTTAGCACTCCATTCTTTTAATCATCTGTGCTGTGTTGTAAAGAGCTGTTTATAAAAGTTTGAAATTCAAACATATGAATTCCATAGTAAATTATTTTTGTAAAAAAAATACTACTACTATATTTTTTTACGCGAAATTGAATTATTTGAAATGAAATCGCTGACAGAGTAAATAAACCTAAGATAATTTTAATTCTGACCATTTTATTGACACTGAAATTAAATACAATTTTACAAACATTAGGCAAGTTATTAAAACTGATACAAATTTAGACAACAGATTCTTAAAATGTGTCAATAAATGTGTGCCTCTGTCCCAGTTGTCTGTTCCATTTTTGCTTCAACATTTTCAAAGTTATGTGGTAGTGATAGGGATCATTATTCTATGTCAAATAAGAACATTCTTAAGCCTTTTTGTAAAGAACTGAAAATTTTATTCAATCTTATCAATTAAAATTAATGGTACTCTGCACTTTATTGTAAGTTTTTAATATTGTCTTAATTTGATATTATTTTATAATAATAAATGTAAATTTTTCATTACCACAACGTACTTAAATTTTGTTTCGTGGAGTAAAGAATGATGTTATAAAAGAAATTGTTTGATTTTTATTAAGCCCTTATTTTGAATAGTACTATAATTTTAATTAATCGCTGCTGTTTTTGTGTCCCATAGATGCAACGAATTTACTCCTTTTTTCCTGGATTGATTCTAATATTAATAATATTTTAATTCCATAAACCAAACACGTAAATCAATAAAAGAAATCCATAATAATTAGAAAATACATAGTAATAAATAACTGCAACAAATAATAAAAATAACAGCGCCATCTATAATCGAGTAGCAGAACTATTAACGGTGTACTGTTATACAAATAATCAGACCGTTTATGTTGATAATGTTTCGTAACTTTTTACACATGGATACATTTTACGTGTAGTTCTAGCAAATTATATGACTTCTTGCACTATGTCATTTCTTTATGCCGTATAGTATGTCACTAGATGGTGTTGTAGTCAGAAACAAAATACCCATTGTATCGTGGCCATACACGTAGCGGGTATGTATCATATTATGGATGATTGTATTGTAACCTTGCACCTAAACCCTGGGTTGTACCTTACCTATGCAATATACCTATACAACAGGCTATCCTTATCAGTACAGCACAACTCGGTTTATATGCCTGTCGATTTTGCGTGGAGGGTTAAGAAATGGGTATACCCACCAATAGGTTTTGAATATTCCTTGCATTATAGACGCGTGCGTGGTGTTCACTCACGTTTCGTTTGGCATTTCCCATCTAACCAAAATCCTATGAAAAACCCATAGACAGTCTCAAGTGCCCAAAGGCCAACAAATGCCTAAAAAAAATTAACCGTCAAGAGTGTCATATATTATGCCAAATTGCCAATTGTGTATTGTGTAATGCAAAGAGTATAATAAGTATAGGGGTAGTGTAATGTCAAGTCAACAAAAACGATTTTGGCGTTTTTGAAGTTTTAACAATTTAGAATTGTAATTTTAGCGAGTAAATAATATTTACTATGGATATCAGTTACGAGAATATGCCAACAAAACAGTGCTTTAAATGCAACGAAGAGGCTCTCATCAATCTAAACGTATTTTATTACGCACCTAGCGATACAATAATATTATGGAACCAATATCAAATATTCGTTTATGTAAATAAAAAATTCGAAAAACCTGTGATAAAATTTAATTCTAGGTATGAAATACTGGACATAATGATCTGTGATATCTATTTAGCTTGCGTTGATAATTGTGGCGAAATCCAATTACATTGTTTAAACACTAATTCAAAAATTTACTTTTCCATGGGCCGTGGATCTTCAAACTACATTGTGGCCGTATCGCTCATCAAAAATAACATGGCTTTATGTTTGAAATACAACTCAAATACATATTCTATATGCTTAAATCAAATTGCGAAATATTTCGAGTTTGAGAATCAAGTACAATTGCTATGCAATGACGCGTTACCACCTTTACAGACACCAGACAGATACATTATAGTACACGGAAGTCTCCAGTCCATTACAGATGACCATTTAGAAACTCTGCAAAACACGTTTTGTATTAATGAGTACCAAAAAATCTCAAAGAATCATAAGTTAGTAGTATTATCCTTTGATAAATTAGATGCTTATAGTTGCATAATAATGTGTGAAAAGTCTCAATGTGAAGCTAAACTAGTGAAACTATACTCATGTCCGTCTGAAATATCCAATATAAACATTATTGAACCAGAACTGACTGTTGTGATAACTCTTGCTATAGGCACAGTTGTTATTCTGTCCTGGACTGACCTTAAGACACCTAAGATAGTTCATTTGAACATTGCAGTTCACAAATCCTTAGTTTACAAAGGTTCCATCATCTACACCGATGGGAAAACTCTATGGAGAGCCGACAATATTATGTCCCAAGACATAAAATTCAGGCAATTCTTTGTGAAACAAGTTAAAGATTTTGTAATAGTGGGAAATGAGATTATTTGTACCACATTCACGAATTTAATATATACATTTTCTATAGATAGTCCAGAGTCATATTTGAAGGATGAATCCATTGAGTACTGCCCTGCAGACAGGCTGTTGAACAATCATTCTGATTATGTAAAGAAAATTCTGGATGAAGTTAATAAAAATGATGTGATAGCCAAAAAACTGATGAAAGAAAGAGATTACATTACTGCATTGTCTCTGTCCAACAGGCAGGATGTGATGGACAGCGTTATAAACCACAAAGTTATAGTGTATGACAACTATGACGATGCAATCATGGAAAATAAAAAAGCTATCCTAACAAGCAACTTTAGCGAGTATTTTGAGGAAGAATCATTCTTCATTTTGGTGAAAATTGCCACAACTACAGAACATAAACTGGACCATATTTTATCAAATGCCACCGGAGACTTGAGAATCCACTTAACAGTGTCTACAAGTACTAAAGTAATTAAAACTATAAGTATAAAAGTTGCAGAAATTAAGAAACTTAGTTATTTAATACCACTAAAGAGCAAAGCTATTGATTTCACAGAAATGAATGTAAATATAAAAATTATGTCAACAATACCGGGAGCTTTGGATGCTAAACACAAGACATTTACCATATTGTATAGAAAACAAGTAACATTACACTCGGAACACTTTATAAAATTCAACCTGATTCTTAATAGACGGCAATGCTTGAAGAGATTTGAAGATCCGTTAGCTAAACTCATTTTGCAAAGCTCTATCAATAATTTTGGACATCTATTTGAATTTGAAGATGGTATAAAGCACAGACCTTCAAAAGAATGGCAAATGTATGTAAGATTGCCGGATAAATATCAAGAAGTATTCAGAAACAAGGAGAACACTAAACATCTAACTTCAAAGAAGGTCACATACTTCCTCCAACAATTTACATCTGAAGAATTTTTAAAATCTAAAAGTAATTTAATATTCTCCATAGGTAATGAGAAAGTGAAGATAGAGATATACAATGATAGCTTCTCAAATCCCCTACTGAAGTTGTCCAGTGCTAATATAAAAATATTATCGAATATGAGGAATTTCTTATCAGACTTGATTTACTGTGTGTTCACCAATTTCGCTCCTGGGAACGAGTTCATCAATCTTTCTTCATATGCTACTATTGAAGTTAGTATCTACTTTGAACTGTATCTACTACTGTCTACTTTAAAATATTTTTTGTTTGAATAGGTATTAGAAAATTCGTTTTACAAATTCACGCCTATTCCCCAATGGGGTAAGCACAAGAGCACATAATGAATTAATGGACACACCCACTTTTCACTAGTTCTGTTGCATTTCCAAAAAATTGCAATTACATGACCTGGAATCGAACCCGAAACCCCTTGCTCGGCGAACACTAAACCAACGAGGAAGTCTAAATAAAAATATCGAGACAAAAATACTGTAAACAAATTTTTTTGAATCAATCTAGTAGTTTGTCTTAATCGATGCTATCACGTAAAATTTTTCTCAAAAATTGAAAATAAATTACTTATCATTTTCAATTAAAATTTTTTAATTTTAAATTTATATTTTTATTTAATTTTAATCTTTTTTTATTAAAAATATAATAATTTATAATATTAAAAATTAAGAATATTATTTGTTTTAATATATATAGGAGGATTTAGATTAAGAATTATATTTTATTTAAAATTATTTATTTCTTTTTTAGTTTTAGTATGTTTGTGTAGAGTATATTTCTACTGTTTCAGAATCTACAGAAAGCTGTACGAACATGTATTGCAGCTTCCTCCGAAGATTTGGAACCCCTCATAGAACAATTTGAAAGGAATGTCATTGGAGTTTTACCTATTTGAAAATAACCAATGCTCTTGTTTATATATTATTTTACCTAATTTAAGACTAATAAACTGTGATCAAAATGTAATAAATCGTTTTTTACTTTTGTAATTGTTTCTGTCTGTTCATAATACCTTTACCTATGTATAGTAACTGTACATAAGTGGCACAGGCATACATTGGTCTGCCTACAACTATGGTACAGGAGCGTCTGTATTGTTTTAGTAAAGGTGCTGAAGAGATTTTTGTGCAATTTTCTAAAATTGAGTACCAATTTAGAGACCCATAACATCTATGGAAGACAGAATATAAAAGAAAATAAAACAAGAATTAATTATAATCTATGTTTATTTTTAGACCATTCTCCTCAGGAGCTCGTTGATCTTGTCTTCACGGTTTCCGAAGTCACCTCCGTCGACGTAGTGAATGGTCTTCTTGCGCCAACCACCGGTCGGGTTGTTCAGCTTGAATGGCCAGAGGAAGTTGCTGGCGTACTGTGGAACAAAGGAATAATGTTAGCATTGCATTTAGTCTATCATTATGGCCTATTATTTGATCAGCAGTTTTATATTACGGAAAACTTATTGTCGTCAAAATTGTATGTAGATAACGATTTCATTATTTTTATATTAGAAAAGATATCTTGATGCAGTAACAAGTAGTTGTGACTGTCGACAGAATAATGATGAGGATAAATATACCGCTACTGACCAACACCAAATGGGGGCGTTCAATGTGACAAAATACAGAAAATATTGATAATTTTTACTAGTAAACTAGTCTTTTTTTATGTAGTTAGGAACAAAATTGTTAACTCTTACCTTGAACTTCTCACCGACGCTGAAGATCTCGTGGATGAGGTCCTCAACACAGATGATGTTCTGTTTGCCGAGCTTCTGCTCAACAATTGTGTTGGAGGTGATGGGCACACGCTGGCCATTCACCTTGGCGAAACCGCGCTTGTATACCAACTGTAGAAGAAATAGAGGTCATTTAGAAATGGTGACTGGAAGAATTATGTCATGTCAGTCGACTGTGTGGCAGATTTCCTTATTTTATGCAAATCGAGTCGCGTGTAGTAGAAACTTCTTATCTTCTAGTCTGCGCTACGGAAACTACGTCCAGTTGTTGTAAACAAAGGTGTAGTAGACACAATATATTCCTATTAGACTAAATATCTTTATTTTAAAAAAAATAAATGCCAAAAATTAATTCAATTCACTTCCAATAAAATTTTGTTACATTTATCCTGTAAAAAAAAGTTCACTAAGCAGTGCTTGTACTGACCTCCCTAACACTCTTCAGGTTGGGGTATCCCCACGCGATGTAGGGCTCGGCAATACGGAGCATGTTCACGGTAGCCTTGTTGAGGCGCACGAACACACCATTGTTGATCTGACGCAGTCTGAACAACTGCAGGACTTTGCGGACCTATACAACAAAAGTAATATTAACATCATTTTAATTTACGATAAGGCTTTGAAGATCAGTTACACAACTTGAAACTATTTAGAAATGATTATACCAAGAAATCGTCGTGGTGGCTCGGAGGTTTAAGACGCCTGCTTCTCATGCATGAGGGTGCGGGTTCGAAACCTACCAACGGCAAGTACCAATGTGACTTTTTCCGAGTTATATGTACTTTCTAAGATTATCTAGACACCACTGACAAACGGTGAAGGAAAAACATCGTGAGGAAACCTCGGCTTATAATTTCTAATTATAAGTTTGAAATCGCCAACCCGCATTGAGCAAGCGTGGTGATTAATGCTCAAACCTTCTCCGTGTGAGAAGAGGCTTTGCTCAGCAGTGGGCTTTTATAGGCTGTTGATGTTGATACCAAGAAAAAAAGATAATTTTCTAGTAGGTTAATGTCTAAATCTCAAAATTAAATGTTATACATATACATAGACTGTCCTTGACGTTCATAAGACACGCCATCGGCACAACTTTGTTGAAGTTTTAAGTCGACATTTTAACAGGGGAAAATCTTTACACATGAATTCAAAATGCTCTATAGCATGTCTGTGTGACAAAAACACCTTGACAATATATACACCTAATTGGAGACTCGGTTGCCAAAGAAGAAAGAAAAAAAAAATATACACCTAAATTAATTTTCAACTTATTGCACTGACCACACTCTCATTGCATCACCTAAAGGTTGGCTAGTAAGAATGCCCATGGCATTAAACCCGCCTATGTACCCTAGTTGCATAAAGTTAAATAAATAAAAATTTACCTTGGGTGAGACCTGGTTGATACCACGGATACGGATGACGAAGGCGAGCTTAGCTTCACCAGGTACGTAGTAGTTGCCGCGGTTGCGAGCCTGGAAACAAAGGATATATTTCAAGTCAATTTTGCGTTAACAGTCTTCCTACAAAAAATCAGTTAAACACTGATTCAACACATGTTTAGCTAAACACTGTATAAATAGTTGAACACGTTTATCAATGGTTTTACTGTCGCTACTGCCACAAAACCATGTTTAGTGGTTGTTTAATTAACCTATGTTCAAACCAATCCTTATTTAAACGTCTCAATACATTCATTCAAATCAGTCTTTTGTATTTCATGCCATGGAAATAGCTTAATGAATAAACAATTTATAATTAAAAAAAAACAGTTGTCCATCAAATAAGAGCAGACAATATAAATAATATGTGAATTAGGATTATAAGTTTAATTACAATTCATTTTAGCATTTCATAAAATACATGAGCACAGAGTAACTGACTAGTATAGTTATGTCAAAGAAACGAAACATTGGCGTTGTCATATTCTGTTGTTGCTGTAACCGTTCCGGCGCGGCAGCATTGTTTATATTTTTTTTTACAAGTAATCTGTATTATCTGTGGAACAATTTTACCACCACGATGGTCACTAGGAAGATCTCCCTTAATTAAATCCACGATATTATTTGCAAAAACGTTGCTAAATCTATATTTAAAACTTGCATCACTGTTCATGTTCAAATTAATAAATTCGTACCTGAGTTGTTACATTATTTCGAAAACATTCGGCGTAATCGATGTCTTGTACATCTATGAAGTCCAAGAAGTCTATAAAGTCTATGATGTCCATTTAGATTACTTCAATATAAAACAATCAACTTAAAAAAAACACACGTAATATCACAGTAAATGACTGACATAAATGACAGACTGAGCTTGAACACTCACTAAACTGGCTTCTTTCGGTGTTTTAAACAATGCCTAAGGTATGTCTGTCTCTAAAACATTATTTTGTGTAAGTATTTTTTCTAAACATCTGTTGAACAGGTGTCCATCTTTTTTGCAGTAAGACTAAAAGTCATTTTAGATATCATGACATGAACACAGTCATCTGACAATGTTTTTTTAGCATGTATTTGCAATCAGTCTTCGGATTATGGGACAGGAAATCTGCTCTGTGAAAATAACAATTTAAAATTAAACATTGTCTATCTTACCTGTCTGGCTAGCCTGATCTCATCTCGCTCCCTGATGCGGTATTCCTTAACATACTGTTCAGCCCTCTTGAAGATTTCCTTCCTCTTCTTGATGGCAGATGAACGCCTCTTGAGGGTAACCTAGTAATAAAACATTACATGAATAAGTTATCTTTATACAAGTGGTCAAATTATGGAAGATATCACTTATAAAAGTGCGTTGTTCAGATTTACCCTGGTATTTGACCAAAAAATTGTCTTTTGAGCTAAAATTACCGTTTCTAGTCTCCACAAATAAATACTTCATTTACTGAGTACTATGACCTATTTATCCTTATTAATATGATTTATGTAAAAGTGTCTTTATTTATCTTTCTTCCATATTATATGGAAGTGTATGGTTTACAGTATTTTTGTATGGACAGTGGATGCTGGAAAGTGGTATAATGGAGTTCTACCTTTGATCATGCAGATGGAAAGCTTGTACTAACGTATTGTTGTGCATTCTCTTGCAAATAATGCCATTGACTTTAAAAACTCATTAATTATAGAGGTTATGTTGTCATACCTGCAGGCGACGAGTGCGGAGAGCTTCCCTCCTCTTGCGGTGCTTGAGCACTGACTCAGGGACGGCGGGCAGCTTCTTGCTGTCCTCCTTACCCTTCACTGGCTTCTTCTCGGCCGGAGCCTTCTTGTCTGTAGTCGCAACCATCGTGCTGGAAATGCAACCACTTATTGTAGATTAAGAGGAATTTGTTTTGATATTTGGTATGGAGTTGGGTTTCGTTAGCTGTTGAAGCTGGCGGTAGATTTGTTAGAGGTAATAGATGGGACATTTTGAGTAGAAACAGATGTAGTCTTGACAATATTGTTGCACCCATGCAGTTTTTGAATAATGTCCTTGATTTTATTCTTTTTGTTACATAGTTAAAATTCAATATTAGCGGTAATACTAGATTGTTGAGACAATATAAGCATGTTTGTAACAGCAGAGCTCCAGTACTTGGGCCTCAGACAATAACAGATTTAGTAACCATGAAATCTGAGAAATATGACGTTGGCATTAGTTCATACGTTTAAAATACGGACAATGGTAAAAGAATAATATAAATAGTCACTAAATATCAAATGAATACTTGATATTTTTTATAAGTTTTTATGCCAAACCACACTTTATTGACGTTGAGGTTAGGTCGTGTTGCATGAACTTTTGAACTTAAGAATTGGGCTAAATATGCATATATACGTGAACTAATTTACAAATTAAAGATGTTTACGCGTGTACAAAAAATTAAATTGCTACAATATATTCATTACAAGTAAAAAACAAACGCGTTTGGTGTGGCGGCATGACATCCTACGACCCATCACATTTATCAACACATTTCACAAAATTCACTAAACCTTTTATTATACTAACACTGCAGTTGCAATTCTTATGAAATTACCGTGTGTTTTAGCACTTAAATACTAATAAATGTATTATTTTTTAACAACCTGCGGGGCAAAACTCCACGCGGCACGTGTGTCAAATTATCAAAAGAAAGACAGAAAATAGACTTCCGCCAGTCGCCATTTTCAATTATTTTTTTATTGTAGCAACACTAAAGGCTGTTCAATTTAATGTTCTTAATGTTAGAAAAGCTGTACTAATTATTTTATTTTTCTATGCCATTTCTTTCTATCCTTGATCTTAAACAAAAAAATTAAAATATACCACGAGACACACAAACACTTTCGGTTTGTAAATGATTTGCAAATAAACAGCCGTATAAAAAGTTACATTCACCACGAAATGGAACAGCACCTATATTTTTTTTAAATCTTTCTCGACTCTTTGCTAACTTCCGGTGCCGCGAGTTTACAAAAATTAAAAACTATTGAGCTAACGTTTCCCTAGTAACTTATAAACAAAGTGAGATTTTGCAAATAGTTGCTGTGCTATCCAAGTTTTTACATAATAATTATAAATAATTTACCGTAGTAAGTCAAAATGGGTGATTTGAAAGACCCGCAACTGAGTGCCCTAAATGCAGGGGAGCTAGATTTGTATGTCGACAGCATGGAACCATCGCGTATTGACTACATAGGCAATCAGGGGTAAGCATACACGAGGTTTATAAATCTTTTTCATAAATAATACGAATAAACAAATAATGCTACCTACCACAAAAGATGACTTACTCGTTATATTCAATGTGTTTTTTTTAAGAGGGGAAAATCATCGAACGACTGCTCCCGCCTGGGTGAGGCGGGAGGGAGTGTCAGAGTCTTACTGACTAAAAACCACCCCGTTCCTTCTCCTGCACGTCGAGCCGGAGCCCCGGTAACCCGTTAGGTTCTCCGCGACATATATTCAATGTGTAAGGTACTATTTAATGCTGTCTTTCTAGATGGGTAGACTGGCACATACGGTTGCAGAAACTGAATCAGCAAGCTGTCTTGGAAGCGTCTTCAATGATGGAGGAACGCACCAAGGAAACCCTAATTTCCTCTGGAAAGGTGAATACTAATATACCTATTCCCGTGTGTTTTATAATCTCATATGTAAGAGATTGGAAGATTAAATTATTACGTGAGTAAGCCGAAAACATAATAATTTATGTAGTATGTCTCACGAAAGTTACAATACAAAGATTAGAAGATTACCTAAATTTTCAGTTGCCAGTGTTAGTCTATGAAGCGATATGCATACAAGTATGGCGTACGAAGATCTACCCGCAAATCATTAAATTAGAACCAGCTCCGGAGAATACATTCGGCGTTTATATGGTGGTGAGTTTAAAATATTGTTATAAACGTTTAAGTAGATTTATGAAACTTTCATTCATAATTATAGAATCGACCCATGTTTCAAATATGTAGATCGTTTTTTCAAATCAGCAGAGTAGTTAAATCTAATGAACTTGTTGTGATCCTTTAGTAGTGGCGTGTGGTGTGTAGGTCCTGAGATGTACGGTGTAGCCTTGGGTAGAGGTTAGTATAATTGAAAGTCACTTCATGAACGTCACATGGATATTTATTTAGTCACCATTACATATAAGTCACACTGATATCAGTCTAAGTTAGGCACACGGTTAAAACCAGATTTACATGTTTGCGCCACCATTGCGCGTAAGGAACTAGTGCTCGAACCTGGCGCGGCCCCGCTTGGTGACTCCTCACTTTTGTCGCGTAAGCATAATGTGCATGTGTGGCGTGAGGCCCCACAAACTTATGACCTAGACTCTGTTTAAAACCAATGTTCTAATTTATTATCTATGACTTGCAGTTGTATCATGAGGCAGCGACTGTTGGATTACTGGAGACCGTGTTGTTCCACGAGGACGGCGCGCAGTGCATCAGCGAAGTTGTGGTCGACTTACTGAACTACGCCGTCGACCAGCTCACTGCTTTGTTGGCTCTTATCAAGTACGTTCTTATCCTGTGACGATAGAGTATATTTGACAGCATTTCTAGTCTTGTTTAAATCTGTGCTTTCTACGGGTCTAAATTACGGCCCCTGGGCTAATCAAAATTGGAAAGAAAAAAGAAGGGACCTTCAGTTCTTACCAGCTTAGCCTAGGACTCTAGGATCATCTATTAAATTCTTTGGGACTTTTTCTTCTTTCACATAGTAACGAGTATTTGAAGCCAATGTCAGCAAAGGAGTTAGAATGTGAGACTGCCATTGAAGAACTGGAGCGTCAGAAACGAGACCTGCAGTTTGACATCAGCATGCGATGCGTCTCTATCGTGCGGTAAGCCATTATTACACTGGCCTACTTATTAAGGTACAATCGACAAAGTTGGAGGTCGACTATCATTAGGCGCATCTTCGATCAACAAAGAGGCGCATGCACTTGATGTGAGCGACCACAGAAAACATCGTGGATAGCGAGTTAGCCACAGCCACAGGATTTTGTTTTAAATGTGTACTTTGCCGATAGTACCTATTCTGTCTACTTAGCAGTTGAAGACTTTGAAGAGGCTCTTGATGCTTATTAACGAGCGATAATTCTTAACTCCTTTACCTACTTTCGGAGCATAAGCTGAGCTAGTATTTTTGTACTTACTTTTTTGCTTCTATTCTACACACCTTCATAGTTACAGAGAGTTTAAGGTTATACTCATTAGGCACATATTTCTATCTATGCGCCATGGCATGAGGTCTGGGTTTGGAAAGATCGTCAAGATGGCAATAGTTTGATAGTTAGATACGTACTTAACCACCTATAGAAACATGATATAAAATTATCTTTGTCTCCAGCTACATAGCGGAGCACATGGAGGTGGGAGGCGCGGGGGCCTCGATCTCTACGAACTTGTATAAGACGCACGACGTGCCCTCGCTACTCACGCACCTACTGCTGCACGAACCTTGGATGAAGAGGAACGATAAGGGCGAATTGCAGATTTTTAACTGTAAGTCTGTCTCATTTGTTCACTGGTCATAAGAGCGGCTGTGAAACAATTAAGGCGTCTCGATTTCCTTTCCCTGGTCGGTCAGTGTTGATAGGGTTTTTTTTTAATTTTGTCAGTACCTAGTAACACGGGGTCGGAAATGAAGTAAATTCGTGCGGTATATGGCAATATGTTCTACTTGAGTACCGAAGAATGCATCTCGATTTCGTTTAAGTGATAAATACTACCACTTCATAGATGGTCGTTGGAGCAAGCCGTCAGCGGAAGATTTGTCTCAGTTACATCGCACGGAGGCTCAGCTCTGGCTATGTGTGAGACAACTACTGCTGGAGCCGAGGCTGGCCCACTACTATACCATCGATGAGTGCCGCCGGAGTGCATTCTGCAAGGTAATTTTTCTATAATGCAGTAACAAGTACTATGTAGTGTCTGCCTAAAGGCTCCTACACACAGTGCCGCCGGCAGGGCCGCCGTGCACTCGGCGGCATAAAAAGGAGCCGCCGGCAAGTAAAACATTTTCACTTCACTAGCGTTCTATGACTGTCACAACCGGAATGATGCTTGACGGCTTTGTGCGGCTTGTGCCTTGTATTGCCGGCGGCATGTGTAGTAGCCTTTAAGTAGAGCCTATTTACTCTTTACAGAATTTAGGTATGTACCTATTTTCAAAGTGAAATGAAGTTATTTACTAAGTTTACATCCAGTCAACATTAAATTTTTATACATGTCATGTTTTCCTAGTCTAATGAGAACGGTATGATGATAGATGAGAACGGTATCTATATCATGTCATAACTACCTAATAAACGGCTAAACTGATTTCGATATATCATACTTTTTGTTTTGCCTATGGTATAGCTCCACTTATAAAATGAATGTACTGATATAAATTGCTGTTTCTTTGTAATCTCTCCAGCTCCAAGCCAAGATGACGGAGCCCATGTTGGACCAGATCCCACCACTTGGTGACCTGAAGATGTTCCTGTGTCGGCTGGCTGTGGGAGACTACTCCAGCATGCACAATCGAACTAACGGTGTCAAGAACCCTGGATGCACTCTCATTGAGATTGTCCCACAGGTCAACTACACTTTAGTAACGTTATTTTAGACATTTCTGTTGTATGTATCCAATCCTTTTTACATATTTATCTGTACTTTCAAGCGTGGTTTGAAACTATTTGAGTTTTACCATCCGTTGTTGTTGTCCTTCCCATTTTTCGTAGGAACGTAATAATTAATCGCAACAGGACATTATGTCAAGGTCATATATGATAAAAATTACAAGCATAACATGCAATACAATATTGAAATTTAAAATGTAGTAAAACTAAACTAACTTTTTTACCAAGTGCAGTTTCTTAAGACCAAAAATAATGTTTTTGGTATATTCCAGATCAAAGATTCTTATCTAAAACAAGTACACAAGCGTACAAAGACGCTCGCTAAGTCCCAGCTGGAGTTATTCCACATGGACGGTTCCGAAGAGTCGCGGAATATGGCCAAGAAACTCCTGGAGTCGTACACCAGCGACACAGCGCTGGCACTGGACAGCGGCGGTGCTAAATGCGCTAAATGTGGAGACAAGGCTTCTAAAAAGTGTTCCAGATGTAAGACTGAGTGGTATTGTGGAAGGTGAGAAAAATATGGTATTTTGGACTATCTTCTAATACTCAGTTATTATTTTTACAAATTAAATGTGTTCCTGTCCCAAGAATCATTATCTACTTGTGGAAATCGTATAAAAATCTGTACAGTAATTCTTATTTATTGTACACAAATGTTGCAAGGGAGTTGTTCAAAAGCAATTATTGCAAATACACATTATAAAGTTAATGTATTGGTATTTTCATATTTCCTTATTCCTTTGTTCCAGGGAATGCCAAGTTCAACAATGGCCGAAGCACAAGGAGATCTGCGATCAGTTTTCCAAAATATGTGTTTGAAAGTCTTGCATTGCATTTAATTTTTATAGTTTTGTTTGAAGTGGAATGAGTGATTATGTTCTATTTATTGTCTAGCTTAGATTTAAATAAATATTATTTATTTTAGCATTATCCGTATTAATTTCAAAGTTAGTGAAATCAAAGAGAGTGAATTAGTTTTTTTGAATTTTTATTTTATAACTTAAGCACTAGGTGGATGATTAGCTTGAAGACTTCAGGTAGTCTTTGAGCACGTCCAACGCTGGTGTCTCCTCACCGAAGTCCTGGAAATATAGGAATTTAATTACATTTTCGTCATGTAGTTGCAACAGGTCCTTCGATATCTCCTTCAACCAGAGACAGCTGTGTTCAAACTATCTAAATTAGATGGAAATTGTTTGTATGAGTGATAGGAAAGTTGCCCGTGCAAGTGGCGCGGCACCATAGGGTCACTCGAGTTAATGTTGCGCTTGTATTTCGTCACTAACAACGATATATGTTGCTGGTGTTCGTGCTGAGCGCAATACTAAATTATGATATGGTGAAAAACACAAAATGGCTAGTTGCTTCTTAGTGTACATAGGTATATTTCCAATTGATAGATGTATATTATTTATTTTCCATCATAAATATATAAAACCCCTGTTTAAAAAAGTGTGTCGAACTTACCTTGATAACTACGCACGAGCAGCCGACGATTTTCCTGGCCTTGCCGTCTTTGTCGATTTTGCAAAGTCCGGCCCATTCACCGAGCTTTTTGTTGTTGTCGACCTGTACGATACAAAATGAACATTAAATATACATCAAATAGATACAAATATCATGAAATTGGTTATTTAGTAGTTAGATATTAGTATAAATGTTCGGGTGCTAGGAAAGTTGACTCGTCAGGGTGAGAGTCACCATAGGGGCACACGGTTTACTTTGCGCTCCGTTTGCGAAACCGATATGGAAACCGGGCTCGCTCGTGCGGAGCGCATTTATATAAAAAACAAGAAGAATTCATCTTAAATCACTAATAGCGAACTACAACTAATACATATGTGAGTTTATTAGTTTCTGAAGGATGAAAACCAAAGAAATCAGAATAGATAGTGAGAAATGATTGAGATAAAGGAATTTGCAACATAATGTCCTCTGAGAGAGAACAATGGAAAGATAATTACAAAATATAAGCATGTTTTAGTATCTAAACTCGATTTTCATCCTCATGCTTTAAGTGTAAGATTCAATTCACCTAGTAACTAAATTATACATAAGATATTTACCTTCACAAGTGGGATCTGGTGTTCATTGCAAAGAGCCTGGACGAGCTTCTTGTAGGCAGCCTCGTCGCAGTTCTCAGCAAGCACACAAAGGACAGCTTGCCTCCTGTTGTGGGAAAATTTAAATTTTTGTAAAACAATTTACACAAGACATTCAACCATGTGCTGCATACAGATGTAGTTTTACAGAAATAAAAGAATGTTAATTGAAATTGAAGAGCTCTTCTCTATCAACATTTTGGATTGTATTGATAATTCTCTGACAAATTATTATTATCATATTAGTTAGTTCAATCTTAACAAATACACATTCATTATCTTTCTTTGGCTAAAACAAATGTAGCACATATGGGAGGCCACAATGCCGACCATCAAAACAATGTGGTACTATGAATGTGCGTCACTCTCCGCATCAGAGTGTATCTCATACAACTAGATGAGCATGAGATATTTCCACAAAGCATGAAACTAGAACAGCCACACACTTTGTGAATATTGTTTGTAGTTCCGATGCAGGGCCCCATTAAACAATACTATGTAAGTATGTTATAAAGTTACTTTTCATTCATTTAAATAAGTTGTCTGTAAAACATGGTAGTGTATAAAACCTTAGTGTTTATTTTATTTTAAGATTAACAAAATCTCAAATCATTATCAGCAGTCTTTAATTGTAATGAGGCACTTGTTGAGTTACATGAGGTTTGTGTTCAAATTGTATTATTTTTAGTAATGTGTTTCGTGTTAGAAGTAAGATAAACAAAAGCCTACAGATAAACCAAAACAAATCTTTGTTTAAATCACTGGTATGAAGGATCATATTTGCTTACTTAGAACTGTACTTTGTTTTTAAGTTTTAGTTTCATACACAGACTGTAGAATTTGGTGAATCATATTACAAGGAAAAAAACCGCATTGTTCTAGTGAATAGTGAAGCCAAGACAACATGGTGAGACTCACCGTTATTGATATGAATTTCATGATTTTTAAAACAGTTACCAACTTAGCGTAAGTAACTAAGGGCCACAAGTCTTCAATCTAAATACAAAATCAAATGTAAGAGGCAGTCATATACTAACTTGTCAAGAGCCTTAGCGGCCTCGTGAAGTCCATGGACTAGTCCTCCGTGGATGAGGGCCGTCTTCAGAACCTCCTGTAGGGCTGTGTTCACATCCATGGCACCACCGCTCAAGACGGGGTTGGCGGGCACTTCACTGTTGAATAAAACCAAAATTTAAACACTTAAATTGATAATTATGATAATATATTGACGATTAAACACCATTATAAACCATATTTAGTAATAGTTCAGCACTATTGAGAACGATCAAGTTATTGAATCGAAATGTTTTGAAGGTTATGTTGACAACATGTTTACAATTTTAATTTACAATATTACAGATTTACGCTTGTAAATTCACTAGATAAGCAATATTTAGCACAAAATAAAGAAGGAATTAAGTTCCCAAAGGGATATTTACGCTAACACAAGCAAAAATTATAAGTACTTACACTTCGACATCAGCCATGGTTTCTTGTGATTAGACGACCTGAAATAGGAAATATAATAGATTGAGCGATACACCAACATGATTTTAAATACACTGTAGCCATTACAAGTTAAAAGATTGCGAAAATAATTCAAGATTCAGAGAAAGCGAACACAAAACGTTTGACAATTTACCTTGCGAACCGGAAAAAGACTAGTGCTGTCAAAAACATTTTTGAGTATGATAATAATTGGATTTTTATACTGGTAACATTCAATATACGAAACATAAAAAATCAAACTAAAATACCTATTAAGAATTTATGTAATAGTATGAATTAAAATGGAAACAAAATTAACTTGCTTTGTGGTGATAACATTTACAGCAATTTACTGAATATTAATAAGAGACCTAAAGAGACATTATTAAAAGTTTATATTAACCCTGGCAACTTACAATGAACTTTGATAAACTGCGGTAAGTTTAAAACAAAAGAGTGCCAACGCCACTGTCATTTGAATTTTGTAGCAATAATTTTATTTTATTTTGAAATTTCTTTATAAATATGTTTGTGTTGTGAAATCGTAGTGTTTTAGTGACTTATTTTACAAACTGTGTATTGTGCCTAGTTATAAAATATGAGTATTTTTGTATGTTAGAGATGTACTATCAATTAAGTTACGTATCATTGTTATTGGAATAATGAATCGAAGTCCTGATATACTGTTTATGGCAGAATATATAAAAAATGCATTATATTTTGCAACTGTAAGACAAGGAAAAACACTTAAGAATACCGTTGATACTCATTACTTTTGCATAGATAACGATTTAGTATACGAAAATTATTATTCTGACTTCGGGCCTTTAAATCTCGGTTGTGTTTATAAATATTGTAGAATATTAAACGAAAAACTCAAGCTGTATTTAAATAAGCAAACAATCGTTCATTACACTTCTATCGATCCGAAAAAGAAAGCAAATTCAGCATTCCTGCTAGGATGTTACGGTGTTTTGTATTTGAGTTTAACACCCAGAGATGCTTTAAAGCCCTTGATGGTCCATGGACAAAGCTACAGGTTATCATTTATTAAATAATTTGTTAATTTTATGTAGACATTCACTAATGCATTTCCAACACCGTAGACCGTTCCAAGATGCAACGCAAGGTGAATCTGCTTACACGATATCACTTATGGATTGTCTACAAGCAATTAAGAAAGCTCGAGAATTAGGTTTCTTCAACTTTCAAGATTTCAATTATGAAGAATATGAAAGACTAGGAAAAATCCAGGGTGGAGATTTGAATTGGATTGTGCCTGGTAAAACGATGATCATTAAAAATAATTTAAATTAATTACTTGACAGTTTGGTTTACAAATAGTTTAATTCACTTATCTTAATATTTTCAGGTAAATTTTTAGCGTTCATCGGTCCAGTTGACTACAGTGTATCGCTTTTCCACCCGCCTGAAATGTATATAAACTACTTTTTGGAAAACAATGTCAAAGTAGTAATTCGTTTAAATAAAAGATTATACGACGGAAATGTGTAAGTTCAAATAAAGTTAAATAAAATACATTTTAATTAAGACAATGATTGACTTGCCAGACAAAATTTAGGCAATACCCGGTGTCTTGCTTTCTTGAAGTCTAGTATTTATAAATTTTGTTTTGGTTTTAGATTTACTAACATGGGTATTATTCACTATGATTTGTTCTTTCCTGATGGATCCTGTCCAAGGCGACATATTCTGTTTAAATTCCTTCAAATTAGTGAAGAAGCAAGTTGCGCAATCGCTGTGCATTGCAAGGTTACGAATTTAGTCTATTTGAGCTATATTATTTGAATAAATTTATTTTCTGTTTCTGACGAATAACTTGTTCAGGCAGGTCTAGGGCGCACTGGCTCGTTGATTGGTTGTTACCTAATCAAACATTATCGGATGACGTCGCATGAAGCTATTGGGTGGATGAGGATTTGTAGACCTGGATCCGTCATAGGCCATCAGCAGGTAAATAAGTATATGTAATAAACATAATAAAGTTAGATAACTATTACCAAAGGGATTAAGGAATCTAATTCATTTTCTTTTTAAAGGGCTGGCTGGAGGAACTAGAGCCATGGCTGATGAAGCATGGAAATATTTATAGGTAAGTTGGTTAAAATTTTGTACAATCTTTGAATTATTACATTATTACCAAAAAATATAGTTTATAATACTGATATAGTTACGTGAATTGTTATGATATTTTCACATTTCATATTGAGAATTAGCTAATGAAAATTGAAATCAATAAAGTTTTCGACAGAAAACGTATCTATCAGGACACTGAAAAGTTTCCCATGCATGAATTTGGCGTTTATTCAATCGCCGAAAAGACAATGAAACAGCGACCAGTACTTTTTCATAAATCGCCTTCACCACCGCCTCCAATCCAAAAGCAAAACATACGATCGGAAACATTAACTCCAGTGAGACCACAGAACTCTCGAATAAAAGAAGGTAAATTGTTACTTTGTTCTTCAACCTTTTGCACCTAGTTAAATAAACGTTAATATAACTTTAAATACTTTAATTTATCCAAACAGTGTTATTTTTACTAATGTTACCTTTTTTTGTCTTACTATGGTTTCTAACTAGAGTATTCATTATTCTGTTTAAAATAACACTGTTTGTACTACTCATTTTTCTTCCAGCAAAGCTTACGCAACGCACCGTCAATTTACTCACAATAAGTTGTAAACAGTGTTATTTTAAATACGCTTAGACGGAATAAAATATTAAGGGACTAGCATGAAATGAATGTATTTCGTTTTTACGTTCAGACAACTTAGACAAAATGGACCATGAAGAAGAAGAAATATTTATTACGGCATGCGATTTGACCGCAATGCCAACCAAAACAATTCAACTGAAAGGATGTGTTATCAGAAGTACTGAATTAGTTGAAGAAGGTGATGAAAGTGATCAGCGCTCAGCGAAAGTTAATTTTTGGAGAAAATACGTGTGTTGCCAGTCGTGTTTTAGAAAAGTTAACGATAGTTTGTGGATGTTGGCGGTGCGTTGTACAAAAGCCAGTCCTCGATTTTGTAACGGGACAGGTTTATGCAGTATAATAGATGGGGTGTGTATGATACAGTAATTGATATACGTGTGCAGTTGTGATATTATATGTAGAGAAACAATGCGTTTAACTGCTTGTACTTTCGGTTTCAGGTTTTAACAAGACGCAGGAGAAGGAGTACGACTGGCACGTGAAACCGCAAAATCTAAACACTAGTCAGCAGAAGATGTTGTATAGGGGGTGAGATATTTTTTATTATAATTTTCTGTTTGACTATAGACTGACGTTACTAATATTTTATGCAGATAATGAGAGTTTTAAAGAACGGCTGCTAGAAATGTGATTGACAATTTAGTATAATGGGAGGCAAGTATGATGATAAGTATGAATGTATGTTTGATTAATATTACATACACTCGCAACAACATCAACAGCCTGTACGTACCCACTGCTGAAAGCTTCTACTCACACGAAGAAGGTTTGAGCATTAATCATCACGCTTACTCGTGGTTGATAGGGTCACTCACAAAATTGTTCGATTTGTAAAGGAAACTATTTACTTTGTTATTAATTAATTATGTATAATTACTCTAGAGACCCATATGACTCATACAATAATGTGTCGCGTCGCAGTAGTGGTGCAGGCGATCCTAAAGCCAGTCGACCCACATCTAGGAACTCTGTAACACGTTCACAGATGCCAAGAGAAAGTCTTAAGTCTGGTATTAGGGTAAGTATAGGCAAAAGTCACTTCTCGCATTAGACCTAATTTGAAAACCAATTTTATAAACACCTGCTTTATTTTCTGATTTTAGGAGCCCGACATTAAAAACTTGCGTGGATACACCCCTATAACGACTTTTCGAACTAGCCAAGCTCCAGTTATTAAAAGCGTTAACGACGCTAGGGTAATTATGTTGTTATAACTTTTGTCTTTGTGATGTGCGCATATTTAAATTTTGTAGAATTTGTCATGTTTCATGTCTTATTATGCTATATTTTCCTAAACATATAAACTGTTCTTTGAATCATTTCGAAAAGTAAGACATTATTTTTACTTTCAGAACTACTTGATGCGAAGCAGTATTTATAACTCGGAGAGAGAAAAACAGTTAAATTCATCAGTAACCGTGACTCCACACTATCCTTATTATACGAGCCGTCTACAAAACCAACCATTGTTGAGTTCGCCTATGGCTAGTATAGGAGCGCATATTACTCCATCATCTTACAGCACGGGTGCGAATTACCATAATATATCATATTTTTGTATATCTATCTTACATTTCTAATGTATGTAATGTATTTGTTGTCTTAAGTCCATTATCAGCACTATTAAGTACGCTGTTAAATAACAAGTAACTAATGCAAAATAATAAACACTATCACAACAGGACCTAAACCACCGGGACAGCCCCAAATACGACGACGACTTGGACGAAGTCCAAGTCCTCCTGTTCGTATGCCCAACGATCAGTCCCGGGCCACAAATACACCTTCACCAACAGAGAAGTTTTTAGTAAAGTATGCCTCCAAATCTGCGTTGAAAGATGTATTCTCTAAGCTGAAATGTAAGTTCCATAAGGTTTTCTTGGATTGTTTTCATTTTAGTTTTATTAGTGTAAAACGTAGATTTGCAATAGATTTACCAATCAGAGAAACATAGTAATATTAAATCTTACTTTAAAGTTCTCGCATAACCCCAGCCATTTCTTTTTTTTAATACGACTGGCAATATTTTTAAAAAGAGAATCAGATGACTGTCAAATTAACATAACAGCAATGTCAAAATTGTCAAATCAAAAATATAACCTCGTCTTTATGATGCAATTTAGAATACTCAATAATAAAACGATGTTTACGAAGTGAATTGACGTGATTTAGTTTATATTAATTGTGCTATTGCCACCTGAGATGGGTGCCTTAGTGACTAAAGCTTTGAGACCTATTAAAACCTTTAACATTGAAAATCGCGCTCATCGTGAGATTGCTAAAGCAAAACCAACTCCGGCTCCAAGATATCCTGAAAATATAGCAGATTTGCAACGTACATTGGAAGCGGATCCTAATATAGATGAAAAACTCGATAGAAAAGATGAAGAGCTCGATAAAAGATTAAAAGACGTTTATGTAACCTCATTTGGAAGGCCTGAGGATGATGTTACGCGTGAAAAGCAGACTAAGCATAAGAGTTTGCGACCTTTGCCACAGGATCGCAAAATGCCTGAACAATACGACTTTGGTTTCAAGGAGCCAGAGAGAATACCGTATGGGCGAACTACTCTGAGAGCTGCCATAAACTTTATAGCATCTCACCAAGCGAATCCCGAGGAAGTGACGCCCGCTAAGATAGCTCTAGAGTATAAACTAAAGGAGGAGGATGTTCACAGTATACTTAAGTATTTCAAGACTTATGAGGTTTACGTACCAGAGACTAAGACATCACCAGCCATGTTTGCTGGACCGGCCCAAATGAGGAAACAGTTGTACAAACTCGATACTAAGGAATTAGAAGATAATAAATCAAAGGAAGATGCCTCCACTACTCAAGAAAATGTGAAAGCTAAGGATGCAGTCTAGTTATCATTTAGTGACATTAAAGTAAATAAATTGATCAAAATAATTACCTCAACATGTTAGTGCTAATTATTATTATGAAATGGAGTTTTTAAGAACAAATTATGTGATTATTTATTTTATTATGTGTATTGAGATGAACTTTGTAGGTGTTGAGAACTTAGGTTCTGCCCAGATTTTTAATTTGTTAACTAGGTTCTACTTAAATCTACCTAATAGTTATTCTGCATGAGAAAATAATGAAATTCCTGTAAAATAATTCGTTTTCTTTCTGTTATGTATTAATTGCATCATGTTAGGTAATTATTGAATAGATTATCATAAAATAGATATTTATATTAATATAACAGATGTTGATAGCAATATCTAAATCAATGTGATTTAGTAGTTAGAAGAAATAAATGGTTTTGTTTTCATCTATTTTAGTTTTATTTCCATGGTAGACGAGAGTGACTTACAATGGTTTCCTCCATGGTTTGGAGATTGGTTCAACCTCTCTTTTTAAGTCAATGTGTACTTATCATTGTTTGTTTTGTACAATACATCATTCAATGGTGTCTATTTTCTATTTCAATAATAATATCTTGCTTAGATGAAAATTGAATTGACCTTTACCTTTCCATAGTACCTACAGCTACATTACAAAATATTAAAAGACAAGTACCTAATCTAATAAAAACATTTTAGAATTTACTTGTTACCTAACTCTGAGTAAATAGTGTGTGTTGTTGGCAATGTTGTCGGTGGCCCAGTGTCGATGTGCCGGGACGGGTCGCTGGGCGCGGCGTCGTTGGGCGCCACTAGGGACGCGCCCCCGACGCGCCGCGCCCCATCTGTGCGTTCCGACGAGCGACCGCTAGCGACGCAGGGAGACATGCTCAATAGCATCAAGGTACAATGATTCATATAAGGAGGTTATTACATACTTTTGCTAACTGAAAAACAGATGACATAAGCGGAACTAGAGCCAGAAGTTATATTCTCCTTGCTAGAACCCATTACCACATACAGTTCTCTATACGCTGCCAATGCTCATGCCCTAATATTTCAACGACATTAGTTAACCAGTGTCTTACTGTTTTTCTCCTTTGCCATTATATTATTTGACACACTATACAAAATTAGATAAGTCATCATTAATATCAATATTACAGTTCCAGAGAAGATTGCGTGATACTATAAATGCAGAGAAAACTGGTAACTTTCATGAGAAAGCCAGGTAATAAGAACAACTCGATCTATTAGTTTGGTACAATAATATTTTCTTGCTTTTACTAAATTACTTCTCTTGTGTTGTTCAGTCAGCTGCCTAAAAAGCCTAGTATCAAGAATATGAACACTAGAACTACCAATTTGGTAAAACCGAATATTAATCAAGATTACAGGTGCGTACATATTTTTCATCTCTGCCTACCCCTTCAGGGAGTAAAAAGCGTGATGTTATGCCCAAATAACAGTATTTATGCAGGGTTTCATCGAATTTAAATCATAGCTTCATTTTTACCCAGAATTACTGAATTTCCATTTATATTTTAATAATTAGGTAATTTTATTAAGAATTACCTAATTATTAAAATATATAAAATTCGAATTCTCATGGAAATTGCTACACATAAGGGTTTAATGAATATTATTTAGGTATTTATGTAACTGAGGGTTGTTCTGGTAGGAGGCGTATGTTCAGTTGTGAATGTCTTGTATGATGTTGAGGAACTGGTTTTATTCCAGCGGCGGCAGGGAGAAGCAGAGCCCAATATCTCGCAGTTTCTTCAGCCCTGCGCGGCCGATGTCACCGAAAGGCCGCCGAAGTCCGCAAACGACCAGCTTCTACTGACCACGTCAGTTTACGCAGCCGTAACAAATTGTGTATTGACGTAATAAAAGTAACTTTCATTACAAATTGTTTTATTTAATTATTTACATTACATCTATATTTACATGTTATGTACAGTTTTATAGTAAGTACCTTCTTACTTAGGCAACTTGAGGGATGTGAAATGATTGTAATTTATTTACATGCAAAAATAAACAGTTCTTTATCTACAGCAGAATACAAATCGTGAATTTTTTAGTGGACATTAAATATAGCTTTTAATTGACACATTTATTTCATTTAAACTGTCAAACACCAAGCGGTCACCGGTGACCGCGACCTATTGTTCTTTAATTGTGTCTATAAAACCCGTACTCGACGAGTTAATGCCCATTCATCAAGCCATTTCGCCGCAGCATATATGAACATCAAGTTACCCTAAACAGTCATATTCTTTCAATAAACAACCTTATTACTTTGATATAGAATTCAAAATCTACTGTTTAGGATAGATAAATTCCTGTAAGGTACAGTCAAAGGTTAAAAGTCCACTGCCACCGTGAGTGATGTTCACACGGCAATGCATAAGTAATTTCATATTAATGTGCATAATAACGCGTGCGTACGCATGAACACACGCACGCGTACGCACACGGATAAAAATATGCGTGTGCATGTGTGTATAAGCGCTGCAGCGCAACCGATAGTCTTACGGTGGCAGTGGAGTTTTGACCTTTGACCGTACATTAATTTGGCTAGAGTTAGAACACGTGGCGAATCGTCGATGTTTAGCACGATGACATCAGTCTATTGTAATGATAGTATTAGAAGCTCAAAAACGACTATACATAGTACTATGTATAGAAGTTTTTAAGCTTTTAATTTTAAGAAAATTCATTAAAACTGAACAGAGGGAAAACATACATTCTACTATCTTTTGTTGGTCCGCAAACCGCCTATCATGCGTGGGTATTCGACAGTGCACGTAACTATTATATCTAGATATAGTGGAGCTAGATATAGTGATGATGACAAAATACTCTTAGGAGCAAAGAAAGGGAACCACTAATGTTATTTCTTTTTGTATGTTGTCCTGCTACCTATAGACTAAGTGACAACTACGCTAGACCCGGGTCAGGCGGCGGCGGCGCCATACAGTTGCCGTCCGGGTAACGTTTCTTGAAGGCTGCGATTAAGTCAGGATCTACTAAACGTACGCCGTCCACTTGATTGCCTAGCGTGATCCTGTAATGAAAGGAAATGTTTTTAGAGGTGTAAAGACATTGAATAAGAACATACTCGGGTCTAAGTGTTTTTTTTTTTTAAAAAAACGTTGCCCCACACTAGGATTTTCTCCTGTGTCGTGGGTGCGTTTACAAACATACAAGTTCACATACACAATGACACCCAGACCCGAAACAACAATTTGTGGATCACACAAAGAGTTGTTCCGTGCGGGAATCGAACCCGCGACACGTTGCACGGCAGCCGGTTGCCCAGCCACCGCACCAATCGTGCAGTCAAGTTACCAATGCTGATGTATTGAATTCAAATAAAACACATTCATAAGTGGCTAAGATAGAGTCCAGGACAGGAGTATACTAAATTATCAATAAAAATATTATTAACTTGGATACATACCAATTAGGTTGAACATTGTGTGGTCTGCCAAACAGTTCTATTTTCCTTGTTCCTGGACTGAGTCTCTCTGAAATAATTTAATTGTTTATAGTACACTATCTACTTCCGTGCGGTTTCACACGCATTGCTCAGCTCCTATTAGTCGTAGCGTGATGTTTTATAGCCTATAGCCATCCTTGATAAATGCGCTATCCAACACAAAAGGAATTATTTAAATCAGACTTGTAGTTACGGAGATTAAGCGCGTTCAAACAAACAAAAAAAAACAAACTCTTCCGCTTTATATAATAGAGTATAAGATAACAATTCCAAACTTGATTTTCATCCTTTTTTGTGTATTGTGGTCTGTGAGAGATTTAATTATTTTGCCTATGAAGTAAGAGTCCCGTTGGTAGTTGAGTATTTCTTGAATAGTTCTACATCTGTATCATACTAATATTATAAATATAAAAGGTTTCTTCGTTTAAATGTTTGTCCGTCAATCAAGCTGAAACTACAGGCTCGGATTTTGATGAAATTTTGTATACAGGTAGGGTATGGGCTGACTTAAGGTGATAGGATATTTTTTATCCCCATTAAATGCTGTCATGGGATAACACAAGAATTATATTCTACGCAGAAGAAGTCGCGGGCAACAGCTAGTTTTTAATAAATTTGTTTTTTCAATAAATCTCGTTTAGTCCATAAAAGTAGGCAGTCGTCACTCACCGATGATGCCATAGATCTCGTCTGGTTTGTGCGAGGTGGCGCGCACCTCGGCTACGATGACGTCACAGTCCAGCCCACGGTTCAAGTTCTCTGGACTGCCTTTCATACCAACCTGCAAGTTAATACGTATAAGAAAACAATTACTTAGATAAAACAAAACAAAGATTAGAAGTGGGAGGTAGCTACGTCATTTTGGAGTAAAAAGAAAGTGTGGGAGAGCCACGCTTCGGCTCGAATGGGCCGGCTCGACCGGAGTGATACCACGGCCTCACAGAAAACCGACGTGAACCAACGCTTGCGATGTGTTTCGTCGTGTGAGTGAAGTTACCAGAGTCCCAATTACACTCCCCTTCCCCAATCTCCCCAATCCTTGATTACCTAACGATCCTCAAACTTCTAATCCCCAAAAGACCGATAACGTACTTGTAAAGCCTCTGGTGTTCCAGGTGTCCATGGGTGACGCCGATTGCTTACCGTCAGGTGATCCGTCTGCTCGTTTATTGGCTTATGCCATAAAAAAATTAAAAATAAATCGTACTCAAAAGTGACGTCGTGCGATATTTCAAATCAATATATCTTCGAAACTATTCGTATCCGTAAGAAAATAATACATACGTGTTTAATGTTTTTAAACAATCTAACAGACGGACATTAAAATAAAAATGAGTCATCTACCCTATTGTATACCCTTTGAGTACCGTCATTATAGACACAATTAACTCGTCGAGTACCGGTTTTATAGACACAATTAAAGAACAATAGGTCGCGGACACCGGTGACCGCTTGGTGCTTGACAGTTTAAAGAACAATAGATTGCGGTCACCGGTGTCCTCGCGGTGTTTGACAGTTTAACTCGATGTCACTTACCAAGCAGTGTTCCTTGCCGTGGTTCAGCCAGTGCCCAGTCCGGCCGGTACGTATGATCCGCTGTAGTTGGTTAGTCTTCACCCAGATCAGTTCATCCACTCGTTCGTAGCCCCATAGCTTGAGGCACTCGCGACCTAGTTCCATTGCTCTGTAAAAAACATCCCCAACTAATATAGGAATTGCGAAAGTAAGTTTGTACAAATACATATTTAAATTTTAATTAAAATCGCGGGATACTCACGTGAATATACTGAGAACAGCTCTACTAGTTAGGCTAGGTTCATGAGAAGGAATCCCTCTCTCGAAACTAATAGAGCTTTTCTCAGTATATTCACGTGAGTAACCCGCGATTTTAGTTAATTTAGTATGTCTCACGATAGTTATTTAAATTTTGTCGTTATCTGTCTACTACCAAGTTGACTGTACGAGATTAATGATTATGTTTACGGGCTCCGTTGTGTGGTGGTTCGAAACAAGTCGGGCAGTCTCGAAATAGTACGTAGAAACATTATTAATATTCTTCTTGTGGTGTGTTGATTTCTGACGTTTTTTTTGGGAAAATCATCCAATGTATTCCCCTGCCTTATGTAAGACAAGAGGTACCTAATGTCAGACACTGACTGACCAAAAACCATTCCGTTCCTACTCTAACTTCGAGCCGGAGCCCCGTCAAGATGTCCGCAGCTCTGAGTATATCTGACGATTTGCTGTGAGCTTTCTATATTATATAACTTATTACTTAGTACCTCTATATTACATATTCATTGTTCAGTAAGGTAAGCTTATTTTTTTATGGGACAAGCCCGCCACAACCTCCCAAAACCGCTGCAACTCCTGTAAGCCAGGATCTACAGTAGATACAACCATGAAAACACCGGAACACTGAAGTGCGGCGCGTCCCAGTGACATGAGTAACTTTCTTGGTTTCAGCAACGAAGTGAATCAGAAGATATTATAAGAGGAGAAGAAGCAAAACGATAGTTTCCGCTTCCCTCGGTGAATTACTGCAGAAGGTAAGCTTACATAAAGAATAAAGTGTAAGAACGCGCGCGCGCGCGCGCGCGCGCGCACACACACACCACACACACAACACACACACACACACACACACACACACACACCCACACCACACACACACACACACACACCACACACACACACACACACAACACACAACACACACACACACACAACACACACACACACACACACACACACACACACACACACAACACACACACACACACACACACAACACACACACACACACACACACACACACACAACACACCACACAACACACACCACACACACAACACACACACAACACACCACCACACACACACACACCACACACAACACACACACACACACACAACACACACACACACACACCACACACACACACACACACACACACACACACACACACACACACACACACACACACACACACACACACACACACACACACACACACACACACACACACACACACACCCACACACACACACACACACACACACACACACAACACAATATATATATATATTTTGCAGAATTTATTTTATCTATTTAATTTCATATTTAAATTTATTTTCTTTTCCTTATTGAGGGGCGGTACCGCCGTCCGTGAGTCACTGCAGGGTGCCACCTGAAAATCAGTGTTGGGCAGGAATGCTCAACTATGTATGTATATGCTGAGGTGGAGGCCCTTTTGGCATGTGCACATGCACTACAATATAACTATGTATTATATTATTTATATTATGTTTTTTTTTGTATATTTAATTTCTCTTTATATCAAAAACTTATTGCATTTGTTTCGTATTGTATGTACATTATTTTCTTATTTTTTGATGATTCTTGTTATTTTGTTTACGCTTTTATGTTTGTTATTAATATTATGTATTTATGTATCTGTATTTATATTTTTCATAATCTTTGTTTGTGTGCCATTTGCCAAATAAATGCTTTTTCTTTCTTTCTTTCTTTTCTTTCAACATTATTTTACCTGCCAGTCACCCATAGGAATATGAGTCCGCTATCCTGTAGTTGAGGCACGCCCAGACATCTCATCTCATCGTCCGACATAGTCCCGTACGGTAACTCCATGTGGATGTCCCACGGCGGGTCCGCCATTATTACTGCGAACTTACCTGGGAGATAGATATACCTTTTTAATAAAATAGTTTTTTTATTTTAATCTCAGTTGTAGCACAGAGTCTGGAAATGGGCCTGGTATGTGGCAATAGACTCACCTCCTATTACATGGGACTTATAACATAAATAGTGAAGTGGGTGTTACATTATACAGTGGCATTAAGTGCCCTAATGTGAAAATCTGCCTATCCCTTCGGGGATAAAAGGCGTGATGTTATATTACATAGTAATAGCTTTACCCACAACTGTGCATGCGTGAATTTGCTTCTTTCTGTCCAATCTATGTATGTATTAGGAGATCGGTTAAGTAAGAAGAATGTAAAGAGGTACCTAAGTAACTAGGAAGCATTAATAATATTAGTTTGGATATAATAATAAGCATAGGTAAGTAGCTAAGTAAATTATTCAGTTACTGACCTAAGAACGTCATGTCTAAGTATCTGAGGTCGCATTGTATCCACTGCGGCGGCGTCAGTGTTAACACTCCGTCCGGTTTGCTCACTACACTTGTACCTGTACAGAAAATATGTCAATACACTTTATAGATATTTCAAACTAGCTTCTGCCCGCGACTTCGTACGCGCAATCCCGATATTTCCCGTTGCCGTTCTTGTTTTTCGGTAAAAAGTAAACAAAGTATTCTATAAAAAGTATCCTATGTCCTACTCCTGGTTCTAAGCTACCTCCCCACCAATTTTCATCCAAATCGATTTAGCCATTCTTGAGTTATAAATAGTGTAACTAACACGACTTTCTTTTATATATATAGATTAACTGACCTTTGTAAGTCATTCCACGTCAAAATTACATTTACGAGCAAAGAAACGAAAGGAGCATTTTATCGAAACATCTGTAACTTTAAAAATAATATTCCTTTTCCAACAAATTGCTCTCATTTTAATTTGCATTTTTTTTTCAATTTCCTTTTATACGACACTAGCTACTTCCACGCGGTTTCACACGCTCTGCTCAGCTCCTATTGGTCGTAGCGTGATGTTTTATAGCCTATAGCCATCCTCTATAAATGCGCTATCCAACACAAAAATAATTATTCAAATCAGACTTGAAGTTACGGAGATTAGCGCGTTCAAACAAACAAACAAAAAACAAACACTTCCGCTTTATATAATAGTATAAGATATAAGATACGTTACCAATTAACAAAATACTTGTATCATAAAAAAAATATTAAGAAACGAAAAAGAAATACGCGAGTGGCTCCATTTCTTTGCTCCTAAGTGTAAATAGTGTTTATTCACGAAAATAAGTACCGTTGTGGTTGCCTTTGGGTGTAGTTTCGGGAGGTTTCGGTGCGTTCGCATTGGGATCTGAATTGTCAACTTCGTAGTGAACGTATCTGTAAAATAAAGGCAAAAGGTTTATTAATTCTAGGTACCTGGGAGACTGCAAACGCGACTGCCGTACAAAAAGTCTCAAGTACCTAAGTTATTGGTTACATTCTTAAAATTCAGTTTCAGCCGGAGTTTGGATTTTTTTTAATGTCCGTTTGGTAGACTATTTTAAAACATTAGACACGTAGTTTTTATTTTCTTACAAAATTAAATACTTTCGACGTTTAATTGATTTCAAATATCGTGTGACGTTACGATTTAATTTAAAATATAGGTATTTAATTCATAGAGTAGCGTAACGACCTCCCACTCCTAAACTTAACTCCGTTTGTTTTAAGTATTGTTTTCTTTTATGACAAAATAAAAAAATATGTGCCTAATATATTTTCATTATCTAACTGACGAACTAATTACAGTATTTTTTATTTTCATACACTGTCTACTCCCAATTGTGCCCGGTAAATCGTGGAAGAAACTCAAAATACATATAGATGAGACACTAGATAATGAAAAAATATTAGACACGTATTTTTTATTTTGTTATAGAGGTATAATAAAAATATACTTAGATAACGCATCAAAGTTTAGGAGTGGGGGCTAAAACGTCATTTCTATGTATAAAATGTACATAGAAGTGACGTCACGCGACATTTCAAATCAATATATCTTCGGAACTATTCGTTTGAGTAAAAAAAAATAAAAATACGTGTATAATATTTTTAAATAATCTACCAGACGGACATTAAAATAAAAATTAGTCGTCTACCCTATTGTAGTAGTAAGAAGAAGAAGATAGAACTAATAGAAGATGACTTATAAACATACTTGCAACTGTCCATATGAAAGCAAGTGTTGAGGAAGGAGCAGTCTCCGAGCGACTCGTCCGTGTGTCCCTGGATGATCTTCTTAAAGTGAAGCTTCTTGCAGGAGTACGTACTGTCCTCTCCGTCCTCAGACTTACTTGTAGTGAACGCTCGCATACATTCCGCGCGAGTACCGTGCGGACAGAATTCCATTACTTGAGCGCCTGGAAAAATAAGAGACTATTGTATCCGGCTCGACCCGAGTGATACTACGGTTTCACATGAAACTGCCGTAAAACAACGCCACTTCCGTATGGGTGAGTTTAACTGAGAATGCATTTTATATACGGCCTATCTTTTTTTTATACGTTGCCCCATTTTTTCTCCTGTGTCATGGGTGCGTTTACAAACATACAAGTTCACATACACATGACACCCAGACCCCGGAACGACAATCTGTGGATCACACAAAAATAGTTGTTCCGTGCGGGAATCGAACACGCGACACGTTGCGCGGCAGCCAGTTGCCCAGCCACCGCGCCAACCGCACGGTTGGTAATTTAATTAGTATCTGACTATGCAAACCAATATTTTCCTAATTCATGGATCCGTAAATATCTTTATATATATAAATTCTTCTGTGAGTGTGTATGTCACTGAACTTCTCTCAAACGACTGGACCGATTTTGATGAAATTTTTTGTGTGTGTTCAAGGGGATCTGGGAATGGTTTAGATTCACAAATCAGCCCGGCAGATGGCGCTGCAGTCGATGTTTAGGTTATTTATCCTAGCTGAACTAATTTGAATGAATTTTTGTTTATACATTCAAGTGGATATGCAGGACAACGTCTGTCGGGTCCGCTAGTAGTAGTATAGTATTTTACCAGCAAATTAATCGAAAGTAGTAAAACCTATAGAGAGCAGTAACAAGGCTCTATTTTAAAAATCACTGACCTCCTTGACTCTTGAACTTATCAGCGAGAGACTTCTCCTTGGCTGTAGGTTTGCTGAGCAGGTCCATGATCTCCTCACCGACTCGCTTCACTGCCTTCTCTCTGCTCGAAGGCATTGCAAGTAGGGACTGTAAATTATATCGTTTAGGTTAAGTTCAGAAGGGCTGGATAAACTGGTGGTCGAGTTGAAGGATAATTTGACGTATTTTTTATATGAAATGTGTTTTAGTTAAGCTAAAAGAAGCTTGTATTATAAATTACTAGCTTCTGCCCGCGACTTTGTACGCGCAAACCCGTTTTTCCTGTTCCCGTAGAATTCTCAGGATTTTTTTAAGTCATAAGAACCTTCTCCAAATAATAACAAATACAACAAAAAAAGAATTAGTGTAATCGCTCCAGCCATTCACGCGTGACACCATGACCAAGTGAAAAAGTTATATTTGGAAAAAGTTGAATAAAAAAGGAAAGTAAAAGTTATTTATATTGTTGTATACAGATAACTTGGGTGAGATAAATCAAGTTTTTAACATAGTACAGTTTCTTTATATAAAATTACACGTACCATAATGTCTGTGTCATTCTTCCCTGTCTTCTTCTCGTCAGTAGCTGTTTTCGATACTTTAGGATTAGTCGCTTCTTCTGTTTTGTTGTCACCTAAAAACAACAATAGAATATACATTTTTATATTATAGTTCTAAGGGCCCAACCTGATTGTTAAAAGTCATCAACAACACTTACGTCATCAGAAGTATCACACACAAGTACATTGCAGACCATGTAGGAAACTATTTAAAACTAAAAGTACCTAATTCTTATGTTTTCGGCTTACTCATGAACTGTTTACGTAGAACTCGACTAGTTTCAAGCGACAGTCACCACGTTTAGCGTCGCGGAATGCTGCTCATGAATATGAGCTCTAGCATGGCTTGAAACTAGTCGAGTTCTGCGTCAAACAGTTACATGAGTAAGCCGAAAACATAATAATTATTTTAATATTATTGCGTATTGTCCGGAAATTCCTTTCTCTAGAGCCCTGACCACCGGTAGCTTGGATTTCTTCCGTTACTGGTGGGCTATTGCTTTTTATATTTTTAAAAGTTTTTTTTATATAATCAAATATTTAAAAATATGTAAATCAAGTATAGAAATAAATACAGGAAATAATAATTTTAATATGTATCACGAAAGTTTAAATATAAACAAAACTAGATATACATGTAGTTAATGTGTTACCAACCTTTTCTCTTGTTGCCATTGCTCTGCTCCTCCATCAGAGCCGCCAGTACCGCAGCCAGTCGTACAGACTCTGCGCTCACAACCTCTATGCTTGCATCAGTTGTACTCTCTGTTCTTTCTTTTATACTGAAACAGATGAGATGTAAAATACATCACCATTTGTTTTCTGACAATAATGGTGACTTTAGTATTCATAATCGTAACACAGTAGAGATTATTTTTTAAATATGCAACTTTGTTAATCCTTTTTACTTAGATTTTTGCAAGTAATGCACAATACATAATTATATCACTGTACCATGCTCCAGGCGTAAGGGGTGCAGGAGGCAGTGGCATGGAATGCAGTACTCTTTTGATATGGTCTAAACTTAGCTTCATTTCGAACTTATGCTCCTTTCTGGGCCCTTATCTGCCATGCTTACCTAGACCATGGTTCAGTGGTAATAGACAAATTCAAAAATTAATCGAATAATATTTATTTATTTAGTTAATTTTATTAAGTTTTGAAATGCAGTCTAATAATAAAAAAGAATGGCTTACGTAATAAGTTTCTGTGTAGCAAACTTCTGTAGTAGACTGGCAACAATACCAGCATCGACATCACCTAGTCCAGGCAACAGCGCACTGGCAGTTGCGGGCAACTGCAGCTGCATGTCTGACAGCACTTGGAGGAGCTGCACTTCTAATGATGCTGACGGTACTATCACCTTTGGTTTGTCTGGAGTAACTGAAGAGATAACATACATACATGGTTATTTTTTTTTATTAGTAAGCAGTTGGCGTTGCCCATGGACACCTGAAACACCAGAGGGGTTACAAGTGCGTTACCGGCCTTTTGGGAATTGGGAATTTGAGGATTGTGGGGAAATTGGGCCTCCAGTAACCTCACTCACACGATGAAACACAATGCAAGTATTGTTTCATGTTGGTACCAATAGTCAAAGACTTAATGGAATTTACAAGCAATTGGGAAAATATTTAGTGTTGTAAATATTTACTACTTGGACTTAAGAGTTAAAACTTCACCAAAGATATTGTAATTAATTGTGGTTTAAAAAAAACTCCTTCTAGCCTAATCTGTATAAGTCGGGGTGCCCTTAAGTTCGCTTCTATGATGCTTTCTACTACTATGTAACATATTTCGTACAGCACATATTATTTATTGATGGACACGTTTGGAACCTTTAAAACTTCATACATCGTGAACTGTGAGTCTCCACAACTTCTATATTTGTAAAAACCTATAAAAAAATTAGAATCCAACTTACTGACCCATAAATGAAAGGTCTAGCAGACTTGTTCCTTGATCCTCGTCACAAAAGCTGAGGTAGAAAGTATAATAAGATGAAGATAACACTTTGAGAATGAAATTTACTGAAGTTTATAATAATGTCAATACCTTCATGCTTCCCCGCAGACGGACTGGCTGCCAACCTCTCCTTCCCACTGCCAGGTGAACCTTCCGACCTTTCTCCACTACCCAAATTCGCACTCAAGATATTCTGCCGTTCCTTCTTACGTTTCTCTAACTTCTCGCGCAAACTGTTCCTTTTGCTTTTCACAGCTTGGATTTCTTCCCAAGCGTCCGACATATTTTTTATTTTGTTATAAATAACATCAGGAATTATAATACCGGTGCAAACAAATGCCAACGAGATTTAATACGCTGAACGTCACGACAATTATGATTTTTGAACGATATATAGAAACGATTGAGATAAATATTAATTCATAAGCTTTACAACAACTAATTCACGCACAAATAATACATTTTATAACACAAACACGATACTTTTATTACTTTCCACTTCCAGTCGTATTCGCATCGCGTATCGCGTTTTGTTAGATGTCACTTTTGACATTTGACTTTTTATTTGACATTTTGTGTTACGGAATGTCTATGGTTGTGTTCTGTTTTTAATCTCTATGGTCACACCTTGTCGCGGAAAACCTAACGGGTAACCGGGGCTCCGGCTCGACGTGCAGGAGAAGGAACGGGGTGGTTTTCAATAAGAGTCTGACACTCCCTCCCGCCTCACCCAGGCGGGAGCAGTCATTCGATGATTTCCCCCCTTAAAAAAAAATGGTCACCCCTTTTTTTTGTTTCTTTGGAATTGAGTTTTTTATGGAATAGGCGGCAAACGAGCAGACGGATCACCGGATGATAGTTAGCAATCAGCGTCGCCCATGGACATCCACAACACCAGAGGAGTTACAGGTGCGTTGCCGTTCTTCGATCTTCAAGTGATTTGAAACTATGAAACTTCTGGAAATCACCGAGGAGGCTCGCACGCCTATATTCAGCTGTAAATGTGGCCTTGTATCTGGTGAGAGGGAGATTATAATCAATATTTAAATAATTTTTTATCGATTGCATCAGTTTATTTCACATACAGTGTGTCTATTTAATAATGAAAACCAATGCCCTCTTTGATTTTCATTAATATATTGACTTATACTTTGACGCCTAAATTGAGGGTATAATTTTTGTTGTTTCCCACTTTTTTAATTTTGTTTTATTTAATAGTTTAGTTGGGTACTGTTAGATTTTGATATGGTAAGTTCTCTCATTTTCTGATGTTAAATTTTATCGGTATCGACTCATTGATTTTGATTTTGATACTCTTTGCATATGCTGTAGCTGGCATGTATAATAACTTGAGTATTTATATTTTTAGAATTGATGGGAAATAATAGGTATAGGGAAATAATATCTTTGACACTTCATAGCAAATTATTTAATCACAACACATAACACTAATTTATCAAAAAACTCTTTAAAAACTGTTCGGTAACTTCTAAGCAAAATGCCTTTTGCACCAGAGTTACGAACTCATTCTCAAAAAGTGTGCACTCTTTATAAAGTAGCTATGAGGAACCTTGAAGCGTACTACGCAGCTAGGTAAGATAAGAATTTTATTTTAACACTATCTCAGCATTTCGAGCTGTGCTGAAGTTTAAATGCATTATGCATGTTATTATAAAGCCGGAAATACACGATACACCATGCTTTTTGCTAGCTGGCACAACTTCAGTTAGCAGAGCCGCAGAGGCACCTCTACATGTTAGGCGGATAGGTTCGAATGGCATAAAGAATGCATTAGGCTACTCAGCTTCAAACCCTACAGTATTATAATTGTAGCACTTGACTTGAATTGTATTATAATTTTCCTAGTAAGATGGTAATGAATTGCATTCGTTCATTTATGTTACGGGATACATTATATTCTTAGAGCTCTGTATCAAGGCTTTATCTAACTGCAACATATTGTGCATAAATTACAACTCGGCCACTAATACGACTCGTCGCAACGTAATAAAGAGCTAAGAAGGGCTGGTTGGTAGTGAGTCTGTACCATATACATACACTAACTTGCACTTGTAAATAACCGGAAAGTGGGCATCGTTAATGAAATAATTTATTTCAGCTGCTGTATAGTACCTTTGGTCGATATATAAATTATTATTTTTGCAGACATGTGGTTCGTTATCATCAAGTCATGCTGAGAGCAGAATTCGACAAAAATAAATGTGTTACTGATCCTAAAGAACAACGTCGTTTACTATGGGTGGGAGAAAATGACGTTTTTACACAACAAAATCCACTTCCACCTGCGAAATGTAAATATAAAACGTATAATATTATTATACATTATTATATTATCATCAAATGATTGTAAGCGCAAGTGAATGCGCGAATGGCGACCCTGGGTGGGTCGCGCATTCATCGCGATGTAGGAATGATCATGTAAAATATTTGTGTATTTAATCTTAAACAGAGAATGTAACTTTTTCATTTCTCATGTAGTTGCTCGTTCAATCGGTGTAGCGGGTGGCGTAGCGTATGCAAGAGTGATAACGCCACCAGACTGGGTAATTGATTACTGGCATCCTCTAGAGAAGGCTCACTTTCCTGCATACTTCAAAAGACGCGAAGCACGTAAATGTGAATACATACAGAAATGGCATCAAGGCCAATTATATTAATTTTTATATTCTTTATCTCCATGTCATATTATTTATTCTGGTGTTTATTTATTATATTATAACTATTGATTTTGTTTCTATCGATTATTGACATTAGGTAGGTAGATAGATTAAAACCGAAAACGGAACGTGCACTGTGCATGGCTGTTAAACGTCAAAAACTTTTAGGTTATATTTTGTTTGAAAAGTTGTTGCTACTTTGAAAGTGGATTCTATTTATATAAATAAAACACTATTAATTATAATTGTGTTTTATATGAGTACAATTTAATAAATAAGTAAGATTATAAGATCTATATCATGGCTGAAGAGGCACCGAAAGCGGCTAAACAGCCCATGACAGATGAGGAAAGACTGGCTCTCTGTCAGAAACTGGATAAAGAGTTGGATGACTTCATAGATAGCTTAGAAAAGAAAAGATACACAGAAGGATGGAGCGAAGACACATGGGAGGTGAGACTGACATTTTATCACAGGAGATTAAATAACAAATACTTTCATAAGACTGCCCGATGGCAGAGTGGTCGCAAGAGCGACTGCCGGGCAGAGGTCTCGGGTTCGATTCCCGGGCCGGGCAAACTACTACTGGGTTTTTAAAAATTGTAGCATGGAATCTGGAATTATCTGGGATCAATTCCATAGGCTCACCCCCTATTACATGGGACTCATAACATAAATAGTGAAATGTGGGTGTTAGATTGTACAGTGGGATTAAGAGAGTGCCATAATGTGCACCTCTGCCTACCACTTTGGGGATAAAAGGTGTGATGTTATGTTATATTTTCATAAGAGTTTTCTTACACAATAATATTTTTTGTGCCTAATAACTTCCTGCTCTTATCTTAATCTTAGGTTGTGTCCTCTAATTTGGGAGCAAATTTTTCCATTTTTCATCAAACATCACACTAGTTGTACTGCTCATCTACACTTGAGAGCAAAGAAGTCATCTATATATTTTTTTGTCTTTCTTAACAGTATTAACACAATCTATCCTTGACAATCTTCATAGACTACTATCTTTCCCTCGTTTCACATCTAATTATGCTTTGTAATTCATTCTCATCAAAATGTGTAAGAAATGTAGTGAATTTCCATATTAACCTTTTGAGCGCCAGGGTCACAAATACGTGACAAGCGAAAACTGTCCCTGAGCGCCAACGACACAAATATGTGACAAAAACAGCGGTACATTAAAACACGAAATAAACTATTTAAACATTACTTTAATGCCTATTTATTTATATACCTGTAAAATAGAAGGTCCAAAATTTATTTATTTCCATAAAACTAATTAAATTGCATTATAAATATTGAGAAATTTTACGTTAAAAAGAAAGAAATAAACTCTGAAAAAAGAATGTCCTCACACGCCAGAGTCATAACTGCGTGACCGCTAGTGATGTAGCGCATGTTGGATAATATCATTATTTCAAATCAAAGATCGATTCGAAACTTTCCTCTGGAATATATTATTTTAGGTATAATTTGGTACTAGGATAAAGCAGCATTAATTTTATAAAACCAGTCTTAAAAATCATTCAATAAGCTACATAGTCAAAAATAAAATTTGGTTGGGTCGAATTTCGATATTCACTAATCCCAACTCAAGCGCATCCCTAACGCAACCCGAATTATCAGTACCCTGTACGCCATGGTCACGACTAGACGACAATATCGTGACGTCACAAGCGCGGCTACCAGAAATTAGTGAAGTGAATGAATAATATTTATGATTAATTTACTTGTGATATCGAGTTCAAGATTTATATTAAGTGACTATTATAATGAGTGGGAATTTAATGACTACGGAAGAACTTCGTGGAATAAAGTCTGCCAAAAGTTCCTTTTTTAGCCACGGTGCGCGCTGAGATCGATTTCACTGTCCCCACCACCCACTTTGCACCCAGCGAATTAGATGATCAGAATGCAGGTTGCATTGTAGATTTTGTATAATTTTGTTCTATTATTCAAAAGATTTATTAGTATAAGACTGATTGGTAATTGTGATAATTATATATATTCGTTAATTGTTTTAATTTGTTACTTTTTATGCCAGGTTTATAGAACTTACTATTTAAAAACATGTATACATAGTACATACTGTATAACATTTTATTAAAATTTTCTATTTTTTCATAGTTTTTATTTACCTTCTTAACCTATTTCAATCATATATTTTTAAGTACCTGTTACATTCGGAATTATAAATCTGATTTAAAAAACGTGTTTCATTTATTATAAAATAATATTGTACTAGAACATCGATAAACGAGATATTACGTTGCCACATCCTTATTTCGGAAGCGAAGTAGTTATTAAAATGGCGGGCCGTCCACGCCATGGTCACAATATGAAGACAGCAGATCAAGAATAGTGTTGTACATACCTACAGTTATTATATTTAAATATATTGTAGTCTCATATCTGTTATTACGGTATTATACAAGTCTGTAAATAGTGTATAACTATTACTTTAATAGGAAGAAATGTAATGTTGAATTAAATTTCAATGTTATAAGGACATTATATTTCGAAATTGAAGACGAAAATGAAAATAAAATTGATTATCGATGAAGTTTTGGAATCCCTATTTTTTTCGTAGGTATTTGCGGTGAATTTGTGGCCTGGCGTTGAGGGCAAGTTCATGCGTTTTTGCTCTGGCGTTCAAAAGGTTAACTATTGTGAAACATACTGAATTAAAAAAACTAGTAGAGCTTTTCTCAGTATATTTATATGAGTCAACTGTTATTTTTTCTTTTAGGGGCCGTTCAAGTATTACGTAAGCAGACTTACCATTTTTTACCCCCCGCCCCCCTTGTCATAAAAAATAAGCAAAGCACTTACTCCCTCCCCCTATGCTTACGTAAACATTTTTAGTAATAAATGTTTTTTTATATTGTTATTTTTAAAATAGGAAAATTCATGGAAATATTAGGTTTAACTGATACACATAGAGTAAATGACAAAAAATATAATCAGAAATAAAGAACATAACTAACATAAAGAATATTTTCGGAACACATTAACAGTCTTCAGTATGAGATTTTTTAAAACTTTCGAACAGTTTTTGGTATAACTTGGATTTGTCTATATGATATGACATTCTAATAAGATATTTAAATTTAAATAATTAAAACGTTAAACTTTGGCTAATTGCATCAACACAAACACAAATGATAACTTTCAATGCTTACAATACGTTTAGAATCCAAACAAAACAATACTGATAGATGCGCACTTGCAGCTTGCGGCCGGCACGAGAGCGAATTATTAGACAAGTGAATAGCGCACGGTAATTTCCCTAATGCGCGGTAATTCCCCTAATCAGTTCTCAAAGCGAGTGCCTACGCATATGTATTATTTGCGGGAATCCCCGAAAAAACTTGAATAACTAACGATGACGTAATCATCATCTAGACCCCCCCACCCCCCATGTCATCCAAAATAAGCAAAACAGAGACCCCCCCACCCCCCCTTAGTGCTTACGTAATACTTGAACGGCCCCTTATAAGTACATACATACACAAGCTTATGATACATAACTTCATGCCTGTCCCTCTTTAGGGTTAGCAGAGACTATGAAACGCCAATTACTATGATTCCTACATACCTTTTTCGCTTCATCAACAGTCATCAATCTTTTCATGCATGCGGTTAAGGGCACTTTTAATAATTTTTTCTTTTATCTATGTTGAAATTTAATTTACAGGAAGAAATGGACAAACATCCATTTTTCATGAAGTCCACCCCTGATGATGGTACCCTCTCACCCCTGGCTGAAGGTCTAGCCAAGCTCAAGTATGACCCGGAGGAGAACACGCCGGTGGAACTCGCTGCTAACTATAAAGAGGATGGCAACTTCAATTTCAAGCATAAAAACTATAGATTGGCTATATTAGGGTAAGTTAATTTTACTTAAATGTGGCACATGTATCTAAAATGTACTAAAGAAACAATATTTAAATTACTAGAAGTATTTTTGCCTCATTTTAATTAACAATAAAAACCCCTAATAAATACATACTGTACATGAATGTCCCTTTCATTTTTTACCTAATAAAAAATAAAGATAATCTGTGTATACTCTGCTAGCCAGCTATTCACCATATTATTTTATAACTGACTGAATAAGGTAATATCTTTTTGATTAAATGAAATGAAATAATAATTATTAAATAAGATTCTTTGACCTTGACCTTGACATTTTCAATTCAACTTTTAACTGTCAACTAAATACATGGTTTTCAGATACACGGAGGGCATCAAACAGAGATGCAATGATACAGAAATTAATGCAAGCTTATACAACAACAGGGCGGCAAGTCATTGGCATCTAAAGAATTATAGATCAGCCTTGTTTGACAGTGAGAAAGCTCTTAGTTTCAACGCAAACCATACCAAGGCTCGGACCCGTGCCGCAAAGGCAGCTTTAGAAGTAACCAAATATGACACTTGCATAGAACATTGTCAAAAACTTTTAGAAGGAGAAACTAAAGACAAAGACATAGTTGAACTATTAAACACAGCAAAAAAGAAGAAACAGCAACAGGAACGTGACCAAAGAAGGAAAGAGAGGAAAAATGAAAAGGACAGTGAACAAAAAGATCAAGTCATAAAGGCTATTATTCAACGAGGAATCAAAATATCAAAATGCGATGATGAAGATGATATTGATCTGTCTAAGTTGGAACCGAGTTTACCAGGAGCGCAGGATGCAATAGTACGTATTGAAGACGGTGTATTGCGGTGGCCTATACTACTCTTGTATCCAGAATTTCAAATGACAGATTTTATTAGAGATTGTCCTGAAAATGTACCACTGTTAAGTCAGTTGGAGCAGGTCTTCCCAGCGCCTTGGGATGAAGAGAATAAATACAGTTGTTCTAAAATCAATGTTTATTTCGAGGGTTATGATAAAATGCCTCATGTGATTGACCCTTCGAAGAATCTTGGTGACTTACTAGTAACGAAGTACTACGAATTGAAGGCTGGTACTCCAGCATTCTTTATTCTACCTCGTGGTAGTGTTGTTGAGCGCAGGTTTTTGGAAAGTTACATTTAATTGTATTTTAACATTTTATTTTTATTTAAGTTGAAATAAATTAAGTTTTGTATATTGAATGTTGAATCTGACTTTTATTGTGAAATAACTTTTTCGCTGCTAATTAGTTCGCCTCCATCCATAATTTATAGAATTTTTAGCACTTTTAATTTATCAATCAAATAACATTACTTGCAATAATATGGTGTTAGTAATGAAACAAAAGTGTTACAAATAAATATATTATTCGATGTCCTGTTCGTCCATGTCGTATCCTTGTTGGTGTGGGTAGAAGGGTCCGGGCGCCTCGAAGGCATCCTTTTCTTCGCCCATAGCGGGGTACGGGTGGTGGGGCATTGCGCCCATCCATTGTGGGTACCAATACAGACCCTAAAAGTGGAAAATATTGATTAAATGCATGCATATATTGTGTCTGATCTACAACAATGCAATTAAGTTGAATAACTGATTTATGGCTCAACTCGCTTATTAAATAAGACTTGTGACATACTGGAAACAATTGGGAGTTACACTTCATAAGTTGAGTTGTGCAACTCTGGTTACCTTTCGCATCGGGCGATATTTATTTTTATTTATTTTATTTTCAGCTATCATCGTCCCACTGCAGGGCAAAGGCCTCCCTACCCTCCTTCCACTCCTCTCTATGTAAAACTTTTTGCGACCAATCCTTGTGATATATTGGGCGATACATATAAGTAATTTGGTGAAACTATATCCTGAGTTGTACGTGTGTGGGCTGTTGATGATGATGATGATGATGGTGATGATGATGATTAAGAGATTGTGATGATATAACGTATGTATTTACTTTGTTCCCTCCGGCGGCGTTGCAAGTGAACCTGTCGTCGTGAAGGTCGATGGTGTCCAAGTAGCTCTTGCCCGCGATGGAACCGTAGTTCGGCGGGTACATGAACAAGCATCCGTCCAGGATATCTGAATTGAATAACATTCGTTTAGGTGGCTACGCTGTGTCCCCGATACATACCAGAATTAAGGAGATTTTGGGGTTATTCTAAAGTAGTTGTGCCATTGTCAATCCGGATAAAACTAATCATTTTTACTTACTAATATAACTATTTGACGAGGTAACTTGACTAATTTCAAGCCACGCTAAGGGCCCATAGTCGTGAGCAGCATTGACGTATGAAGTGCGCTCGCCGCTAGTCGAGTTACCTTGTTGATATGTCTTATGAGAGTAAAAAAAACTAAGATTTGAACTTACAAGGGACAGTAATATTCTCTTCTTCGGGATTTCCTTCTGGCTTTGGTGTAGGCTCTATGTAGGGGGGCACTGGATCAATCCCGGTTCCCGGATCACCAGGAATTAGGAAAGGTCCTGAAAACAAAGAGTTGCGATGTAGTGAATGTTGTTTTACTTCTTTTTTTTTACTCTTCAAAAGAGGTTGGTTAGGTACACTACTTACACGTAGGTACTACAGAACTTTGAATGCTTAGGTGATTTGCTGCCTTACCTCCATAATGGTTGGTGTAATTCCATTCGCAGACGTGGTGGTCGCAGATCAGAGGGGAGTGAGGCTCCTTTGTGTAGTACGTGTGGCCGTTGGGTATAGTCTGCAAGGTAGATAAAAGTCCTTAATTATTCGTGATCAACGACCTTTTGTTATTCATTGAATTATTTAGTAATGTAATAGAATCTTCGAGCACAAGATTTATTTTCTAAAAAAAAACTGTGCTTTGGAACGAGTAAATAGCTCATTTTAATTATAGACAGTACCTACGTCTGGCGGTACTCAATTCTTATCATAATTTTCCTTTTATTTTGATGAGGTGAGGATCAAAATTCTTAGGAGTAGCGTGAATGGAGACAAACATCAATCAGTCCTTACCAGCAAATAGTCATAGTGTCTGTACCGGACTCCTTGTATATTGAAGTCCAGAATAAAAGACCCCGACGTGATGATGCAGGAGGCAGCAGACAGCGGTGGCAGTTTATACATCTCGGTTCCACATTTGACTATAGCCTTCGGAAGAGCGGACACGTCTCGCACTCTTTGGAGAAGCTTGTTGAATGGGAACCTAGAAACAAATTCGGTACATCTTTTCGTTTTTGTAACATCACGCTTTTATCACCAAAGAGGTAGGATTACGGCACTTAATGCCACTGTACAATGGAACACCCACTTTTCAATATTTGTGTTATGAGGCTCATGTAATAGGGGGTGAGCTTATTGCCATATACCGGGTACAATTCCAGACTCCGTGCTACTACTGAGATTTTTAAAAAAACCAGTAATACTATGCCCGACCTGGGAATCGAACCCAACACCCCTTGTCCGGCAGTCGCACTTGCGACCATTCAGCTATTGAGGCAGTCAAACAACATCTTTTTGTCTTAGAATAAATATGAGTCAAGTGAAAAGAAGTCCAGGAAAAAAGAATGTGGATGAAGGTTTAAGTTTTTGGCTAGTACAGTACCTAAAGAGTTGCATACGAAACTTTTTGCTGGTTTTCTTTTATCGGCTATAATAAACATTGGTAACTATAATCTGATAAGTATTACCTAGCTTCTCTGATAGACTATTATTTATTTCATATTTGTTGACGTTTCAAAAGTACCAAATTATGGTTTAAACTGTCAAACACCAAGCGGTCACCGGTGACCGCGACCTATTGTTCTTTAATTGTGTCTATAAAACCGGTACTCGACGAGTTAATTGAAATAAATGCTTTTGAGTTTGAGTTAGAGTTTATAAATACATTAAAAATATTTGAAGATCGTGTAACACTTTAGGTATCATAATAATCAGCTTCGGTTAGACAAGTTTTAGAAGTTTAACTAACCTGAACACACAAATACCCATATGGCACTCCAAACCATGTAAATAGTTGTCAGTTGGGAAGGAGATGCTCGGATCGTCCAGTAAGTAGTACTTGGTCTCATCATGGAAGTGCAGGAAACCGAGGAAGACAAATGATCTGTCTTTGCAGTAGGGAGCAACGCCTCGACCCATGTTGTAAATGTCGCTGTACAACTCCGACATGAAGATGTACACGTTTTTGCCACAGTAGAATTCTGTGGAATCACCGATAAAAAATAATATCAAGTTCGGGCAACCACGCATAATGTTAAATATGCCTCTTTGTAAACCTCTTGTTTTTCTTTGGTTGAAAACATTGTCGGTAATTAAAGCATTCAATTCTTAGCAATCAAGGAACTATCTATGGGATCAGAGTCTAGAACTGGTCCACTTAATTCAATATAAAGGAGAATTAGATTTCTTTAGTTTACAATTATCACTTCCTCAAGGATTATGTGTTAGGTAGTATACTAAATGTTATTTTAATGTCCGTCTAGTAGATTACTTATAACATTAGACACGTATTTTTTCTTTTCTTTCAAAATTAAATAAGTAAGTACTTTCGACGATTTGAAAAATTGTGTGACGTTACGATTTACCACATTTTATAGGATAACGACTAACTCCTAAACTTTCCGCTTTATCTAAGTATTGTTTTCTTATACGACAAAATAAAAAAAAAATATGTGTCTAATATTTTTAATTATGTAACTGACGGACTAATTACTTACATTTTTAATTGTCATACACTGTCTACTACCCTATTTCATTATATTACAATTCGCATTAAATATATAATATCTCACCTTGGCTCATATAAAACTCCATAGGTACCGGGCCGCCAGTGTAAGTAGCCTTGCGTTCAGCAGCCACAGAGTTGTGGTTCTCATACATCGTTAGCATGTTGTCTATAACATCGTCTAATGTGATCAGTAATACCTGTTCCGAAATTATTTATATTTATACATTTCTAGCTTCCGCCATCGTGTCCCCCGGGCTCCCGTGGAATAAAATGTGGCCTATGTGTTTTTTCAGATCTACCCCAGTTCCAAATTTAATCTCCATCCCTACAGCCATGGGCGTCGGGGATCGCGGGACGATCTCCGGCCACCGTAAGCGCGGGCCTGCGGACGGCGAGCATGGGTTCCGGCTCCCCGTCCGACCAGAAACAGACCCGAGCGTACGGCGCGTCGCGTTCCGCGCGCGCTTCAAAGAGCCATCAGACCACCACAGATGGGGCCCAACAGGGCCGATGCCGATTCGGAGTCGCGGAGAACCTAACGGGTAACCGGGGCTCCGGCTCGACGTGCAGGAGAAGGAACGGGGTGGTTTTTAGTCAGTAAGAGTCTGACACTCCCTCCCGCCTCACCCAGGTGGGGGCAGTCATTCGATGATTTTCCCACTTAAAAAAAAAAATCCCTTCAGCCGTTTTGACGTGAAAAAGTATCTAACAAACGTACCTACAAACTTTCGCATTTATAATTTTAGCTATAATCCCTCCCCCAAAAGATCGGCAATGCACTCTTCCAGTGTTGCGGTACCTAATGGTATGTAAGCAGTAGGCGACGTCTATTGCTTACCATCAAGTGACCAGCGTGCTTCTTTCTTCTTTTCAAAATAACGTTCTTTCTACATCAAGTCTTATGTTATTGAAAGTTTACTTACCTTTAGTTCTTGTATGTGTAATTTAACAAACCGTCCCAAATGATCTGTTGCTATGTGCACTCTTTCGTTGATTAGGTACTAGAAAATAAAATTTGAACTATCAACTATCTGTACCAAGCCTTAATTTTATATCAGAGTACAATACCAGTTTAAAAGTTTTAATGATTGTTTTGCATATCTACATGCTAGTCCGTTCTGTGTTGTGTTGTGTTGTCTTATACCTAAGTGCTAAAATGAGAGAGCGTTGACTATCTCAAATCACTGTTTGCCAATCAGTTGTGCTTTGGTACCTATAATAGGTAGCAAGGTGGCACCGCAGTTTTACACGAGGTGGACAGAGGTTCTGTTGAAGCCATTTCAACTGATCTGGAAGTCAGTATTATGTACTTCACGTCTTGTGGCTGACATGATAATGCAGTTGTGTTTCTTGGTTTCTTGTTTCTATAAACGAAGTGAGTCTATAACGTTGGTAAAGGTATTGTGGAAGGTATATGGTAAAGTATTCGGTGGTACTGGTAACTGGTAGGTATGTAGTCGTGCGGTGCGGCTACACATCTAACAGTAAAGAGTAAAGTATTTATTGTTTTTATACCAGGTATCTCTACAGCTTTACCTGATCCTCAGCAGTCTTGACCCTTAACATCTCATTCTGGTAGAGCCACAAGTTATCCAGCTTATCTGTTGGATCGTGTCCGTAGATTTCGAATGCGTCTATGATCATTGCCAGGGTGAGGTTCTCGTTTGGTTCGAGACAGCATGGGTGGTTTCTTATGTTGTATGGTAACTATGTCGACAAAAAGGATTTTTGTAATGAATTAAGCGGTGCTTAAGTAAAGAGTCCGAAAAATTCAATACCTTCAATCATTAATCCAATCGTAATCAATTTGAAAATTTTACTATTCCATCGATTGACACTCATCGTGGGACCTTACATTCAGTAGTTTGGCGTCACTGATTTGACATTATTTTTTTTGCATTATTTGAATATCATTATTTAATTTTTTCAAGATATTTGTCTCTATTTTATCGGATAATAATATTTTAATACAATACTTACAGTTATCTGAAGGAGACATAATAGAAACAGCACGCATGCGTGAATGCGCGCGTCCATTTTGCCAGCATGGCGTCTGATCGGTAGCGAGCGCGGGAATAATTACACAAATTGCCAATTTAATTGGTCACCTTATCACTCTTCTAACCTTGATACGATATTTATTAAGAGAAAAGTATTTTACGGTCTAGAAATAAAAGTAAACGTTATTATTTTTAATGAGTGGCACGTAAGAGAATATAAAAAAACAAGAGGACAAGTTACATGATCATGATCCTGATGACCAAAACTTGCTTAAACACAATTTTAGGGGATACGAACATAGGTTAATTTAGCACATGGGGATGCCGCAAGGGAATATATTGGGTCCAACCTCAAAATAATTGAAATAAACAAAACAAATATTGAATAACATTTTATATTATTTAAAATACACACCTAGAATTGTTCATTTCATCACAATACATATTATTAAGTATATTTATACAACATTATTGCACTTGGATACATTTCTAAATATTCATATGGATACAAGCATGGATACGTAACCAAAACTGAACGGTTAGGCGTAAATTGAAGACAAGCGTCATTTTATTCATATAAGTTTTACCGCCGATATTTTGGAAGCCCAATTTCTTATGCTAGATATACAGATGGCTTGTCAGACCCTCTTAGATATTAAGTATGTTACAAAATTCTATCAGTTCCTTCAATGTCCGTGACTATTGAAATTTCTCGCAGACTTTCCAAAAGTTCTCTATTAATGTTTATTGCCCATATTTGTTTCAATACTTTTTGGACTGACTAAGACGTTAATTTGATAATAGCTTTCATTTCTACACTTTTATCAAGCTACGTTAAATTTGCACCCGTGTTTACACTATCAATGGTTGCTATTTCCTTATTATTGTCAATTACGTCTTTATTTTTTCCATAATTACTATTTCCACCGTCTATTCCAATTTCACCTGTATACCTAATATAAAATTTCAAAACGTTGGTATCACAATAATCACATATTCTCACAATATCTTCATTTTAACGTAACTAACTAGTCTAATCAACATGTATAATTTAGTACAATACTCTATTAATATAATCAACAACAATTATATTTAGAAATGGAAGACTTAGTTCGGATATACTCGTCATAATATAAGCTTAGTATACTTCACCAGCATTATCTTAGTAAATAAATTGTATAAGTTTGTAAATAGATCTTTGAGTATCACTAAACATAATAAAAACTATAAACGTAACATTATTTTTGTATAAATTATAATATTAAACATGTTTATTTTAGCTTTCTGTTTGGAATTAATCAGGGCTAACTGTAACCTCAATAACTACTACCATTTAATATCTAAGATTAATGTAAATATTATCCAAATATGTTTTTGATATTCAAACGTTACAAGCAAATAAAGTCGCTTATTTGAAGCAACATTATCAATGGAAGACTTCGTTGTTACATCTTTCAAAAACATAATATATCATTGGAAGACATTGGATTAACAGTATATAATATCATATTTGTAAAGTTAGCTAGACAATAATAACTATATACATAAAAATCTGGAGTAAACGAAGTAGCGAAGGCAAAAGGCGATCGTTCTCTTAAACATTATTGTCTCTATACGAAGAAACTAAGACCCTCTAACAAAATCTATTTTTTGTCCATGTAGGTATTAAACAGACCTATAATATAAAACTTATCAATACATCTGTCTAAGTACATAAATCATGCATTCAACATTCAACTGCATAGTTATTGCGACAAAGAATAATTTACGATGTACGCATAAATCTAAAAATAGTTCAACAATGAGTCTAATATCATGGGAAATTAGAACGGCAAACCTATTTTGAAGGCTTTGATCAGAGCCGAGCCAGAGTCGTACATACCGATGACTCCAAAGAGCACCCCGAGAGCAATGATAAAGTAATCGTACGCAATCCTCGTACTTTCAAGTGTATTGCCCTTCAGTTTGAGGTGGAAGTACGCTGGCCAAATGAAGCTCAACATGGTTCCTGTGAAGCTACCGATGAAACCCATCAAAATAGCGAAATGGGGAATAAATATTGCCATCAAAATTGTGAACATTATCACACCCAGTCTCCAAGCAAGTCCCCACACTTTTAGCTCGCCGTCTAGAGCGTAAATTACAGGGAAAATTGTCTTAGGTTTGCCTCTGAATAGAGCACGCTCCAGCAAATCACAGGCCGCGTAGTATGGCAGAGGGTAACTCAGTACTGCCTTGATTACAAGGAAAAAGTTTACAAGACCTTTGAACCCAGCAGAGCGAAGATTATTTGTGATCACTTGCTGGGTATCGTTTTGGAAAGTCAAAAAGCACAAGTATCCAAAAATAGACTTGAATGCAGCAGCGGCAATGTGCGACCAATCCAACATCCACTCGAATTTCGATCGATCCTCCATGTTACCTTCTAAGGTGGGCAGAAATATCTGCGAAGTGTAAGAGAAAACAATGACACCCAGACTGATCGGAAAGTTTTCAAAATCCAAAGTCCATTTTACCTTACCCCAGCCCCAGTCACCGATGTTAAGAATACAGTAACCCAGAACAATGGCGTTAATGATCAAGTGACTCATGGTGCACCAGAATGACAGCATACTGACGCTTTTCAAAGACTTCAAGAAAGCCAGTGGCAGAAGAAATATTCCTGTCAACATCATCCAAGAGCGAGCGTCAATAGCGCCGTCAGGGAAAGTTCCTATCATGAGATCGCCACAAACAACGACATACAGAATACATGTCATCACAAGTTCAATAATTTGAGCGATATTTACAATTCTAGCGCCATATTTTCTGCCGAAGCATTCTTTAGCGATGCTGACGTAGGAGTCACGGACTCTGACACGTTGGCCGGATACAGGGTCGTCTTCATAGAGGCATTCGACGAGGATCTTACCGGTGTAGCAGCAAATGTGGGCGATGCCGATCATGGCAGCGATCGCCCAGTAACCGCCTTGGAGCACAGCGAACGGCAGGGACACTACGAACATACCCTGGAACCAGGATAGAAAGAGTTAGTTATACAACATAGGTATAACATAAAATTATAAAATAGATAACTGTGCTGGAAAAACAAATATCTTTACCAACTTACCTGAATAGCGTTGGTAACATTCCAAGCTGCTTGATATTCATTGATCTTCGCGCCTGGTGGGCCACCGCCTTCCTCGAAACCTCCTTCTTCAGATGACGCGTAGAAATCTACGCTTTGCATACTTTGAGTCCTGAAAACATAAATGAATACTTCCTAATTGCTCTACATCTTATGTCCATTTGTATAGAGTTCACTTTGCCAGTATATAACCTTGGAGCCCCGTCTTGCTGGGGATAAGTGTTCTGATAGCTGGTGAAGGAGTCTTCAGCCTGCAGCGCTCCACTAAGGAAAGGGTTCGTAGGGTTTGTTGACTGGTAAGTCGGTGATGTGGTTTCATTCATTGTTGAAAGTTCGCAGCTTTCACCCATGTTGTCTGGAAATTAGTTGAATAAGATGTAAGAGACTATGACTTGGGTTGATCTCTTTACTCGTATGAACTTTAAAAGCATTCAGTAATTACCTTTTTATTGATTAACCTACTACACTAATGTTTCGAGGGACTTACCTAAATTCGCGAACCTGACGTTTTGCGGAGGACGCGGTGGAGCACCTGGCTTCTCAGGCATCTGCTGCCTGACCGTCTGCATCGTCACGTCCAGCACATTCCTCAACGGAGGCAACTTGAACTTCCCTAGATTTATCATCTTGAAGTTTTCTTACACCCACTTCTTCGGTATAAACCCTCAATTTCTTTATTACCTTATCTAATTTATTGTCGAATTTATCAATCGAATTATTTTTCAAATTGACATCAACGGGAAGACATTGATTTTTAAATATATTGACTTTTTATATAAGTATATATAATAATATATTTTCACTTACAATTCCACGAGCTAATATATTTTAATCCTTAACACTATATTGGAAGACTTCTTTACACTACTCTAAGTTAAATGTTATTACATTGATATTAATGTTGTAACGTGCCTTTGATCTTCGGAGCAGCCATTTTTTCCTTGCTTTACGTTGTTTTATACATTGTATTTGCCGTGAATTGTAACTATTGTGTAGTTTTCACTGATATGTTACACTGGGTTCGCGTTTTGATGTTTCACGTTTGATTTTTGTGAGGTTTTATCATTTTTGAAAATGGTTTTCTTGGATAGAATGGCTGCTCGGCACGGAGGGTCGTACTGTGGAGTGGTCAGACTCCCTCGGCGCAGGGAAGGTGCGCGGTACGCGGATCGATACATCGACTACACGCCAACATTGCTCACAGGAAGGAATGTTAATTTCTCCTGAACCTTTCGCTGCCAATGTTTTACCTGCCAATAAAAGTTTGCTTACTATTTGATTTACGTTTAAGCGGACTTAGTTAAACACTACTTTAGTAACGATTGATTTTAAGCTCTATGTCTGTGAGAGTAGAAATTATATTGACTTGATTTACATCTTTATGTATAGTAAACGAAACTTTAACATAATATGAAATAACACCACGCCTATTATTTCCCAAAGGAGTATGTAGAGGAGTTTTCTACACCTATTGTATGTCAATTGTAATGTCCTATCTTAAATAGCGTATCTGTTATCAATTCCCCTGTTCATAAATCGAACCCGAAACTTTAGCCCTTTAACCAACAAGACATTTGTAACATAAACGCCTTATTTCATACAAAAGATAAATAACAATTCGTTAGTAAAATATAACTGTAGCAATGAAGCAAATTGATTGGCAATTATGATTAACGATTGGCTGTTAATTCCTTTGGTGTATGAGGTGCTACGTGCTACAGTCGGCGTGATGGCCCGTCCTAGTCGAGTGTTACTGCCACTGTTTGTGTATCTAACATGGTCTGTTACGGTCACCGTAAGTACTTCCTTAAATATACAGACACTTTTACAATAGTGTAAGCCTGTAAGGTATTAAGTTGTGGCCAATTTGACGAGAGACATTTACATAGTAAGTAAGTAGTATTAGTCCATCTGAGTCGCTCGTACCAATCTAATGTATTAATAATTGAGAATTTGTCTTGATAGTAACCTTTTCACATAGGCATCTAATGTGGAACAGTTGTAATAAAGCAAGTGTTATCTCTCGCTCGACTAATTATGCATCTCCATGTTTTGTGGGTTACCTATCTACCTTAACGCCTAATATTATGACACCTCTATTCTGTTGTAACTCTATTCTGAAACTCTATTCTGTTGTATTATTATACTAATGCTTTCAGCGTCATCAATCAGCCATCATCAGTGGCCATTAGCGTCCCCCAATAAGTACTTACGTTTAAAGAGGATGCCTGTTATTATTCACTGCTGGACATCCACTGCACTCAGTAATGCTGACGACGCTTAATCGTGAAGTTTACTTACTCTAAAATTAATCATCTCCCAATTGTAGCACTCCTACATTATATCGAACCACCCATGTTGTCGCGAGCCCAGCGAGAATCTCACCCTTGCTATGGTGATAGACGCCTACGAGATCTACGGCCACGACCCTACAGACAAATTGGACCACTTGGCCCACTACCAGCTAGAAATGATGAAGATCAAACGTGCCCCTGACCAGGTAATGTGCGTTGTGTTGGGAAGGACTAAGGTTGTTTTTGCATTGGAGCGTGAATCCTCCTGTTGACTAGTAAGACCATCTACTCTTGACTGACACTTAGTAGGGTAGTGTTTGATTTGGTATCTATGGCGGTGGTGTCAGGATTTATGCTCAAATAGTAATCAGATGAACAATGGGATTTTAAACTTATCTACGTTAAGAAAATCAGGCTTAACAAATATAACATCCACCCTTGCTAGACTTCCTCATTGGCTCATAAGTTATCGGATATTAAAAAGTTAATATCTTGGCAGTTTGCCATTTTCTATAGCCCAGATGTTCTGTGAGAATCATATTGTATTGGTATAGAATAGTTACAGAGAAACTTACTATACGTATCAATAAAATTTATTATTGGAATCGCATTACAAGATGGAGACAAAATAAATAAGTTTACTAATAGGCCAAATGATACAGAACTGTAACTTTAATTTCGAAAGATCGTAGTGAACTTGATCACGGTCCGCCATTATCATTGGTTGTGAGATGATTCTCGACCAATGAGGGGCGAGATTGCGTTCGAGTTCAGTCCGAATACTCAGTTACAGAATAACCTAACTGGTCTTTGACTTAGTGTTAATCCCAACATGATGATGAGTGTTTGCTTTAATATAATTTCAGTACATAATTAACGAGCATATCCACATAGCGACCGACCATTTGGCGCGGTTCATACACATGCATCTGAAGGAATTAAAGGTGTGTATGCTGATTATATGGTCCTGCATGAAGTTTATTGACCTTTCCTGACATAGTAGGTATTGTCTATGAAAAATGTTTTCCAGGTATTATTGATAGCACTGGATGATACGATAGACAATATGCTAACGATGTATGACAATCATAATGCTATCAAAACCGAGAGGGTTGCTACTTATAACTCGGCGGCCGGCGGTGCCGTGCCCTCTGAGTTTTATATGAGTCAAGGTAAGATTGTACTTATTTATTTACCTTGAACATAAGAATATAAAATGTGTAATTTATTTTGGTGGTCATCATGGCAGTGGTGAGTATTTCCAAGCCTATTGTCTACAATTCAAAACCTATGTCGATAAGTATAATTTAAGAATGATTAAATTAATTCACGCGGCTATAGTGTCTAGAGCTCCCAAGCTAAACACTGTCAGTTTCAAAATAACCGTCGAAGAGTTAAAACGTTCTTTTGCTAAGTGACGACGTCCCTGAGTCCTAGATCGCACAACTAGAGGCAATGTGCGATACCATAAGTAATCGTTGCGCGACAGACTTACAACCATGATGTCCTAATAAAATAGAAAGAAAGAAAAAATATTTATTCGCCACTAGGCATGGACCACCAAATATACACATATAAAATAACATTGAAACCAAAAATAAAAAAAACAATAAAAACATAAAATAACAATAAAAAAAAACAATAAAAGCAAAAAGACATTATAAAAAAGCAAAATAAAAGAGCAACAGGGTGGCAGCATGCCCACGACGAAAGGGCTTGCCAACTCAGTTTAAGCCGGGCACAGTACCCAACACTGGTTTTCAGTTGGCACCCCTGCAGTGACGCTCTAATACGAAATAAGGGCTCTAACAGTATTGCAATCGGAATGATTAATTCTAAGCGATGAAACGACCATCTAATTTACCAACAAAAGACTTCTTTCAGAATTCTACTGCGGCAAGAACGTGTATATCTTCATATCTGAGATGTATAGCGACATATACAACATGGGCCGGGGCCCCACACCGTATTGCAAGGGACGGGCCTTCCACTTCATGGGCTTCGTGCACTTTATGGACGACAAACGATACTTCTTGGAAGAAGATCCTAATGTCATCTTCAGTATGGATAACTTTGTTCATGGGTTGGAGTGCAATATTGGGATTTGTATGTTCAGGTAGCTGATGCAATACTTGTTCTTGTATTTTATGTACATTGTTCGGGTACATCGGAAGGGAAAATTTCTCTATAACATCCCGATGTACCTATGGAATTGTACTCGATGTATGGCAATAAGTCAACCTCCTATTACGTGGAGCTCAAATAACAAATATTTTTTGAAAAGTTGTTGTTATAGGTGACGTACCTTTTTATAATGAGTGTCCGGTTGGCGCGGTGGCTGGGCAACTGGCTGCCGCGCAACGTGTCGTGGGTTCATCCTGGGTGTCATGTGTATGTGAACTTGTATGTTTGTAAACGCACCCACGGCACAGGAGAAAATCATAAGGTGGGGCAACGTTTTTTTTTTAAAAGAAATGTGTTCTAGACACTCCTACCTATCCCTTCGTTGATTAAAAAGGATGAGGCATTACGTAATATTTATTACTTGGTTCCAAATTGAATATAAAGACAAATTAAAAACAATGCACACATTTTTAGATTTCCTTTCAAAAAGAACTTGCAACACGTTCGCGACGTGTCCACTCTACCGAAGGCTATCGTCAAGTGTGGTACGGAGATGTACAAACTGCCGCCTCTGACCGCTGCCTCGTGTTTGATCACTTCTGGGTCTTTCATACTCGACTTCAACATACAGGGTGTTCGGTTTAGACATCATGATTATATGCTGGTGAGTTTAATGCCCATTTTTTTATGGCTTAAGCCGGTAAACGAACAGACGGATCATCTGATGGTAAGCAATCGGCGTCGCCCATGGACAACTCGAACACCAGAGGCGTTATAAGTGCGTTACCGGCCTTTTGGGGATTAGGAGTTTGAGGATCGTTGGGGATTCAGGGATTGGGGAGATTGGGGAAGGGGAGGGTAATTGGGCCTCCATTAGGCCATTTTTATCAATCTCTTTTAAATGAAGGCACCACTAAGCTAAGTTGGGTGACACTTAATGGCATTTTGGTTTTCACCAACCTATGTATAAGTGACACCTAACAGTACAGGTAGGGGGTTTATTTAAGTGCTTCCTTACGCTAAGTAACTCTTAGTTAAGATATGATTTAGGAGTGGTTAGTGAAAACGGCGATAAGACTCTTGTTATATGGCAGATATTAGTTATTTAACAGAGGTTGGGCAGCAGCGCACTCTGATAAATCTGAACCTTTCAAAATTCAACCTTCAGGCTATAGGCTATTACGGAGCCGCGGAAGGCCTAACGGGTTGCCGGGACTCCGGCTCGTAGAGCAGGAGTAGGAACGGGGTGGTTTTTAGTCAGTAAGATTCTGACACTCCTTCTCGCCAACCCAAGGCGGGAGAAGTCATTGGATGATTTTCCCCCCTTAAGGCTATAGACTATAAAACATCTCGCTACGATCAATAATTGTCGAGCAGGGCAGGTGATACCGCGCGGTTTGGATGTAGCTACTGTGATTATATTTTAAAAACATAATTTTTATATCCCCGTACATAGTTACCTACTCGTAATACTGGTTACAGTTGATGCCCAACGGACACACGTACTACACAAAAGAGAAGTACTCTCCATTATTCTGTGACCATCACGTCTGTGAGTGGAACTTCACCAACTTTTACGGTGGTAAGTTCGACCTATTCGACAGTTTCAGGGATAACTCAGTACACCGAACATAGAAACAGTTTTCTACCTAGCTTGAGACTTGTGATACTTTTAGTGTTTCACACATTTAGGAAATGGTAACCGCTTATTATTAGGGGATGGCTTATTAGCAGTTGAAGGCTTATAACCAACAAAAATAGTGTTCGTGTTTTTTTAAATTCGACTGTACAGTTGGCGCGGTGCTGAGAGTGCAGCGGGTTCGATTCTCGCACGGAGCAACTCTGTGTGATCCTCAAATTGTTGTTTCGGGTCTGGGTGTCATGTGTATGTGAACTTGTATGTTTGTAAATGCACACAGGAGAAAATCCTAGTGTGAGGCAACGTTAAAAAACAGAGAGTTTTTAATAAACCTCGAAACGGTACATGATGTACATAAGGTATATTATTTTAAACATGGTCTGATATAACTTGCTTAAATGGTGTTCCATTGAGCATGCTCAAAAATGTTTAAAAATCGAACGCGTCGCCTCACAAACATGCCTGAAATGAGCATGCTAATTTTGAGCAAAATTCCGACACACATGCTACGAAGTGACAAGTGCTTAATTTAAGCATGCTTTCGAAATGAAATTAGCATGTGTATGTGTACCTTTATAGTCTTTATTGTCACACATACGGGTAAGAAGTAAGAAGAGAATATTAATGAACATTTCCTTGTCAGGTCCGTTCATAATCCCCGGCGATCCAGGCACAGGTCTGTCGCCAGTGCCTCCGTTCATAGAGCAGACGTCTGAAGCATTCGCACCTACTACGGACAACCCTAATGGTGTTTTAGATCCAGACTCAAATATTACTTGTGAGTTGATGCTAAATTCTAACGTTTTTCTTTTTTTTTGTTGATGGCAACACCTGCTCGGTCGTCATAAGATCAGATTTAGCGATGCCGCGATGCGTCTTGCGCATATATATTGCTTCCATCCTATATAATAGTAATCTATGGTCTTGCGTCTGCGACGAGCGGAACAAACAATCATGCGGTTCGAACGGGGGCGGCCATGTTAGCGCGACCAGCGGCCCCTGTGACTGGGACCACACATTTGATAGATAAAGTCAGCAGTGCTCTTTAAGAAACTCACGTTTCAACCCATTCGTTGCGGCAGACGCTTACCGGCGTTTTTTTATTTCATAATCAGATGCGGAGTACGCCTATCGGCGTTTTTTTACAATTGTATACTTTAGTCCAAAAACAAGTCGTTTTATCCATTTGAGGTGCTGAGGACGCCCATCGGCGTTATAGACGAAAATCACCCCGCACCTTTTTTTTGTGTACTATCACGGACTGTTGATGATGATGGCATTTGTCGATCTTTTATATTGCTGCAGAGATATAATTTTCAACCTTATTCATTTCCATTAGTGTATAATGTAGCATGATTTTTATTCCCCATGTTGTTAGATTCACTGGATGGCTGCTGGTACATGTTCCCGCCTAACTACGGCTCCATTGCCGGCATCAGCTACTTGGACCCGCTCGCTGTCAACGAGTACCGCTTCACTTGCCAAGGATCCGGGAACAAAGTACGTGGTACTTCATGTTTACTGTGAAATAGTTCCATTATAGTGACAATGGAACTAATAATATATACCTATGACTAGTTATAAATCTCGCAATAAGGAGCAATCTCTTCACAACTAGATAAAGTCTTAGTCAGTTCTTCTATTTTCTATTGAGATTGTCAAATCGGTACCAGTAAAATATAGCTAAGATTGCTTATTGCTCAGCTCTCGCTCTTCAAAACCGTGCTCCAAATCTGTGGCTGGCTGTTTTACTTGAAATTTATCAGTAGTAGGTAGTTCAAGTTTATCAAGATGACTATCATTCCTAGCGCCTTAATCAAGAGCAGAAAACGGTCATGTCATTGTAGACTCTATTACTCAAAAACATACAGTTCATTTTCGAATAACCACAAACCATTAACCTGTCTTTCCTTCCAGGGTCTGTATTGGTACCCGCAATGGATGGGCGCGTCCCCCCACCACCCGTACCCCGCGGCAGGCGACGGACCAAGCTCTCTGACGCGACCCGTCGAACCAATCTTCTACCCCCACCAGCAAGCGAGCCCCCCCTCAACAAATTTATTGCCAGAAAGACACTGAATACATGCTTCCTTTACAAAATTATTATTGTGTTTTTATTTCTTTATAATCTATTGGATAAAGCAACTGCCCTGTCATAGATGTGTCAAGACAACTTGCCTTGGTGTGCACATGAGATGATGATACGGGTGCAAGGATCCCCCACCTACATCCTACCTACTTGAGCTGCTCAAGTTTATTGGATAATCCAGGGTAACACGAAAAAAAGCTTTTCGCGAAGGTAACCTCTTCTAAGGCTTAAGTTGAAGAGGTTAACCATTTCATTGGGTTTTAGGGATGTAACTCGAACAAAAGGTAACACTGCGATATGAGTTACCTCATGTACGGGTTACCCTGTCCAAAGGCTTAACTCTTATGCGGGGTTGTCCGGTCCCTGGGCGTGCTTACATAAAGAAACAATCTTCCGAGAAGGAAATGGAGTCACGAGCGTTTTTTATTTTTATTTTTTTGATAAATATTTTCTGATAAAACATAACATTACATCACGCCTTTTATACCCGAAGGGGTAGGCAGAGATGCACATTTATCCCACTGTACAATGTAACACCCACTTTTCACTATTTATGTTATGAGTCTCATGTAACCGGCCCGGTACATGGTAATATACCAGGGACAATTTCAGACTCCGTGCTACTACTGAGAATTTATAAAAAAACCCAGTAATACTTTGCCTGACCCGGGTATCGAACCCGAGACCCCTTGCCCGGCAGTCACACTTGTGACCACTCGGCCAACAGCAGTCAGCAGCACAGAGTCAGTCAGCAGTTCTGATAAAATTATATTTTGATTATAAATTGGTAACGTATGTCGTATAAAAAAGGCAATTTAGAAGACTTTGTTGTAAAAGGAATATTGTATTTAAACCGACTTCAAAAAAAGGAGGAGATTCTCAATTCGACTGTATGTTTTTTTATGTTTGTTACTCGATTTCTCGAAGACGCCTGGACCGATTTCAAAAATTCTTTTTTCTGTTTGAAAGGGTAGATTTGTCATTTGGTCCCATTGTCATGAAGTCAGGATCTGATGATGGAATCCCAGGGAAACCGAGGAGAACTTTTAAAAAATTATAGTTAAGGTTAGAAGTCGGTGCCACAAACCCATAACAAAATATATCTTAGGTAAATGTCACAGGTATAATCCACAATAAAATTGTAAACAGCTTAATAATGTTAGGTATCTATTAAGGTTTTAATGAATCATTTTGTGTAAAACTTTGGCACCGACTTCTACCTATCAGTGGGTGTGCAAGCTATATGTAAGTACGTATGACCAATAATATTTTTTGCTTTTTAGTTTTTACTTTTCGTTTGTTTTTGAAGTTATAGAGGTTCGTATAAAATGAAAAGAATGCTAGTGGCTCCTTTGCTAAGTGTAATGTACTTCAAAAGTTTAATTTTGCGTCTATTGAATCGTTTAGAATGCAATTAAGAAAATAAAAAAGTAAAATACATTTTACAGAATAGATTTTACTCTTTTTGTATTTAAAAAATAAAGATTAAATTTTACATTTTATGTACAACAATACATCGGCTTCCCATTAGTGAAATTCAGGTGTTGTGATCATCATCATCATTATCATGAACACCAGTCCACACGCGTCGTCTGCCGGACATGAATAATAAATTAAAATTATATTAATTTTGCAACGAAGAAATATTTATTTACCAATACGTTCCTATTGTCGTGGTGGCCCGCAGGTTTCGCTTCTCATGCATGAGGGGTCAGGTTAGAAACCTACCAACGGCAAGTACCAATGTGACTTTTTCCGAGCTATATGTACTTTCTAAGATTATCTAGACACCACTGACAAACGGTGAAGAAAAACATCGTGAGGAAACCCTGAGCTTATAATTTCTAATTATAAGTTTGTAATCGCCAATCGGCGTTGAGCAAGCGTGGTGATTAATGCTCAAACCTTCTCCGTGTGAGAAGAGGCTTTGCTCAGCAGTGGGCATTTATAGGCTGTTAATGATGATTGATTGATTGACGTTCCTACTGAAAAGATTTTGAAATTATGATGACCAGTCCCATGTAATAGAGTGCCCTTCCCTTTTGCCAACAATTTTTACATTAATTATTAACATTTACGTGTTTTATTTCCATAATTAAGCCGATGTCGATATGAAACAACGCTTTGTTTGTTAATCCGCAAAAAGCTGGTAACGCACTTGTAACGCCTCTGGTGTTTCGGGTGTCCATGCCGACGCCGATTGCTTACCATCAGGTTGTCCGTCTGCTCGTTTACCGGCTGATATCATAAAAAAAGTTAAGACTACATCTGGCCGCACCAAATAGCACATTTAAGTGTTTCTGTTCTTTACTGAATAGAGTGAGAAAGAGGGCGCGATTGTGAAATTAACGATGAGATCAACCCTTAAAGTAACAGTTTCTTTATAAACATTTCACATCAATCTTGGTCTATAGTACAGGATGTACCATTTCAAATTCGTTTCCAAAATGAAACCAAAACAAAATACGATTTTTAATAACCTTTATTCATATTCATAATAATCATAATTTACACAAACATAACGATACCTAGAGTCAACTCATTTAGTTGGGAGTTTTACATACTAAATATATTTAAAAAATAAATGTCCAATTAAATGTAAAATAAACATTATTGCACTTAATTTTAAATATATTTTAAACCAAAGGTTTTTAAAGTACACTTGAAGATATACATTATTTTTTCTGTAAATTAAAAACCCAATTCCATATAGAACGCTCTTATCATAAGAGCAAAAAGGTCGTATGTCTATTATTAAAAATTTTGAAGAAATAATGATTTCTGGAGCTAAAATATCAATGATATTTATAAATATATTTCTATACGGAAATAAGGTTTATGATGTTGGAAATAGAGTTCAAAATGCTTTGAATTGGGACTTGATGTTGATGGAATAACGCGCCTAATGTTGCCTAAAATCACAAAAGCTGTCTAATGTTTTTAAATAGAGGCTCAGTTAGACAAGATGGCAGGTCTTATTACAAAATGTATGAATTTTATTGCAGTATTAATCATTGATACTACTTTTCTTCAAATGGACATTTTTTAAGCTCATAAGGCAGCGTTTTATTGACATTTTAATTTAGCATTTATTTATTCATTACACTCACAACTGATTTCTGGCAACACTAGTCACTTGCCATGTCAGCCCACTTCAGTGTTACCAGCGCTCAAAATTATCACTATTACAATACATATCTACTTAAAACTATTTCAAATACCTATTTTAGTGGGATATCACACTTCAAATATTATTGTACCACATGTAATATTTGTAAGTAATTTGAAAATTAGTTCGTGGTATCAACTCGTAAGTTTAACACGAAAAAAAGGTCGATACAATAAAAATTTCTCATAAAAGAATAATGTATATAATAAAGAACATACATGTTTGTTTATTACAAACGGACAATATGTTATATGTTTTTATGTAATTTCATAACAATTAACTTACTTCAATATTTTACTACCTACGGTTTATGAAGGTGCAAATACTTATATTTCGATGTCTGCAAATGCATATATTTCGACAGACGAGTTCAGGCAGCATAATATGGAATGGCTAAAAATAAATTCGTTAGAAATAAACTCTTCAAAACATTGTTAGTAACATAAAAAAGGTGGATAACCGCACTCAGAGACAAAGACTTCAATTTTTGGGATAAATCACAGACTACATAACGCCTTTATGCTTTAGACAAGAATATAGATAAGTTAGAGTTTTAATAGACAGAAATAATAGATGAAATTGAAAATGATTTAGTGTCTTTAAGGTATAATTAGATTTCACAGGCTTTTATGTTATCCTGAGATTGAGATAAATATCTATTTACTAAGTTTTTATTTCGACGGTAATTTATGATTAAAATTCAATTGAAGTAAACAAGAAAATATATACATACTACGTAGTCTATAGTTATCCCATAATGGCAATCTTTGACATTACAAAATAAATGCAAAAAGTTAGGGAGGGCAATAAGGCCAGAGAAATGTGCACTTACACTAAAATAATACACAGTGTCCAAAGACAAAATGTTGATAGAACAAAATACATAAGAAACTTTTTCATAGAAGTCATTCTGCAAATTCTTTTGAATTTTTGTTCATTACAGGTATCGTACTTTTGAAGTAGGTGGCGCTTGAGTAGAATTAAAGTAGTTTTCTTAATTATCTTTTTGGTTATTATTGGTTTTCATTTAAAGGCCTAGTCTAAAACGATTACTAGTAAAATTTTTATATTATACTCTATATGACTGTGCAACTGTAAACTGTGAAAGATTAAATTTCTTTCTAGAAAACTAGCGCCACCAACTACTGAGTACAGATACACCAATCATTGCCAAAATCATCGTGCATTGTTATCCTTCAATACAAAAAAGTTTTCTTTAAAATAATAATACAACTATCGTCATTTTATCTCTTACACTATGTATTAATTATAAATAATATTATTTTTACATCATGGTCAGGTCAGTCAACACACGATTTAATGTCCAAATCCGTTATATAACTTGCGCTAAATTGCGCAAAAAGGTTAAATACAAATAGTATTTATAACTAGCGCGTTTTCCGTTCCTGTATACCCGTCTCCTGGTTCTAATCTTTCTCCCCACCACAACCAAATCGCTTGAGTTATAAATAGTGGAACTAACACGACTTTTATATACGTATTACAGTGGTACAGTAGGTAAATGTTGTCCTACATCTAAGCGCAACACGTAAAGGGTTTGCGCAATTTAGCGCAAGTAAGGTTAGATTCTTATAGTCACATATAATTCAGAATACAATCGATTACAATAATTATCTGAGCTGTATATTTATTACTTTAAGTAATTCTTATTGACAATACATTGAAACGAAGCTGACATTCTATACATCGTTTTAACATGGCTTCGAGTTGAACGTGGCAATAGAGAGAACCCGACAATACTCGTTTTACACAAAATTCAACCTTACAGTTGTAAAAACTTGGTTGATTTTAGAATAAAAATGATCTTAGTATAAGTAGCTGTCAAAAACGAACCATATACAGCAGTTATAAGGGTTACATTTGAGTAACATGTAAATTAGGTGATGTAAAACGAATATTCCCAGGCAGTTAAACGCAAAAGCTTGTAATGTGCGCTGCGGGCTTTATGGAACATTGTGCGTAACACGATATACATGACTATATTGAACTTTGTGTATTTGACATACGGATTATAATTGTTTGTCCGATTCCAAAATGCACATTAAGCTATTATGAAATATTTGTCAATCGACATAAGGTTCAGTTTAGAAGAGACAGTTGATTATCTGGAAAGTATGGCTGGTTTAGTATGACGTCACAATATGTCGCGACGCACAATGTACCCGGACTATATATTATCCTTACATTACAATATGGCCGGATCACTTCATGCTTTTTGCTCAACGACGTCATCAATTTCAAATTCCTTCTCCCAACTTTCGTCAGAATTGGCGCTAGCATCATCTTTAACCTCTTTGTCACCGAAATAATCTTCAACTAAATTATTTCCACAAACGTCAGATTTTGGCGCCTTTTTCGGTGACCTGCCATTTTTATTTGAAGTCTTATTGTTCATCTTGTCTCTGGTTTGTGCGGTTTTTGATTTTTTATTGTCTGTGCTCGTTGTTTTATCTGTGTTGTTGTTGGCTATGTCTCGGGAACAAGTTTGTTTAGTCTTCTTACCTGCGATCTCCCTCTCGTATTCTTCTAGAAGTAGAGTTTGTTGTTCTTCTGTCAGTTCCACGTCGTTGGCGAAGTCTTCTGTACAGAAGTGCGATTATTGCGTGCATACATAGTTCCAGAACTTTCCATTATTTTCTTACTTTCATTAGATAATAAGCCGAGATATGGTGCACAAATAAATAAATACGATACGGGATTATAAAAACAACATTTAATACAGAGGTTTTATTCATGAAAATACAATTTGAGATTATATAATAAAGTAAGATTAATAAACAGGGACATTTCGAATCGATTATGGCTTACAGAGTAATCGATTACAGTATCGATTACTAGAAGCATCCATTGTATCGATATGCTACGACGGTAAATCTATGTTGACTTACCGTCTTCCCAAGTGACCACGTTGTCCATTTCGGGGGCTTCAAATGGCTTCTCTTCTTCCAAACCCGAGAGGACCTTCTTCGGGCTCCTAGAATGAGATTGGGAGACGTTTTTAAGTTTGTGAGCTGAACTTTTACGCCACAATTACAATTGTCAACATGATACATCTTAATTACATGAAAATTAAGTTCAAATGAAATTATTAAACAATTTTGCGTGAAGATCAATTCCACTTGGATTTATTTTTATCGGTTATCGTGGAAGACTTATGCTGATTTGAATTCTCTGATATTGCTGATGATCTGTTAGCTTATTTGGCCTTCTCATCACAGAAATAATTAAAAATCCATTGTTTAAGATCCTGTAAAAATGAAGGGCTGCTCATAGGAGCAGCAATTATAAGGACTATAATTTTACATACATACACAATCTCACGCGTGGCTCCTCATGGGTGTTTTTTTAAGGAGGGAAAATCACCGAATGACTACTCCCGCGTGGGTGAGGCGGGAGGGAGTATCAGACTCTTACTGACTAAAAACCACCCCGTTCCAACTCATGCACTTCGAGCCGGAGCCCCGGTAACCCGTTAGATTCTCCGCGGCTCCGTATCGGCATCAGCCTTATTGGGCCCCATCGGTGGTGGTCTGATGGCTCTTTGAGGCGCGCGTGGAACGCGACGCGCCGTACGCCCGGGGTCTCCCATGGGGTTAGGCAGAGATTATGGAACGCCAATTGCTATGATTCTTATATAATTAATACTGACTGTACAACGGGCGCGGCCGCCTGCATGGGTAGGTGTGCCAGTACAGGGTCGGTGGAGGGCTGCTCCTGGGGCTGCTTGCGGGCCGCCGCCGCCAGGCGGTCCTGTAGCAAGGCCACGCGGAATAGATACCTGTGGAGTGGTAATAGAGTGATTAAACAACAATCAATTCCACTACAAAATCTACCTGGGTATCAGACCCATTATGCAATTTGAAGCGATCGGCTCGACTTTGAAAGTAGTACCCTTTCAAGTAGTGGCGTGTGTGACGTAAAAATCATCCAATGACTTCTCCCGCTGGAGATAGGGAGTATCAGACTCTTACTGACTAAACCTTGTTCCTATTCCCACTCTTCGAGCCGTATCCCCAGCAACCCTTTAAGTCCTCCACGGCTCCACGTAACATACGCTATATTTCATCTGACAAATGAGAGTTCTGAACACCCATTTTTGCGCAATCATTTTTATGGAAAGTTAAAGATTCCCGAATTTTGCGCAAATTGCGCAATTTAATATAAAATTATATGATTAATAATGATACCTTTGAAGTTGCTTGTGTATTAAGTCTACGCAGACAGTTTAACATCAGATGGGCCTAAGACTTTGCTACGACTAAAAGTAGTATAAAAAAACATTCTTACCTTTCCCAAAAATCGTCATGAGAGACGGCATCAGGCACAAGTTTGTCGTACTGTGCCTTGAGCGTAGGACTGGCCTCGAGCCGCCTGGCTGCGGCGGACAGACTGATCAGGCCGGCCTCCGACGACTCCAGGCTTCCGCGCCAGGCCTCGAACTCCGCGCTGTATGCTGGTACTATGAATGTTGCATCTACGCGCTGGAGAGCTTCTAGTTCTTTCTGTATATTGGAAGAAGGCAATAACATGTAAAATAATGTTTAGAATACAGATTAATTATTCGCTATTATGAGGCATAATCGGAATAAGCAGTGCAGCAGCGAATAATCATGGTTTAAGATGCCCGCTTCTCATGCACAAGTGCGCGGATTCGAAATCTGCCAACGGCAAGTACTAATGACACGGTATTTTACCTGAGCACTGGCCTTTTTGCACCGTGTACATTGTTTTGTTTTTTTTTTTTTATTTTTACTTGTTATTTCTGTAATCTTTCTTTCTTTCAATGTGACTTTTTCCGAATTATATGTATTTTCTAGGATTATTTAGACCACTGACAAACGGTGGAGGAAAACACCGTAAGGAAACCTGTGCTTATAATTTCCAATTACAATTTTTAAATCGTCAATCCGCATTGAGCAAGTTTGGTGATTAATGCTCAAACCTTCTCTGTGTAAGAAGAGGCTTTGCACTGCAGTGGGCATTTATAGGCCGATGATGCCAATCATGGTTGATAGTTAGGCAAGTGATAACAAAGAAAAATAAGTTTAAAGACGAGATAAAAATAAGCATTGCTTATGTAAGGAGTCATATGGACAAGAAATAATGAAAAATAATGCATATAGGATTGCTTCAGTAACATTAAAGAAAAAAAATGAAAGAGCTATGTACATATGTATTTAAGTGATCATGGCTAATAGAAGGTTAATATATGATTGCGATGAGATTACCTTGTATGTGGAGAGCATGGTGGTGTCCCCAGATGACAGGATCACCTCTGTGTCATCATCGTCATCTGGTTCCGGGTTCAGCACTGTGCTGACTTGACCTGGACGGATACATCGAAGTTTATATTATTTACTCGTAAAGCTGATCTTTATTTCGTAAAGCTTTGTTCGTGATTAAGACGGTAGAATAAAATAGATCGGTAAAGGTGCACTTGTAAAATGTCGTGGTGGCCCGGAGGTTTAAGGCGCCCGCTTCTCATGCATGAGGGTGCGGGTTCGAAACGTACCAACGGCAAGTACCAATGTGACTTTTTCCGAGTTACATGTACTTTCTAAGTATATCTAGTCACCACTGACAAAACGGTGAAAGAAAACATCGTGAGGAAAACTGAGCTTATAATTTCTAATTATAAGTTTGAAACCGCATTGAACAAGCGTGGTGATTAATGCTCAAACCTATTGGGCTTTCAATTTCTAATTATAAGTTTGTAATCGCCAACCCGCATTGAGCAAGCGTGGTAATTAATGCTCAAACCTTCTCCGTGTGAGAAGAGGCTTTGCTCAGCAGTGGGCATTTATAGGCTGTGGATGATGATGAAAGGCGCACTTTATCATTAAGTAAGTAATTAAGTGATTACTCAGTACTAACCAATGAAGCTGCTGAAACTTTTCTTCATTACATTTGCTGGTGACTCTGGTACATCCAACTGTGGAACCAAATTAACAATTATTTTAGTGTTTTATTACTTTTTGTGAGTTGAATAAAATTAAGGATTTGACTGCATGGTTGGCGCGGTGGCTGGGCAACTGGCTGCCACGCAAAGTTTCGATTCCCGCACGGAACAAATCTTAGTGTGATCCACATATTGTTGTTCCGGGTCTGCGTGTCATGTGTATGTGAACTTGCATGTTTGTAAACGCACCCACGTCATAGGAGAAAATCCTAAGTGTGGGGCAGTCTTTTTTATTTAAAAACAAGAGCTATAGTCTCTTTCTTAGCAACAGTCCAGAATGTTCGTCAACCATAGTCTAAGACTAACATAAATAAAGTCGGTGCTTTATCTCCTCTCTTCAGGTGTCCAGATGGCGGGTGTCGATTGCTTAGCACCAGGTGATCCGTCTGTTCGTTTGCCGATCTGCCTCCTTAAAAAGATCCTCTTTCTTAAGATGAGTTACCTTCAGCGTCTTCCCGATGACAGTGGAGGTGGTGCTGAACACGTGGCTGGCCTCGCTCTTGACGGCGGTGCCTATCTCGTCCAGGTCCTTCTTCACCATAGTGTACACCTCTGCCGACTGGAAACCAAATAATATTGAATAAAAGCTGGGCTTATGTTAGATTTTTATGATTTTTTTTTTCTTAGAAGGCATGTGTAAGTTTCTGAAGGCCTAGCTATAGATTGTGTTCCCAAAAAGCGGGAGAGCATTATTTCTATTTAGACTTATCATTTCCATCTTTCATTCATTACTATATGATATTTGAAGATTTTTTTCTTTTTTCTTTCTTTTCTTCTTATAATATCTTCTGATTTGATTCACTTCGATTCGGGAACCAAGACAGTTAGTTACTATGTCTCTGGGACGCGCCAGGCTTTAGTGTTCTAGTGTTTTCATGGTTGTAGATCCTGGCTTACAGGAGTTGCAACGGTTTTGGGAGGATATGGCGGGCTACTCTCAAAAACATGAAATTTGAGCAAAAAAAAATATGACGTCATCGGCTGGTTTGATACAAAATGACCGTGAATTTTGATAAAATTATTAAAAAAAGTTTGCAACTGCGACGCAATTAATATTACGACAGAGAAAACTCGTAAGTAAAAACAAAGAAAAGTTTGCAATTCGTATTTTTATCTAGCGTACACCGGTTATTACTTAAAGTTTTATCTAGATGATAATATATCTCTGTATATAGCAATATAAATACGGGAGATAAAGTTCATATTGTTTACAACACTGGCCTACATAGATTATTATAATGTATCATATAGCTATACAAATAAGGTGAAATTTTGATTAGATGAAAAATCATTTGTAGACTATTTGTATAACTTTCTTGAATGAGGACAGAGGAAGTGTCGTAGAAATCTTCGCAATCTTTGTTAGCTTTTTTTTCTTTTTTGCTTCTATCTTGCCTGATGCTGAGCGGTCAAAAATGGAGCACGTCTGCCTATAAGCAACCTATTCACTTGAGACTTGGAAGATACCGGAGTCCTCTTCGGGAAACACATGTTACGAATGGAGTTTCTTGCTCGTTCTTCTCCATTCGAATCTACTTTTTGGAATGAGCACCTAGCTTCACCTAGTTTCACTGACTGACAGACTATTATTTATTTTGTATTTGTTGACGTTTCAAAAGTACCAAACTATGGTTTAATTGAAATAAATGCTTTGACTTTAGACTTTGACACAAACTCTAGCAAAGCATTCCACTCCTTAGCGGTCTTATCAAAATACTTGAAGTGAAATGAAACGCTTTATGCGGTGATTCAGTGATGGAATCAGTAGCTGTATATTTGCGTGACAAACTGAGTGTAAGGTGTAATTAAGTATTGCCTATCTAAGATAAAAGTTATCACCATACCGAATTTCCCTCGAACAACCAACTTAAGGTTAATAAACCGTAAGGAAGTATTTCTTTTAAAAACTTGTGTTTATATCCCGAACATCTATACTTAACAGAGGCTCAAATAGGTCGTATAAGTGTGGAATTTTCTTAGTCAAAAATAAATTATTTCGACTGTTCAGTACAATAAAATACTAAAAAATAAATCACACTTTCATTTTGTTGATTTTATGACCAACTTAATTTTAATATATTTCCAGCATTTTTTTAAGAAATAAGTATGGTGTTTGACGCTATAAAAACGTGACGTCACTATACACAATATCGTACCAAATTCATAGAAAACATAGTTTTTGACAGTTCGAAAAAAGTATTGAATTTGACTTGTTGGCAAGTACCCTATTGTAAAGAACCGGACAAAACCCATCCGTATATTGGTAAGTACGGATAACTCCTAGAGATATGTATGATTTATCGTCATCAGCTGGAATTTCTGATTCGGAAGATATCCACTGCTGGACAAACGCCCCTTCTTTATATTGTATCCAGTGACTAAGTCGCGGAGAACCTAACGGGTTACCGGGGCTCCGGCTCGACGTGCAGGAGAAGGAACGGGGTGGTTTTTAGTCAGTAAGAGTCTGACACTCCCTCCCGCCTCACCCAGGCGGGAGCAGTCATTCGATGATTTTCCCCTCATAAAAAAATTAAAATAAATCCAGTGACTAAAGAAAATAACCCTAATGACGTTGATGTGATGCACTTAATAAGATAGAATGTGCAAAACGGTAACGCAAATTTAATTGCAAACAGAAATATGAAAGTGTGCAATTGATTTCATAATACATTCACCAAAAATCATCTACTTATCCACATAACCTTACGACCTAAGTTTTAGTTATCACAGGTATCAAATATAATACTTTAGACCGACGTTATCACCCAAGGACGCGACTTACTTGCGTAATCTTAATAACTATAAGGTCAAGGGCATAGACTTATAAAAAGTTCGATAAGTTTATTTTACTTGATAAAATCTAACCACATGTAATCTACGTTTATTGTATGACATACATATTTTATTGTTATTATATTTTTTGGGGATCGATTGTACTAAAAAGGAATATTTTTTACTACAAGCAATCCGAGTGTTTGCCTACAGGCAAGGCCTTTTTACAAAAAGAGATGTTACTTGCCTCATATTGCTGAATCTCCGTATAGATGATAGTGATAATATGCTGAGATATTCAACTATTGTATCATCTTAATATTTTATTGTAAAATCCCTAATCACTATTTCCCGTAAACGTGAATAGTGAGGAGTGTTTAATGTTAAGTGTGATGTGTCTTAACAATATGATTGGGCTCGTGAATCAAAGCGTCGAATACTTGATCAACTATTTGCTAACTCTATAAAAACATTAAAAAGAAGATTCAATTAGGTACAATCTCATCACCTACACACATTACGTTGTAGGTCCCAATACATCCCCCAAAGGAACACCCACACAATACAAGTTTGAAAACACCTTATTTATAAACCGGTGTTTATACAAACACTGATTTTAAAGCAGTATTTAATAATTAATGCTTTCAAACAAGTTTTCAAGGCAGCGATGCATTGAACGAATATCATTACACATGTTTTAAACACGATGACCTTATCGAACGCTGTTGACGAATCAAAGAATATACTCTACGGAATATTTTTATTTGTTGTAATTTGTAATAAGATGGCGCACAAGGTGTCCAGAAAGAGGTCACTTAAAGCATTGGTATTATTTCACTGGTTTCTATTATTCGTAACTCATTTGTCGTTATCATCTGCGAAACTAATTATTGTGAGATATGAAACATTGCATTTTGGTATCCATTGCCAATAATGAGGTGAAGTTGATTTAGTCACACTGTTTCACACTATTATATTGTGACAAATATTTAATCATTTCACACAATTCTTTGATAGTGTTATAAGTATATACCAGGAAGTAGGCACGTGGCCTTTCATAGGTTACGTTAACGAATGCCATCACCAAAGGATACCCCGTTGGAAAATTAGAGATAAAGCTATAAAACATATTTATAAGTAATTTTTTTACTATCAACATTCTTCTTAAGATAGTTTCTAAGATTGAGTTAAAAACAAAAACCAAAATCTAAAACACTTTTGACGCACCAAGGAGTTTATATCTTTTGCTTAAAACTGTTTTGTTTCCAATCATCAATGCCGTCTTTGTTTACGCCATATGGCGCAAAAATACTAACTTTTTTATTTGATAAGTTTACTACAGAGCAAATTCGACCCACATACATAGATACAGAGTTCATTTTCGCATGTGCATTGCGAAAATTAGTTATCCAGTGATTACTGACGTACCTATATTTGATCTAGAATGAGTCAATCTCATTTCCACTAGTGTTGATGACCCCGGTAGTTTCATGATATATTTTCAGTAGCATATTGACGCAAGTACAGTATTATAACTGTTTTATAGCACAGTGCTAAATAAGCTATGATGGTGACTTTCACAACCAATATGCGCTCGTTTTTGAGAAGTAAGTACACACTGATACTGCCACTAGATTAACATTTTTTTAAACTTTATGATTTAGTCATAATAAAGTCGGAAATCTATTGAAAAACTGATTCACATTGGAGTAGATTGACTTGCTGAACCTTTCTACGCCATTAAAGGAAGTCAAAACCCAGGCAAACGTAATGTAGGACACCCTCCAGCCTCCAGTTCAGTTAGGTGGAAGGACGATATCAGCAAAGGTATAAAATAAATAAATACAGTGCTGAAGATCGAGTTCAGTCTGTTATTGGACATTATTCGGTAGTGGTCGAAAACAGGTTAATGATGCTGATTAAAACCTCTCGGTTGTGTATTCAGTTTTCACAACTGAACCTTACTCCTATTGGTCACAATTTTGGCGGCGCATTTTTTACATAGTTAGTGAACTTGTATGTAAACTCCGATTCAACATTGCCATATAAACTGTTTCTTTATTCGTTAAACGGTTGAACGCACTTCGATTAGATACGCGACGATTAGTCATGGCGAATAATTCAAACTAACGTGATTCAATAACTTATTTTTATATAGTCATCGGTAATTCAAAATATTATGTTTTAGTACGTTAATGATTTTTGGATGTCATTTGTAGATGGCGCTCGTAACGAGTGCACTTTTGAGGTTTTATTTAATCAGTATGCATCCTCTTTTGATCAAGGACCTGCCAATGACATGATAAGAGCAATAAAATTAGATATGGAATATGAATGGAAATAACTGAGAGCTGAGCTGAAGGGCGATGGGAAAATGTTGCTTATTTGTGTTATTGCTTTATTGTATTCTACCCAAGAATATTACACGGAATTTATGTTAGAAAAATTTAAAATAAACTGTACAAACAGGTAAATAAAATAGTTATTAAAACGCAAATAGTTAGAACAAAGCTGCAGAACACAAAGGTAATGCATATAATAATCGTAAAACAAAGCAAATAACAACTTCCTAAGAATGAATATAAAGAAAAAGAAGCTATAATATGAGTAATGATATAAATTTTATTAATGCACAGTTTATAATAAATTTACTTTTTAATTTTAGAGTGGTTTATTGTCATAGAGAACTTCATCTGAACAATATGCTGCTTTATTTGTAGTGGGACTGTTACATTGACAGAAGAACAGAGGTCTAATATTGAGTCTACCAACTGCATTTTAATGATCCTAACTCTGCATACCATTGGTGTATGATCCAGTACACTTTTATTTTATTTTTTTTTTAAGGGGCGAAAATCATCGAATGACTGCTCCCGCCTGGGTGAGGCGGGAGTGTCAGACCCTTACTGACTAAAAACCACCCCGTTCCTTCTCCTGCACGTCGAGCCGGAGCCCCGGTTACCCGTTAGGTTCTCCGCGACATGATCCAGTACACTAGAGTAACTATTTATAAGTAACATTCATTCTTTTGAATAAAAATCGCAGGTTACTCACGTTAATATACTGAGAAAAGATCTACTAGTTTCGAACCACAGAGGGGTTCTTCCTCATGAGCAGCGGCGATATCGCGCAGCCTACTCTGACTTTAGGAAGTCTAACGATAGTTATTATAAATACATTCATTCTTTTGTAAACAACTTAACTAATTCCCAAGAGAAAGGGAGTCATGTGTAATTTTGTAGCTTACCTTGGACTTAGCGGAAGATATCCAAGTATCCCACCAGTTGCCAGACTGTTGGGCCTCCTGTCTCGGAGTACTGGCAGGCTCGCTCGGACTTGATTCACTAGACCTGTGTAAAAATTATACTTTTAACACATTAAACTTCGTGGGGGTCACCGGTGCCCGACGTTAGCAAAGGATTTGCCTTCAAGTTTTCTATAAGCAGTCAAAATCTTAAGAACGTATTGTAAGGAATTTGTCCAAGTTGTTTTATTGTCTGACCGATGGCAATGACAAATCATCATCTTCCTACATCATCATTCATTGTATCATGAGTTATAGAATTTCTGCTCTATTTTGAACCAACAATGACAGCCTCTGCTAATTATTACTAGGTTCTTAAAAAATTCTCAGTGGTAGTATGGAGTCTGGAAATGTGCCCGGTATATTGCAATAGGCTCACCTTCTATCACATGGGACACATAACATAAATAGTGCAAAGTGAGTTTTACATTGTACAGTGGCATTAAGTGCCGTAATGTGCACCTGCTAGCCCTTCGGGGATAATAATAATGATGTAAACAGTGTCAGTGGACAATCATTTAGACTATGTAAATGATTGTCTATTGTTTTGCTGCAAGTAGGTTAATTTTAAGTGACCAAATTAGAAATGAAATAGTATAAAATAAATAGTAATTATAAAGTACATCTCAAAACTATGTTCAAGGTCCAAGCAACATTAGTATGAATGTACCATCTTCCTTTCTAAAATGATCCTTTGTCTTCCATCAAGTTGCATAAAAACAAGCATGTCTTTTCCTAGGTATTTGTTAATATTTCTATTTATTTAGGGGAGGACTAAAGATATACTGGACATCCGTGGATGTCTTTCAGCTGATGTGATGATTGTACTTGTCAAGATGTTATAGGAAAGCTTTAGCATGCCCTCATCTAGAACTGTCTAGAAGGTCATTAAGATTATTGTAGGCCCTAAAAGATTTGATATCTGTTTGGAAGATTCATAACTAAAGTAATCATTTACTTATTATGTAACAATAATATCATTTATTATCTCAAATGTGTTCAACAAAATATTAAGATTTATGTTTTTGATACCTATAACACAACATAGGTAATCAAGATCAAGTTAAAATGATTGATTAAATTATCATTAAGGCAAAGACAGGCTACCTTTCTGATAAAAAACATGCCAGCATTATTATTGTTTGTGTGAACACAAGTTCTAGTTCTACTTTAGAAAAATAATGAATTAATTAAGAAAAGAGGTTTAATAACTAGAGATCTCCATCTTGAAAATCAGCATGTGGGCATATTTCAACTTGCTTAACACAGCTCAGCAAATGATTTCTATAAAAATAGTTTTAGAGAAGAATTATGTCAACATCTAGTTAGCACCGAAACTATTCGGTTGTTACTGTTATGCGCCTGACATTACAGTTTGATTCGCATTCGCTTTGACAAACTGAGCAAATAGGAAGCAACGAATACACATCATAATTAATACCATGACCTTTGTGAAACATTTCTTATGTCTCCACAAACATATAACTAGTGCTAACAATAAAATTTTACGACAAATCTATTACCAAAACAACGCATTTTTTACTTTTACAATTCTTTCTACGATAAGCATAGAATGTTGACATGGATTTTGTGGTAGCGTAAATACGTAAAACAACTTACTTTTCAGCCATCACGACGTTTCTTTATTATATACACAAATAAAAGGAGCACATGGATTGCTGCACATAAATTGTTGTGTGATTTTGTTGTTGTTTTTACACGAAATTTAGAATTAATTTTGACATAGTTTTGTTTGCGTTGACATAAGGATGCCGTTCCGTTACAAGTAGTGGAAATGAAACGTGTGATATTTTAGCGTCACGATTTTGTATTTCTGTCTCATATTTTTTGCTACTTATATTTATTAAATACATTTTTAATTTAAAATTATTTTCTTATGTACAAAATCGTTTATCTTTATTTGCTTGGCTGATTAATTTTAAAGACTCTTGTTTACAAAAATGGAACGTTTATCTTTTTTTAAGTGAATGTAGTTCTAGACTTAACCCAGAGATGGTGCTGTTTTTATTATTTCTGCTTCCAATTTTTAAACTATACGGACAGAATAGTACTTATGTGCAATAATAACAGTGCAACTTTGAAAAAATGTCAGGTATGGATAATGAACGAAAAGGTTCGAAAATACTCACTTAAGTAATCTTGCCAATGCCCTGCCCACATCAGTCATGCACAGATGACTTCAAAAAATGTTAACATCGGTTTACATTTCCTGTACCAAAAAATCAAACAAGAACTGTTTTTCCCATACATTAAACCTTCAGAATAAAGCAACATACAAAACTAAATAATGATTACGGCTAATTATATTAATTCGTCGATGCAAAATATTAATTTGCGTTGAGAGAGGCGCTATCTTCAATCTTCGCTCCGTCGATTATTCAATAAGGCATTGAAGCGGATTTTTATAAATAAATCCTTGCGCTTAGCTCAAGTATTGATGTTCATGCTACGATTAAGATGGGCATGTTTGTTTTAATATTCACCTCTCAGCTATGATGAAGCTGTCAGCATTAAGTTAAATAGAAACTAAAGTAAGTAGGTACTAAACTATTTCTTGTAGAATTAATTTAACTGAATCACAGGTTTTTTTCATTTTATTTGTTATTAACATTGAAAACTCTGTATACTTCAAATAATTTTGTACCTTAAATAGGGACGAACTAGTCAAACATATTAGAAGGTGGTTAAAGTTAAATAAGAATTTAACAACAAATACGTGTAGGAAAATAAATAGTTGAAAAAAGAATTTGAACATCCATAGTTATTTACTCGTACTTAAAAAAAATAGCACCTACTTTGATTTAAATAACGAGACTTAATTTATATCATAGGGAAGTCCCACCTGTATCCGAATATCTGCATTGACCACAGACTACATAACTGTCATTCGCATAAAAAAAAACACGACCATCTTTACCGTGTCGTATTTTTAAACGTTCGTTGCATGTATTTTGTAAAAGCTGAATATTGTAATAAATAATATTTGCTTTGGGTTCGCGGGTATCCGTGCACACCCATTGTTTGCCGATCAAGAGATTCAGTGCAGCTTTCTTCGTTATTAATAAGTGCTTGCGAACGATGTTGTAACGGCCTACTTGTACAGGATGATGGGAAATTGGGCACATCATCTTTAAGTCTTTAATAGGGACTTTTTATAATTAAAGGCCGATTTTTCAATCATCAGTTAAATCTTAACTGTAGGATTGTAGAATTGACAGTTATTAGTATGGAAGTATTGTTAAATAATATTAAATATTTAATGTTATTCCTCAGTTAAAAATTATCTGAGCATTGAAAAATTGCCCCGTCTTTTAAAATGTTAAAGGTTTGAAATATTGTAGACGTTTATATAATAAGATAAATGGCCACCTACAAAATTTAACGTAGAAATTTCCATCAAAGTAATACTATGTGGATAATTCTATAAAAAACAGAAGCAAGTTACTTCTGGAAGAAAATGCGGGCATCACGTGGGTAATTAATAGGTTACCTATCCTACAGATTTGCTGTGGAGGACTTAACGGGTTGCCGAGGCTCCGGCTCGAAGGGCAGGAGTAGGAACAGGAAGGTTTTCAGTTAGTAAGAGTCTGACACTCCTTCCCGGCTCACCCATTCGGGAGCAGTCATTCTATGATATTCCCCCTTAAAAAAAAGTCCTACAGATTTGTACATAACAGAGAATGTGATTGCTATTCTAGTCATAACAATTAAAGTTCAACGTCTGAAGCACTCGTATAGCAATTGAAGACGAGACAGACAATAATATATCACCTCACATCACGTGCATACATCGCTCACCTCGACTCATTGATTACTCCCACATCGATTAATCTCACTAATAACCAACATCCTGTCGACAAAAATCTGAATGGATAATCCTTCGTATAAACTATAGCTAATAATAATACCTACGTGAAATGATCGACGCGGCGCAGCAAAGTTCATCGCTCAATCAGCGCGCGCGCCGCCGGCGGTGACGTCATCTCTCGTGAGGTGCCCCGCCCCGCCGAGAGATGGCGCTGTACGATCTTAGCGTAGATCCCAACCCTCACGCTTCGCCGTGTGTGGTTTGATGAGCGTTGTAAGGGTTTGATGAACTTTGCGGTTTTTGCATAATTTTTGGTCTTGAACGTTGATTAAGATTTTGTAAGTGGTGTAGGTATGTATGTAAGACCGAATCGCGACTGTCACGTTAATCCATTCGATGTAAAGGCGATGATAAAGTCTCAGGTTCGATTGCATGGTCGTAGAAAATTAGTAGTTATGAGAATCTACAAGCTATGTTTACTGATCTATCGTTAGTGAAAAGGTGTCAGTTATTTTTCATATGCTTTTCGTGACATACTAAAGGAAATTCAGTAATGTCGTGAATGTGTAGATATGATCACAAAGTTAGAAAATCTAGCAAACTATACCTAGTGTCTCCACTTAATTTTGTGGTTATAATAGATAGCTCTAAACAATCTCTTCTATATTTGTGAACATATATCTATCTAAATATGTATAGAGCGAGATTAAAGGTAGAGGAAGTGTACCTATATTTGGCAATAACATGACCGTAGATATACTAAATTAACTAAAAATCGCAGGATAATCACGTGAATATACTGAGAACTCCTCCACTAGTTTAGAGCCACAGAGGGGCTCTTGCTAATACTTGAAGTCTTCATTTTATCTGCTCTTTTATATTTCACTTGCGTCCGGCAAAACTAAGAAGAAAGAGACAGAAAAATAAAGCAGTGTTGCCAATATAAATATACATATAAATACCATAACATAACATCACGCCGTTTATCCCCGAAGGGGAAGGCAGAGGTGCACATTACGGCACTTAAAGCCACTGTACAATGTAACACCCACTTTTCACTATTTATGTTTTGAGTCCCATGTAATAGGGGGTAAGCCTATTGCCATATACCTCGCACAATTCCAGACTCCGTGCTACCACTGAGGATTTTTTTAAAAACAAAGTAGTACTTTGCCTGACCCGGGATTCGAACCCGAGACTCCTTGCCCGGCAGTCGCACTTGTGACCACTCAGCCAACGAGGCAGTCATATAAATAATAGTTATAAAATTCTGTAAGTAAGTAATTGACATTATTTCGGAATTGACTAGCCGTTGTGTTTTTAAAACTTACTGAATTTCATAATGCGCTGTGGGAGCTCATTAACTGTTCTGTCGCGATAAATAATCATTCCAAAACAAAGATTTCCACGGAAAACAAAAAAAAACTTTTTGGAAACGGCTACTTGTGTAAGAGGGTCTGCTCTCTTAGACAAATGACCTTAACGCTAATCGAATTGCATGAATACAATTGGTAACTTATGGAATTAAATAAACCTGCATTATCATTATCATCATCATATTAACCACAAGACGTCCACAGCTGAACATAGGCCTCCCCCAATGACTTCTAAGTTCCAGATATGCCAGTTGGAGGCGACCTAAGCCTGCGTATGTCGCGGAGAACCTAACGGGTTACCGGGGCTCCGGCTCGACGTGCATGAGAAGGAACGGGGTGGTTTTTAGTCAGTAAGAGTCTGACATTCCCTCCGCTTCACCCAGGCGGGAGAAGCCATTCGATGATTTTCACCCCTTAAAAAAAACCTGCGTATAGATTGTCTATTGTCAGTCTTCGCATCTTTAAACTGATACTACCTATAATTTAATTTATCAGACGTTAAGAAGTTACCTATGCGCGATTTTCAACACATATTTATAGCGACCACACACGCTGCTCATGAGGAAGAGCCCCTCTGTGGCTCGAAACTAGTAGAGCTTTTCTCAGTATATTCAAGTGAGTAACCCGCGATTTTTAGTTAACATTTTAATAGCTTCTAACAACAACAATTTTAATACGCCTTTTTTAAGGGGGGAAAATCGTCGAATGACTGCTCCCGCCTTAGTGTCAGACTCTCACTGACTGAAAACCACCTCGTTCCTTCTCCTGCACGTCGAGCCGGAGCCCCGGTTACCCGTTAGGTTCTCCGCGTCTCCGAATTTTAATACGTCTGGTAGGTACCATCTTCATTAACGCATACTAGGTAAGTACTAGATCTAAAAATACAATGTAAGTACTTAACAACGACGATTAGTCATTCTTATTTCTAATTCATTTACCTACGTAGTAAGGTCATATCTTGCGAAACTGTAAGATATTAAATAACTACGATTGTTTCGTTCACCGTCCGATCGTTTTATTGATTGGCTGGAAAAATCGTGCCTTTGCTATTAGGGGATGTATATGGAGGCAGGGTCGTGGGACAAGTCCTAGTTACATGCAGATTTAGATGATTAAAAGTAGGTATCTGTAAACCTCAATGGCTCTATGTGAGGAGAGGTGTATTCTCAGCGGTGGTATGATCATAGGCTGATGGCGATGATTTTAAAGCTAAGCCTATCCTTTAACTGTGTCCATAATAAATATTGTTGACAAACGCAATGTTATTTTTCTCATCTAATACCTAAATAGGTAAATCTGGCTGTGATGCTGTGCAATTACTACTTACGGTTACTGTGCTTCGATGTTCGGTTGTTATTGAGATGTTTGAAAGTTATTGAATAATCATGAATGTGTCCACGACTGTGATTGCTGAAAAAGGCTTACCAAAAAGTCGAAAATGCTGATGTGGGCATTGTCTGACTCCACTGATAGACGGGTCTCTCAGTGGCTGGTCTTAGTTTAAGGACAGACCTACAGAAATCATACTGCATGGTCATCATCTCCGAGGTAAAGAGTAAGAATTGCGTACGGTCTAT